TACAGTTGAATAAACTACATATGACATAGTAAAGTACAAAACTTTAAATTTGATGATCTAATACAAGAATATACATTCATTTGACAGTATATGTACATATATCGTTAAGCTGCTCCAAATAAAATATTAATTCATTTAATCTTTTCTACTTTCATCTTTGTATTCCAAATAATTATGAAATTATGTATTGTGAATTGTATTGCAAATATATATGAATTGTATATCAAATGTTACCCAAAATGAATAAAATGTTACCAAATTTCCGTGAAAGTTCATCAAATTGTCTATTAATGATCGTGGCATCTATACGTTCTATACTATCTCTGTAATCACGGAACAACCTGCACAAAAAGAAACCAAAAGTCAGGACAAATGTGTTAAATGAAGGCAAACATGTAAAAATGAAACGATAATCAACTTCAAATTCTATTAGAAACACGTACGAGACAAACTACCGGTAATTGTACGAGTGAAATCGACGACTGAAGAAAAATTGATGCGAAAAGTTTCAAAGAACTACACGATTTTGTTATCGTAATACTTAATTAATTAGTTAAACACACGCGTATTAATTAAATGATACCACTAAGAAGGTATAAATGGAAGTAAAAGAGTGTCGAAGAAGCGACGCCATCGAAAGGACGCCACCAATAGATTAAGTTATGAACCTAATGCGACGTAATACGTGTTGTTGTTACGAAATTCCGCAGCTGAATGACATAGTTCGTCCTTCAGTTGAGAAAATAGTAGGGGATGAGCTGATCCTGTTCGAACAGGCACGAGAATTAAGACAAATACAAACATTGTGTTCGTGTTGTTTTTTACTTCGAATTTCGAGCTTCAAGACCTTTTACGTCTTACTTTATTTGAAAAATGAAAAATTTTATTATATTACACAGTAAAATCATTATTTTAACTATTAAATAAATACATTCTCAATAAATTATTGTTGAATTTAGTATCAGAACTGTTAAAATTAATATGAAGTTAAAGATTCAACAAATAAGATGTATTGGTACATATATCATCCTAATCAAAAGATAATAAGAAATAAAACTATTCAAATTTGAAATTTCAATAATAACATGAATTGAAATTTTAATAAAATTTAATTGTTACAAAACTTGAGACTAGTATTCTTCTTCAAATCTTTTTCAAAATTTCTAACTAATTATTATTGTAATAATTATTAGAATAAAAGTTTATAAATATTTTGCAATATAATTGATCTTTAAAAATTATACTCTGAATGTCTGTCATTAGAGTTTCAAGATTCGTACCAATCAAATATGGCGTCCTTTGTCAGTTTGAATATACCTGCGCAATACGCAAATGACGCGATGCGCAGAACATCATTTACCTTATCCGTAACGTTCTCTTTCAAAAATATAAAAATTCTAGAATTTCGTCAAAACAATTAAATATTACAAAAGAAAAGAATGAAATTTTCAAATAAGTGTATAGAAGAAATAAATTATATGAAATTGAAACAATGCTCAAGGTCAAATGCCGTTTCGAAAGCTCACGAAGCAAAGTGGCAATAAATGTAATAAACAACCAAAGGCTAGAAAATAATATTCGATAAATTGAAAACGTACGTGAAATAAATGAAGTTAATAGCAGCGTGGGCATGTAGGATGAAAGGGTAATGAAAGTTGTATTACGTAATTAATATGTTCGCACCACTTGGAATAACACATCTTCACGCTATGATTTTCGGCACACGACTAACCCCCTCCCCACACGTTCGTAACGCGAACTAATTTGGTGGAGGGGGTGGAGAGTAGTAAATAGTAAAGAACATAAGAGAGCTCTGCAATTTATCACGGTAAACGTGGGAATTATGTCCAATTCAAATGTCAAAAACGATTAATATTAGAAAAATTAATAACATTGTTCTTATTAACTATTTTAAAGAGTAAAATTATTAATTTTGTATAAAGAAGCATTACCTTATTAGACACGTAAATTAACCTGTGTATGTGTAAACACATTATCTATATATTTATAATGCTCTAATAATAATTAAATCATTAATTCATTTTAACATTTTTCATCATTTATTAAACTATTTCATTTCTGAAAAATCTTTCTCAAGATATATATGTAACAGATAAAACATTGCATTTCATAAACAATATTCGAATTGAGGATTAATATCCTCTTGTACATTAGATATGTATAGTAGATATGATATGACAGAGATGAATTTCTGATTGAATCATAACTGAGTATTATTTTGAGTAATGTTAGACACATATAACATGTGCATCACAAATGAAACATTAAAAATAAAGGATAGATCAAAGAACACCTTAAAAATCTTCTATGACAGAGATGAATTTCTGAGATGAATCATAACTGAGTATTATTTTGAGTAATGTTAGACACATATAACATGTGCATCACAAATGAAACATTAAAAATAAAGGATAGATCAAAGAACAGCTTAAAAATCTTCTCTACCATAAAAAATTTAAGAAGTTAATATATTACATGAGAAAGCAAACAATTCGCTCTTCGAAGAATCTTTCAGACAAGTTGTTCAGAATTTTCGCGAGCATTAATAAAAGTCGTAAACACCTGGTCGCGAAGTACACAGGCACGTCGACTTACCAGAACTGCAAAAAGATATTAAAATCAACTGAATGGAACGAGTAATGAACAGTTTAAAGAGCGAGCTTAAATTGCAGGTTGTGAGAGAACAGTCCTGTCCAGTGATTTATTGCCATGGATTTTAGGCTTTTATCGCCTTTTATTGAGCAGTCATTTAGAATCTTAAGCGCCACCTTTCCAAAGACCAAAACCACTTGGAGCTACAGCACTAATGAAAATGTATTTGTACTACGTTAATTTTCAAAGTTAAACTTTTTCTTTTCTTTCCTTTTGCAAGGAATTGCAAGGAATTCATATTTGTTAAATAATAAAATAAAATATATCCTCATATAAAAACCTTCTGAGTAACTAAGTTGAAGTAAAATGTCTATTAAATTAACTTTTCAGAAATCAGAAAGTAGCAATTATATAGTATAAATATTCATTAATTAATTATAAATAATAATTAATCAATAATAGTATTATATCAATATATTATATTTATTAATATAACAATATAATAATAGCATATAATTTGATAAAATAATTGAATTTTCTTATTAATTTATAATCAGTGTGCAAATTGCTACTTTAAATTTCTTTACACCAATTATTTTCTCACGTAATCCATAAATAATTACACAACTATATTAAATACCCAGCCTGAAACTTAAGAACTTTCAAATGTATTAAAACAGCCTGAATTTATTGCAATTAAAATGTGAAACTTCACTCTATAATGATTTTCGTAATTCGTAAAACGCTATCCGGTTTGAGAAAAAACAGAAGAAGGAAAGAATAAAAAAAATATCGATATCGACCTGATCGTCGCAAAAAATTTGGCATAAATAGTCAACGATCGATAAAGAAGCCAAAAAGGAAGTACGTACTTTTTCTACCGGCGAGCTGCACTCGTGTAAGTGCTTCCTTGGCATAATTAAGCACCGACATACGCGAGAGACATCGAAACTGGGTCTTGTCAAGGAAGTGGTTTATGTGTTGCACGTGCACCGGTGTAGCACCATGTGCCGTACGTCCATTAATATACGTGCCTTATGAATACGATATCCCGACACGTTAGAATTTCGAGGCTCGCCAAGGAAACCCGCATAAGAGCAGAACAACTATATAGGAAACTGGTCCATGATCCTAAGTCAGCCGAGGACATGGATATTTCTATCTCAAACCTATCCATAATTTATGTAATATTAAATATAAATTAAAACAACAATACTGCATTAAAAATAATATCATAAAAACATTTAGATGAACATGAAATAATAAATTAACAATTACCTCTTCATTTTCTAAATAAAAATTAATAAAACCTCTTCATTTTCTACAATAAAATATTGTAATAAAATATCTCAAACATTCAGTCACAGTTTTTCTGTTTCACAACATCCATATAAGTCTATATGAGTATGTAGATAACATTCACCAGACACATACATGTGTGCGGCCATAACGCTTAAAGAATTAATGGTTCAACAGTAACTGGTCGAAAACAACACTGCACAGCCAATCTGAAACAGCGAGTAACAAAATGGAAGTAAAATAAAGGAAAAGGGGGAAAAAATGGGGTCAGCAACGCGGTCAATGTTCGTTCGAAAATGATTTCAAGCGAAGAAACGAGAAACCCATCGGGATTTACCGTTAGCATCAAAGCGTAAAAGCACGTGTTCACCAGCGATCTTTGCAGCAGGCTTGTGCACTTGCTGCGAAAAAGGAGGAAGGAAAGTGAAAGTATCGAGGGAAACCTTAACAATGTTTCCACGTTTACCGAGACTGTCAAGGTTGCCCGATCAACGCCGAGACTCCGTTAGAATTTTATCTGCCGATCGAGCGGATGCTTTTTCAAATCGTGTCTATTATCAACATCGCGGATCGCGCGAAATTATTCATAAATGTAAGCAGATAGAGGTCGTGCAGTGACTCATTCAAGTATTTGAACATTTCTCATTGGAAGTTTCATCATGTAAAATATTTTCATCAGCATTTTCAGCCCTGATAGATCTACAATAAGAATATATATGAATTAATAAATACAATAATATACAATAAGATACTAATACAATAATATACAATAATATACAATAAGAATATATATGAGTTAATAAATTAATTTTCTATGGACATTTGTACATTTTTATATATGAATATATAAAAATGTACAAATGTCCATAGAAAATTAACAATCAGGAGCAACACTTTTATATTTCTTATGAAGTCATCAATTTGTAAGTTTAATTTTTGAAATTTGATAAAAGACAGCAATATTATATTTTGTTACATACTAAATATAGTATTTATTAAATATGCACTACTACATACAGTAGCTAAAATGATATTTAAGCACTTGTCATAGAAAATTTTGATGATGAGTACACATATATATATATATAATTTAATATTTAATAAATATATATATATACATATTTTGAAAATTTGGAAAAGATAAAAATTTAGCTCCAAAGTTGCTGAATTTTAGAATTGCTTCTCCATAAAAAAGTTATTGCATTCTTCTCTTACAGTTTCCATATTCATGAAAAGTCTCTACCAATGTTCAAATACTTTTACAATCTTACAGTCTACAGTATCGATAACCTATTTTGACATCAGCGGTACGAAAAGCGCATGGAATGGTGTCAGATGTCTTTGCGCAGAAATCGCACGATTCCACGCAAGAACGATAAAGATAGAATCATTATTACAAATGCACACTGCAGCACCATCGCCGGATATGGCACGCTGTTCTACACGAGGGAATTTGTAATTCAAGACAAAAAGGGCTATCACGACGAAGCGTACAGAATCGACGAGAACAAGCATTTAAATAGAACTTTTATTAACGCGATTTATATTACTGGCAATAAATGGACAATGTTCTTGCGACAATTTTGCACGCCATATCGAAGTAATGCCGGTATAATTACCAATAAGATAATCGCGATTAAACGTGCACTATGTTTGCAACAGCTTTTGAAATCTTGCTTGCTATCTTGCATATCAGATTGCGTTATTCATTGTAAGAAACTAGGAATGCATTTAATCTTCCCTATATTTTCAATAACGCCTTCAGTCGCAACTACGCCACCTTTAAACACAATTGAAACAATTTATACACATCCTTACGTGTACTGAAAACTGCGAACAAAAATAGAATAAATAAAGTAACTGTTACCTCCACAAGATGAGCATTCGCATAATTGTCAATCCAATGATCATTTCCTCGAGAAACTCATAAAAATCATTCCTAAACTATTCAATGCATCATCCATATATATACTTATTTTAGACCAATCAAAACCCCATCTCACGCGAAAATGAGGTGCAACGATTTGACAGGTTCAAAGACGGACCTATTGAACTACGATATACGGAAATACGATCGATCAACGATGACCTGATATGGAGTTCCTTAACAGGAAGAAAATTCACGTATTCGCAGTCTTATATCGATTGGCTGAAAGAGAAAGAAAAAAAAAAAGGTTAGGCACAGAGATCGATCGAGGAAGATTCTTCGTAGTAAGCGCAATACCGTTCTCCGAGAGCAAACTGGTCGGAGAAGTCGTTTCTTCGAGGAAGTACGGCGAATCTCTCACGGATCTCGAGTTTGCTCATCTTTCGCCGGGATCGAGGCCTGCGTCAAGGACTGCCAGACTTCGAGACGAGAGTCCGTGTATCCGTTCGCTTGTATCGGCGCGTGACGCAATCAGATGCCAGATCCTGCCGGAGAGGATCGAGTTTTGCGGATGCTACCGGCTAACGGTCGTTTCTGCACACGTTTTACCGGGACCTCGGTGGCTTTCAGTGACGTCAGCGTCAGTGAATGGAACCACCGACCCGAGTCCTGCTTGGAAACACGGCCGGTGGAGGCGCAACTTGTCGGTAAGTTTTGATTTATTGTGCATCGATCAACAACGTTCAACAGATATTTCAGAGTCATGTATTGCCGACAATTAATTTTTAATTATTAAATAATGCGAGCTCTAATTCATGTGCATTTTTACTGTCTTTTCCTTACCAATGAAGTGTTGATGTTTGAAGAATAAATTATAAACTTACGCGGGTGACTCTTTTATTATCCATCGGTCAGGGAAGAGCGACTATCGGTAAATTATAATTCTACAGTATCTACAGTGGATAATAATTTCGTTCGTCAAATAATAAAAATTGTTTATTAAAATTATAAGATTGTAATAGCACAGACGAGGTATATGAATAGACCTAGCATACAATGTATTTTTTCGACCTACGATTGGAGGCCCACTTACCATTTTCGTGTCATATCCTTTCGTACGTCGATTCAGGCAAGTTTTGCACCACCACTGTGTTAGTATGTTTTAAAAACATACTAACTATATAATTTTGTTACTGAACTATATAATTTCTTTTACAAAAATTCATTCTGGAAAACGAAAAATAAGAAATTATAAAACTTTACGGATAAAATATTCTCCAATTTTAATTTAATTTTTCATTATACCCATATATATAAGTACCTAAGTAGCATTCGAAAATAACACATCCATGTTTTTGAATATTATCAAATTTTAAGTTCTTCACGTAAAAAAGTTGCTTTGCTTGACTTATAAATAAGCTTGAATTATAACCTTTCTGCAGTCGTCTCAGTGTTGAAAAATATCGTTTTAATTAGTAAACGTTGAAATTGTATAATTTCTACAAATATAATTTATATAATTTATATTAATAAAAGGAATTATAAATTTATATTTCCTACATAGTGTAGATTTAAATTATAGTGACATTAGAAATTATAGTGATTTTCAATCAATTCAATTCTCTGGGATTATAGATAAAAGATATTTAAATTGTACTCACAGTTATAAATACTCTTTAAAAATTACGTCACACGTATAATAAGTCAAATTTCATCGTAATATCGCACATTTTTGCCACTCTAGCAATATTTACTATCGCACCAAAATATTATAGTGGAAACCGTTAACAAGTCTCCATCTATAGTGAAAATAATGATCAAACATTACTTTTTTAAGATTCTCTGTCGACACGTTCCGGACATTTATGTCACCGAAAGATTACAAATAATGACGAGTTGCAACGCTTAATTTATACAAAATTACAAAATTCTTAAAACGCTCTGTAAACAACAATAGATTGCAATCGTTCCAAAGTACACACATGCAAACAAACTCTCCCATCATGTATTTACTTACATGCCCACAAAAGCTTCTCATTCGTCCAAAACTCATCCCTCCAAAAAATATAATGTATTCATACTCAGGATGATGCGTTTGCAAGATTGGGGGAACGATAAATTCCGCTGAATAAAATGTTACGCGTCGGTTTCTCGTAGATGAAGTACAAGAACGGATGATTCGCGTTGAAAACTGCCGGTTGCAGTGGTCGTCCAGACCGCCAAGTGTAGAGAGCGGTAGCGGCGGCTGCGGTGGTGCCCTCTTCGGTGACTTCGATTCGCGCGCGGTGCACAGCATCACCCAAATGCAACGGTTTTTCGCCGTCCTCGATGAAGCCACGAAGATCAGCTGCGTTGGGTGTTACCAATTCACCAGCTCCGATAGCGTGAAGCAGCGTGGTTATTTGAAGTTCCTTTTCCACCTCGAATCGCGGCAGGATGACCTCCACCTGTTCAGGAGGTATACCCATATCCAAAAGTGTGCGCAATTCCACAGATCCTGAATGCGTGGAGATACGTTCGACCAACTGACGAACACTGTCTCGCTCGCCGTTTTGCTCAGAGTCAGCGATGGATTTTGCGAAAACGAATGGAGGAAGAAGGATAAACATTGAGATGTTGCCTTCATAAGGCAGTTCCAGCACATGCGCGCCCAGTACTTCTGAAACGACTGTAAAAAATATTGTTCTTTTATATTATAATGTAATTACCATTTGTCTAAATAATTTTTAGGCTGAACTTCGTTCAACATACGCTTATACTTATGATACGCAACATTACATATGGGTAAATTTTTAATTCGCGATTTTCGCGCCTTAAAAACCTACTTTCGAATCTCTCTTATCTCGTTATAAGAAAAGATAGATTCCTAAAATTTTTGAAATGAAATTCAACTAAATTTCATGTATATAATTTGCAAGGTAACGTATGATCAGTAATTATAATTATAAATATTTCAGATATTTTTACGTTTATAAATACTAACTTTAAATTACATTTTAGCCTCAATTTAAAAAAAAAAAAAATGGAAGAAAACAAAGTAATAACTCTAATACTAATTAAGAAAAATTTTAATGCACTCAGAATAATAATTAAAATTTTAATACGAAATTTTTTCTCGATAATAATAGAACAATAAATCTACACAATAAAATAGAAGTCTTTTTAAGAGAAGCAATATCAGTCAATGCTAGTAACAAAGTGTAATGTACAAGAAACAACATTTTAGTGCATAACTTACGATGATTGAAATTTCCCTTCTGCTTCATGAACGTAACCATAGAATGTTGGGAGTTAGAGGAGTAGAAAATATCCTTCTTCGAATTGGCTGAATCGAAACGGCTCTTCCAACGACCTTTGAAGTACACCGCGTTAGCCAAGACCAAATCAGTGTTTTCTGTAATACTGGTAGGAGGAAGAAGATCACGGATATGTCCTTTGGTCTCGTTGCTCACCCATTGATTGATATGATCACGAACCGCATTTGGATTAGTATGAAAATCAGTCTTTTCCAGTTGGTCTCCAAATAAGTCTAGCATACATTCTCGTATTTTTCTCGTGTCCGATATCCACAATCGATTCGCAGAGTTATACTCATAGTCTGCTGATGAATTCTGCTGAAGAAAGAAAATTGGTTTAACGATTCATTCTTTAAATACTATTGCAAAGAGTATTGCGAGACATCATAAATCAAGAATTACATAATTGATTAAATAAAATCAGGATCTTCTCTTTATATTATTTGTTCACATGGAAGGAACAGACATTACTCACGGATTACATTCATAGCTGTTCATTAAGAAATTCTACGAAACTGTGAGATCAAGACGCTTCCTACTCAGATTCCAACAAATTAAACTACCACTAAGATTATCATGTTTGATTCATTAAGTACGAAACAATATACAATAATTATGTAACACGACTAAAAAATATGAAAGGCTCATGACACATATCTACCATAGATATTCTATACAAAGCCATTGTACAGATTAGACACATAAACGAAGACAATTATAGATAATTAAAGGTAATTAAAGGGAAGTTAATGCTTAGACTCTAATCGTTAACCCATGACATATGTATGATGAGTTGTAACCAATGTAAATTTGATATACTTAGTATTTGGTTCCGATTAAGTAGTATACAAATGGTGTGCAAATACTTTCTATAGTCATATAGTATAGTATCATATTTTACGAGCATTTTCATACGTTTTCAGATTTCACGTACACAAACATCTACCTTCCATCTATAACCTACTAAAATTCCCGTTACTAAAATTTTTTATTAAACAAGAGAACCCTGATGTTACGATTATGTTGCTCACCTTGGAATACTTGCAACCGCGAACAATAGTGACGCAATGTTGCTCTGATTCGACTCACCTGGTCGTTCGGCTTTTTGAAGGAATTCTCGTAGGCATAGTATCGTTGTACGTCGACCTTGGACAGATCGTCAGATATGTGCAAGGCTTTTTTTAAAGAGTTCTCGGTGGTGCCTCGAGCGCCGAAATATGCCAAGGTCAGAGCCTGATGAAGACTGTGCGGACTATAAAAAATATTGTCGCGCGACTCTATCTGAGACATCTTCTTAAGCGTATCGAGGGCGAACCCGAATCTCGAGTTGATCACAGCTTTCTTCGAACCAACGTTCATCGTCCGAGGACTGTCGTTTCCAGTGAGACATTGCGTTGATACGTAAGTTACCAGCAGTAGTATTGGTAACACCGACGTTACCTAAAAGTAGGAGCGATTATTGAAAAAAATAGTAAGTATTAAGTGAAAATTGAGTGATTAAGTAAAAATAGAAAGATTCTGTAAGATTAAGTCTGTAAAGATTTTTCTTTTCTTTTCTTTTTCTTTTAAGGAATTAAATTATTGGAAATAGAAAAATATGAAATTTCTAAAGTATGATGAGCAATCTCATTTCTGTAGTTGGAAATTTCGCAACTCTTTGGCAACTGTTTGGCCGTGATTCTCAATCGTAATTTATGCGACGATTTCAGATCCCGACATACACGAGGTCAACATGATATCAATAAATAAATGGTCACACACGTCACCCGTATCTATGTAAATTTTTATACCAAACAAGGGAAGAGTTTCATGTAGGAGTCACGCTCTAGTTCGTTAGTTACAATAAGTTACTTTGTAATTTCAGTGTCCACGATAATAATCGTGGATTGACAAAACCAGTTTTTACCAGTTATAATATTTCTTTTATGATGTTAAGAAATTAGATCTATTTTCAATGTCAATATTTCTTCAGGAAAAATTCAACAGCCCCCCGGAAGAATGACCAAAGAATGTACAAAATAGGAAGTACAATATCCTGTTAACGACAATGAGCAACTTTTTACTTTGAATATGTAAAGTAAACATAAAAAAAAATTCTGTGGAATATACTCGAAACGTAATGAGAGAATGAGTGAAAATTGTACAATCTGGGACGAAAGAGAGGCAAACGTGAGTGAAAGCAACGAGCAAACCGTGACATCATAGAGTCCGGCTTTCTTAGCTGAAATTAAAGTATGACGAGCCTCATATGACGAAAGCAAGAGAAAACATAACCACGCCTCTATAGTTTGTTCCTGTTGCTATATCACCTCAGGCACGTGGGAAACTCGTTTGAATTATTCCACTTTAATTTCGCCTTATGCAAATACTAATACCGATTTTACGTAATTTCGTATGCAACTTTCCAGTTCCTCGTTTTGACAACCTTCAATTTCACCCTGTTTCGCTGTCTACGTCTTCATTATACATTCCCCGGGACGAAGCACTCCATAATTTATGGAAATAGTATCGTATAATTTCTATTTTACAACTCTCGAGATTTTCTCCTATCTCCTACTTTTTCTTCTTTTAATATTTAAGTATTTATTGCTATTTTTTACTTTTTTTCTTTATCTTTCTATCAGTGTGGTTTATTATCTTTGAAATTTGTGTCTTTCTTTAATTTTTTAATAGAAATATTTTATTTTGTGTTTGAAACAAAAGTAAAAATTATTTAATTATTATTCGATTAAGAAGATAATAATATTTAATAAATGAAACAGTTTTCTGCTTAGGTTTTATTTCCTTATTTGTATATAAAAATATTTTCTAAAAAAAAATTCTACTTTAATTGCACTTACAAACATATGAATTTATATATAAATATTCGCAACAATTATTATAAATATGTTTATTAATACTTGTAACTTGCAATTGTACAAAATGATCCTGATAATAATAGTTTACTATTTTGTTAAAATCTTTTATTTACAGAAACTTCGAAATGTTGTAATTTTTAACAGTACCAAAATTCATGAAGTCACATTTAAAATCTGACAATGCCGACAGAGATATTCACCGAATAACAAGTGAATTCTTCAATCATATACGTGTCCAACTTAATAAATAAAGCACGTACCATGCGTGTAATCAACCGCTGAGCAGTGCAACTATACACAAAATCGAATTAAAATCAACTCGTCGATTGAAAAATGATATAAGAATAAGTGTGCTGACATTCCTTAGAAACATTTTAGTCAATGAATTCTTGTGATTTTTCTTTATGTAATAAAAATGAGTAAAAATGTGTCCTTCATGGTCCAAGGAAGGCTAATTATAAAACAAAGCAGAGAATATTTCACTTCGATAGATGAAACTCAAATATAATACTAACTACTAATAGTGTGAAAACTAGTGAGACCCAAGATAAATAATTGCTCAAAATAAGCATAATACAATATATGTAAATATCTGATTTTGAAAAATATTTGAAATATTTAGAATATTACTGAGAACATTTGAAAAATATTACTGCGAGTTAACTCTCACATTCTCTCCGTATCTGTATTAAAATATACATAGTTCTTAAATGTTTGATTTTAACATTCAGTACATAATTTTACAATCTTTCGTATATTCGCATCCTATAAATAAAATATCAGAAAAAAGAAAGATATTTGAAGAGATAGGACGTGATTGAAAAATGAGTTATGATGAGAACAACAGGGTTAATATTGAATATGGAAAGTAACAATGAAAGGTGAGAAAAATGTATATACAACAAGATAAGTTATCAGAGTTGAACTTTTCATTACTGAGAGGTCATGTATCGAATGTTGTTCTAACTGATTTAATATATGTAGAATATTCACGTAAAATGTTTGAGATTATATTTAATTTTTTTATTTCGAAATTAGCAAGTAAGGAAATTAGCAAGTAAACGTTGTTTCACTGTATAAACAGAAAATATTATTTTACACATCGATATTAATCAACTTATACTAACTTAATATACTCATTGACCTCATTACAAAAGTACTAATAAATAATTTCATTTCAGGATAATCCACTACCAAAGCACCAACAATACAATTTCTACCAAAACAATATCAACATCTTATCACAAAAATAAATCTAATACGACTAAAGCAACGATGTACTACGTTCAATCTACGTTATTTCTATGATCTACGTTATTCATCATCACCAAAGGATCATCACTCACCAGTTTGTAAAACATTTCGCTGACCTGCAACTGCGTTCCTCTTGTTCAGAGTCTCAAATTGTGAATTATCGAATAAGACACGAAAAAAATAACGTCTGATAGTTACTCGCTACGATACCAAACTGACTGCACGCAAGAGGAAAAGCAGAGTCTCCAAGATGCCCGCGAGTCGCGAGTAACTGGCTCCACAACCACTTCCCCACCACGAGTTTTGTTCGCAAGTGAGTGTCATATTTGTTCATTGAACACAAATCCTCTTCAGCGGGTCAGTCGACGTTTACAAAGTCCGATAGGTCGTTACATCTACGATGCTGGAAATGCCGGTTGTAATGGCTTCAATGTCAGGAAATCCCACATGCAATCGGTGGGGAGAAACACGTCATCGGAATCGAAAAACGTTGATACAATTTACCACGTACATATACGTATATATCGTTTCTTAATACACGTATAGTTGATTCGTTAGGGTTAATAAACTTTCGAGTATTTCTGAGAAGTATTTGTCAATCAAAGTTATCAAATTATAACAAATTCAAGTGAAATTAGGGAAAAGTATATCTTTGTAGTTATTACTCTAGAAATAGAGATAATGATTTTGAAAAATAACAATTCTGAAACTATAGTAAACTAAGAAGCATGAACAAACGTAAGATATTTTCGCTTCATCAGCTCCAGTTGGAGCAAAAACAATTCATTATAAAAACGTTTATTTCATGTCAAGAATTTTTCCATTCGGTTTCGCTGAATCGCAAATTAATATCTATTAGTATCGTGCGACTCACTGACAGATCTTTATTAGATCAATTAATCCTTTCACTTCGAAAACGATGCAGTACATTGAGCCATATACATTTTTTAACTCTAGTTAGTCTTATTTTAGACTCTACAAAAAAATTAAATTTCTACGTTTATATTTTTAAAATTCCTATGAAAATTTGCGCAGAAAGAAAGTGCTGAAAGTGCTGATTAAAAATTACTGCGCTAACTTTTGAAATATTTGCTTTTTGCAGAATAAAATGCTTCGAATATCTTCAGTCGAATGAGTTTAACAACATTTGAAAATGAATCAGACGGCATGTTCTGGAATTTTCTTTTCTTCTCTTCCTTTTGGAATTTATTCAGCGAATAAAACGAGCTTCTTTTCACAACGTTGGCTGACAGCCAGTGAAAGCGAAACGAAAGGACTTATATCGTTTGTACATAGTATATCCAAGTTGATATAATTTAAGGGTCAAATAATACAAAAATAATCAATAGACCTATCACGAAACTCGTCGGAGAGAATTAAACGATGTCGACTCGTGATGTATGATTTAATCTTTCCTATCGAAAACGAAATCAGAATGCTTCTTGTGTTTCTGTAAGTATCAATGTGTTTCTCTTCGAATCAATATTTTCACATGATTTAATAATATCTATTACCCCCTATTTGTTATCATATTATATTATACCATTGTTACCATTTTTACCATTTTTAACAATATTAAAACAATTAGTGAAATAACTAAGAAGTAAAATATTTTTATAAAAAAGAAATATTCAAAAAATAGTAAGATACATAATTCAATCACTGTCTATATATGTACTTTATTCGTCATTACGAAAGAAGTTTCTATGATTCAATTGCTCTTTATAACTTCGAGAATTGTTAATTCTTAATTAAGAACAGATGTTAAAGAAGAACCTGGAAATTCCGCAGTTTTATTTCACAATGCATTTCTTTCATCGCTAATTAAACGTAACGAACTGAAAAGTAAAGCTCTGTGTTGTATTATATACTACAAAATCACATGTAATCATAGTTTAAAGAGATTTATAGAATTTGAAGAGATTATAGAATAAAAAAGCCACGATAATATTGGTTCGAATCAAAGATTTATATAATTCAACATTGATAGTCATTGAAGTCATAATTTTATTCGTTTAATTTTTAAAAGATATCGAAGGAATTAAACTATGACTTTAATGAATATTTCAGATGATCATTTATACTTATATATGATATGAGAGAGACATTTATTATTTTATATGATATAAGAGAGACAAAAGTTCGATAAAATGAGAGTAATATGACGCATGTTATTGTTCACATTCATTCTAACTTCTATTCTCACGTATCAGTAAAAAATCAATAAATCGCAGTATCAATGTCATTCGTTAATACGGAGTACACATTTTAAAAATTCTGACATACGGTTATTACACTTCGTATTTTCTGATCATTGAAAACGACAAGTGATGTCAAATTAAATTATAAAATTGTTTCTACTTTCGAACTATTTTAAAAACTTCAAATGTGAATATATGAAGCACGTTATATTTTTTACCTGTATAATATAAATTCATATAGCTATAAAATACTTTCTATGAAAGGGGGCGAGGTACTCTAACTGTGGTAATTAAAAAATAATAAATACTGAAAAAATTGATGGATTTCAATTGTATAAACTGTTTATCTTTGATTTCAGATAAATTTCTACCATAATCTATTGCAAAACACAAACCTACATATAATCAGCAGCTACAAAACAGCTGTCGCCGACTTACTTGTGGATTTCTCATGAATATCTTCCACAATAACCAAAGATTTCCTTTTCAAGAATTAATGTCTCATTTTTTTCAACTCAAACTGAGTTATTCTCATTCACTGATATTACGTTCCATCTTATTAATACTAAATAAAGAAAAAGGCAAGTATTTACGTTACAATATATTATGATAATTTAGTTGCAGGAAACTGAACATTCCTCGACGAAAACAAGGCCTCAATTCTTTCTTTTGTACACATTTACACCTGAAAAGATGCAGCCAGTGAAATATGCGTGGAACACAGGGAAAATCCCGATGATTATCAGAGACTAGTATTTAAACTAGCAATGGCACCATTGTATTATGTTCTGTTCTTTATTTTCTTTTCATAACAATTATCGTTTGGTTAATCTGTTGATCTTGTGCAGCCAACAGTTATAATATTCCCGGAAACAACGACGCCATTAATTCCGCAATTCGTTGCTTTGATTTTTTTCGATGAAAATTAAAGACGAGGATGTTAGCTTTACAAATACGGCAATGAACCAAATTTGGATGCTATTCAAATAATGTAAAATCTAGTGAAATGTTCAAATCATTTTATCCTCCACACTGGTCGTTAATTATAGTTATATTATATTACATTAGTTGTATGCATACATTAATTACAGTTATATAGCTACATATTATATATAATAATAATTATACGGTCGCGTAGCATTTTACTATTTAGTTAGAACCACCTAAACAATCGTAAAATAATTAGAAGAAGCAATTCTTTGAACTCTGGATATCATAAATTATTGTTGCTATTCCTCTGATTTGCCTTATTAAGCTATAAATTACTCCTTCTATCGCCAGAAGCAGCAGTATCTTAATAAAATTACAATTCAATGGAATGATAATTTTTGTAGTTTCTTCCTTCTTTTTCTTGAGATTTTTTCCTGGTAATTATACCGATTCTTATTGCTAAGAAGATTTAGTGTTATATGTATGAATTATCGATTGAATATGAATATAATTGACTGAATTCAAGAGCTTCGCGCATATGTATCTTCGTAACTTTTAAAAATAGATTATTTATAACCTAGTAACATTTAGAAAGTTAAACTATAACTGATGTAATTGATTTTTATTTAAGGTCATTATTATAAATTGTTAATTGTTAATGGTTATGGAAGATCATTTTTATAAGTTATTATATTTATTTATAAATTGAATAAGGTATGATCAAGAAACTAGTTTCTAAAATTCTTTCTTAATTTATGTGAAAAGTAAAACTGACTTATGAATTGCAATTCATTATTCAACTAATAACATTATGCAATATAAATGATAAATTTATTATGTATATGACATAATGCTAAAATTCTTCAAAATTACTAAATGTCGTTTGTAAATGTTTAATTTACATGAAACTAATTATCAAATGCTTTTTGCAGATATCGTATTAACATCTGCAATTTGTTATGATGTCTCATCAGCGTCACGTTCAAAGAAAATCATTTTATAAAGACTCTATTGTTCCATGCTAAGACACATAATAACAATTGGATGTATCATCGCCTCTGCGACATTCTCTAAATCCACAAGCAACAAGCATCTGAAAAAACCACAAGTTAGCATTCTTCGCATATTTCCATAATTAACAAATACTTTTGATATTCAATGATAATGCTAAAAATTTTTTTAACATCTGTACAGCGAAGAGCACAATTGTATCATTAATGATGAAAAGCTATGGCTAATTATCGCTCTTCATTGTAATAATAAAATTGAAAATTTTTTCGAGGTGTAATATTTTGCTTCAGCATTATGAAAATACTACCGAAACGACAGTTTTCCTGGATTCATCAATCACTCAAGTACCAACCCTCACCGATAGCACCTCGTTGAAGATGTTAGAAGACATTACGGCTAAAGTTTGGAGAATCTTACCTGTGACCAATATACCTCGAAATTGGGTGCTTGCATATTGTATGAGATACACCGAGATCTCTGAAGATGTTGAAAAAGCAAAAATCCGATGCCAATACGGTGGACTAGATTGGGATTGCACGTTCATCGAATTGGTAAAAATATGTATTCAACATTTAATTCTCAAACAAAATTGTTAATTATCAGTATTTAAAAACTAAATTAAACGCTAAAAAGAGAAACGTACTCGAATTAAAAATAATTTACAAGTATTTTCATCTTATGTAAAATAGTATTTATATGACTTAACAAAAATTAAAAAGAAAAGATTACTAAAATTAAGGAAAATGTAAATAATAACTAAAGATCATTAATCACTGGATACTCTACGAAATTATAACTTCATATAATTGTAATTAATGACTAGGGTGGAGGACAAGATGATTTCAACATTGGAAAAATCGTTTCATTATTTCACAATCTTTCCAACAACGAGTTGAGATTGAAATTGCTTCGTGCGGCCGAAATTTGTGGAAAACTCTGGCAGAAATACAAACAAAATCAAAATAAGAGATTAATTCGCATGAGATTAAACGTTCGCGTAAGTTAATCAAAAACTTACCATATCTTCATTTAATGTTTATTCTCACTAAAGGTGAAGAACAGAGAAAAGAGATTCTCGAAAAACTATAAAGATTCACAAGCTTCGAGGAAAAGAAAGAAAAGTTTGAAAAGAAAAAAGAAAAATGAACGCGATGAGGAAATAAAGAAAAAGAGACGAGCTGCCAAAAAAGTACAAGCCATTCGAAAGAATTTGTCGAACAAAATTACAGAACTTGAAAATAAAAGTATGAATTGCAAAAGCACAAATATTAGCATAAATATCGCAATATTAGCATAAACAAAAATCTTAATGTTCATGACTGTACATGTACAATAAATCAATTTTCTAGAAACTTTAAGTCCGAAGGAAGAAGTCGAGCTTAATCGATTGCGTTTAACTGTGGCGAAAAAACCTGCCAAAACCTTAGAAGAATATCCCCTAATAGAAGATCGAGCAGAATTATCTCGCCTTCAAGAAATAGGCTTATGCTTGACACAACAGGCTGCAAAAGCTTGTGAATTCGTTGTATTAGATGCAATCCAAAAATTAATATAATAAAACCTCGTGTCTTCGTTTTTAATTAAAAATCTTAAAATTGTTTTCATCGCATAAATAGAATAACTTTAAAAAAACGACAGATGAAACTAAACAATCAGAATCACTTAACGTGTTGACTGCTACGATGATCACTAGTGATCGTCGTTTCTATTTTTATAAATATTAGAATATTTTAGAATATTTTAATTAGAATAAGATGAATATCATTAACAATGAATCTTAAATAGATAGACTAGATAATATTACAAAGCGAAAAATGCGCTTTCGTTGTATTTTACTGTAATATAATATTTTATAGAAATTAAATATTTTGTTTCATAGACAAAACGTAAAAGTTTCATGTGACAGTCAACGTGTTAAATTCCATTAACATCGCTTTTTAAATCGCTGATGTATTTCTTTTATCGGTTCAATTTTCAACAACTTCAGAATTTCTACGTTCTTTATTTGCATGTGTTTTTTTATACTATTTAGTAATTATTTAGCATTTATCAGTAGTAATTTTTTAATCGCATTATACGAGTCACAAGAATGATAAAACATGACCGTGATGAATTGTCCATGAAAACAATTTACAAATAACAGAATATTTTTTGGATATTCGTGTTAAAGTCTGACGGAATTGATTCCATATGCATAAAAGCAAATATAATATATTTTAATATTTTATACAGATATACTTTCATAAAACTTCTTTTTCTTCTTTGTTCGTCGGTGTTCTTAATCTCGCATTATCTTCTCCTCAATTTTTAAGATTTATTTAAATTGTACAATACTAGTTTTATTACCTAGTGAAACAATGCTATGTGAAACGCTTTCTTCAATTTGAATAAATTTATTCACTTACTATAATCAGATAATTTCAACTAGATTCTGCTAATAATTTTTGATAATTGAGAGTAATTTTCAATTATCCTACTTCCTTGATATATTTTTCACAGTTTCACAATGTTAATAAAACTATTGATCATGATACTTTTATATTATCCCAGTAAGTCAACCTTTAATATAGATTAAATAACCTTATAATATTGTTCAACTTATCGTAGTTTTACGTAATGTAACAGTGTCGTTCATCTTATCACTAATTGATGGTCATACTTTTGAAACATCGTATGCGGCGGTGGCACAAGACACAGATACAAATTTTGATAAATTAAACACGAGTCTATTTAAAATATATCCTGTACTAATTTCTCCAAACTGGGTAAAAATATATGTCCCAAACTGGGTAATAATCTTCGTACAAGAAAATCATTTCTATTGAAATAAATTTTATATTTTGTACATACATATACAATTATTATTGATTGTATAAATTCTTTATTGAATATAAAATATTAATTTATAAATACTTATAAATATTTAAATTAATAGAATTTCTTAAAATCTTATTTTTTGTATAGACATTAATTACTATTTTTTATATATAGATATTGCAAATTTGTTTGAAAGACACCATGTTATTAGATAAATTACAGTCGCACATAAACGATTGTAACAATTATCCTTGCATGTTTTCAAAAATCATTCAAGATGAAGAAATGAAATCCATTGTATCTATAATACGAAATGATACAATGGATGATACCATCAGCAAGGAATTTAAACAAAGTATACAAGACTGTTCAGTTTGGTGGAAATTATTTAAATATTTCGACAAGAATGCAAATGCTCGTCGAGAATTAGGAAGATGCTTATTTCAAACGTTTTCATTCGTAAGCAATAACTTAAATAATAAAGAGATGAAAGAACAAATAAAAAAATTATTTTGTAGTTTTAGTAATTATTTTGTTTGTAGAAATGTAGAGAATTGGTTTTAGATAAAGTACGATTACTTTTAATTACTACCGAGGAACAATAAAAATATTAATTGAAGTCATAGTATAAAGATGATTGAAAATTGGAAGGGAGATGTTAAAAATTTCTTGTAAACAAATTGTTTGTTAAAAAATAAAATTTTAATATATTTCTCAAATATAATAAGTATTTTTACAGGAATATTATTTAATATTTTTCACTTTGTACGAAATCATACAAAAAGTACTATATTATATCCCTACTGTGCAAATTAACTTAGTAACACCCTGGTTTCACATTTTATATTATTAAAAATATAATACTGTATTCCAGACACTACAGATATGTATCAATAATATATATGATATTTTTTCCCTGAGAAACTTAATTGATAAAAACTTATTTCTTTACCAAAATAAATAATAAAAATAGAATGAAAGAAATTAGGACTTTTTTAAATATATTAAAATTTTTTACAATTTTATTCTTAAATTAAATTCATTATAAAAATGTATCTATATGATCAACTATTTTTGATTATTATATGTCTAATACAATTATTTCTAAGTAAATTTATATTAATTTAATTTCTAGAACCTAATCATTCTAGAAATTCTTTTATATTCTCAATTGTGATCCTGTTTTAAAAGGATTTTAAAACCTGTACCCTTCCTGCAATGTTGTACAATATTTGAAATGCCTATTATCATATAAAGTATGGATATGGCAATATAATAACCACCATAAACAAAATACTGGAAAAAAAGTGCAATGTAAGACACTTGAATATCAATATCAATTAGAAATCTAATTAACTAATAGAACTCATAAAAATATAAAAATTTTAAAAAATCTAACTATTTGAAAATTTTTTTAGCTACACATATCATGTACATCCACGATAATTAAATGGGCATTTACTATACTATATTATACAAATAAGATACCAAATGTATATTCCTAATGTAAAACATCGATGCAAATAATTCCCAAATTAATAAACATTAATAGTTGCTTATATATTTTTATGAATCTTATTAGTTTTATTAACATACAAATTATAATCTTACCTGAGATCTCAAATCTAATTTTAAATTTCCATTCACTACTATGGCTGTTAATATACTTTGTAATAATAGTGCAAAGAAAGTATTTACACCAAATATCAAGCCATAACTATCTTCCGATATAAATTTTGCAATTTCAAAACTGTGAATTATACAGATAAAAGTAAAATATATGTAAACTATTATTTCGTTTTTAATAATTTTAATAATTCGTAATATTTTAGTAATTTAGTAATTTTAATAATTAACTAAACCTTGCAACTGTAACCATTGTATGATGAATAATTCCAAATACTATATATGCAGCATATAACAACCAAATACTGTAACTATATGAAGATACCACTAATAAAACACCTTCCACAAATGACATAAATGATACCATTGTATCTCCAATTAAAGACCAATTAAATGGCAGTTTTCCAATACAGAATACAGTAATTGTACCTATTAATAGAAATAAAGATATTACAGATGTTATATTAATAATATATAAAATGTTTAAGAAAATATCTATTTGAATGCAACTATTGTATATTATTGTATATTATATATTCAAAAAAATTTTAATATATTATAAATTTTAATTTATTATACTACCTATTATATTACCATATTGATTAAACTATACATAATACAAAATAATTTATTTACCTATAATAGTATATGAAGCATCTACAGCTCCATTGTAAATTTTATCTCCAGGTACTACAGCAGTTTGCCATAATAACTGTATGTAACTACTAACTTGTAAATATCCACAAGTAGAAAATGCCCACCATATTGACCATTTTATAACATGATTATTTGAATATGCTTGTAAAAAATCTTTCCATAATAAAATATAAGCTTCTTTAACTTTACGGATCAATGAAATATTAGGGGAAGAATACTCAGGTTGTTCAGGACTATGTAATACTTGATTTAAATCATTTTGTTGTAATACTACTGTTCCAATATATGTAGAGAAATTATTTTCATTTTTTCTATGAAAGTAAATGGACTGACCAACTGAAGGTAAAAAACAAGCCCATATTGTAGCAAATGTAATGGCTGAAAAATGAAAATTACTTTATATAAACTTCAGCAACTATATTTTACATCATTTTTTAAATAAAAAATATCATTAAAGATATAATAATCTGTGATAAAATGAATCTATTTGAAATCTAATTATTTGCAATTCGTTTTCCTCAAAATTTAAAGATTTCAAGAAAAGAATTTTTGCTTCATACTAATATTTAAATTGTTACAAGATTTAATACATATTATCTTGATCTTACACTTAAAATTATTTACATTTTGTTATAATTATCATTTTTACTGTATATAGATATTTAAATAAGTGCAATGAACAAACAAAAATGAATACCTCCTATTGTAAGGTAATTTAATTGATGGTAATTTAATATGTCCAAAGATACTGTTAATTGTGCAACAATACCAGCCATACAACGACCAAATAGAGATGCTGCTCTTGTATGACTAGTTACTTCCTGATAATGTTTCTTGTCAACTTTAGCATAGATATATGTGTAATAAGCTACTTCTGTGGAGAAGAACAAGCCATAGAAGAATTCTAAAATTTGCATAGTTAAAACATCTTGGCCGAACACTATTAAAAGAAATGTAATAGCTCCAGACAAACCACATAAAACAATGATTGGCTTATATCGTACAAAATCAGTTATCAAAAATACAATAATTAACGTTGCAAAGTAGGAGTAAGTAGAAACAGGAAATATTTCTTGATTTACCTGAAAAAGAACATTAGTCTTGTAAAATTTTGTAGTGGCATACTGTACAATAATCATTCAAGATTCAACAGGAGAATAAAATAAAAAAATAAAATGAAAGAGTAAAGAAATATGAAACAAGAAAGCATAAGTATAAAATTCGTAAAATCTTCAAAATAAATAGATTTATTTATTAATTTCTACAGCTACAATACTAGTTATCGTCCACAATATATTTACTTGAACGTCTGTAAAATTTTTCCAGACTGTTAAATAATCAGTGACAAAGGACTCCGAAGGTCTAAACTCTTTGAAACAACCAAACACACATAAAATACACGAAATTATTATCCACTTCATATTGACAGCATGCTTTTCCCTCCTGTTTTACTCCGATTTTATTATATTATATTGTGCAATCTTTCAACATCTCCATGTCATGACTATTCCTTTCAGATTACCTAAAAAACACGTATATTACCAATGTTTGATTATCTTTGCAATTTCACACTAAAATAAAATAAATTCATAATTTTATTTATTGGCATTATGCCTTTTTGACACTGAAACTGTTTTACATTGAATCTCTGTTCTACAAACAATTTATAAGAATGATTTTCCTAATTTATTATTATTTTTCGAAATTTCAATAATACTACAATTACAACTTTTGTAAGAGTCTGACTTTCCCTTATAACATTCAAATAAAACAATATTTTTAAACTGTATATAATATTAATTTCGATTTCATTTACGTATTACAATAACTTTATTATGTTAAAATTTTACAACTCACACACACGGCACATGAGACTGACAGTGCTAATCCGGCGAACTGCGATACACTAAACGCTGACCGAAAACTGTGGAAAGACGAAGAAGATCGAATACAATAGATAACAAATGAGGGCGCAACGATCTTATCAAATAAGAAGTTGAAGGAAGAGATCTTTTATCGAATTAAGGTGACGCGTGTACAACAAAATAGACTTCGATTGAAGGCCATTAAAATTTTCCGGGCGTATGCACGTGATTTATACAATGCATAAAATTTATTGAGCAACATTTTGAATCAGTTCAATTTTGAACAGACTGATTCGTAACAAACGCGACCGAAATATGTATATACAGTTTGAACCAACACTCGTGCAAAATTATATCGTATATGAAATGGTGTTATTTTAGGTGATTTAATTTCAGCAAACGAGTTGGAAGTTTTCACAGCCGTATAATGTAATCTGCGAAAATGTATCGTACAAACGTAAGTATAGCCATTCGTTTTTAATTAATACGAGGTGTTGTGTGGTATTTTATGTACGTTATGTATATTATGTGGTATGTTACGTTATGTATGTTATGTGGTATGTAACTGAAATATAAAAAATTGCTTTGTAGGGGCAACCCCAGAGGGCAAATACTGAACCTATTCATCAAAACCGAGCAAATGGAAGGCAACCTCCTCCTATAAATATTCCATTGACAGTTTCAGAGCAATTTAGAGAATCATGGTTAACTGCTATTATTGGACTCATTATGTTTGCAACTGGCATGTGCCTTTTATTTTGGAACGAGGTTTGTAAATATTTGTACCATTAGCTAAATAGAGATGTTTGTATCTTAGAAGTATAATATAATGCTATAGGGAAGAGCGGTGAAGGTAGCACATTCTTTGGACGAAGCTTTACGCAATGTAGCAGTGCTTCCAAATGTGATGAAATTATTACCTGAATATGAAGGACGTTTGATTCATTTATCAGGGCCCTTAAAGATATCAGAACCATTAACTGAGCCCGACTATGGTGTGATTGTATCGAGTGTGAAACTGAAACGCAGAGTACAGATGTACCAGTGGGTTGAGATAGAAGAAGAAAGGAAGTACGTTGTAAAACATTTCTTTTTTTCGAATTTCATTATAAACAAACTTCTATAATTAATTATTTCTGTAAATTAGCTTTGGAGGAGTAACAGAGGAAGAGAAGCATTATTATTACACAACAGAATGGAAAGACAAGCTTGTTGATTCAGATCATTTCTATATTAGAGCTGGCCATCATAACCCGAAAGAAATGCCTATTAAAAGCCAAGTGCAAATTGCAGATGAAGTTAACATTGGCGCATTCACTCTTGGGACTGAATTGAAGAAGAAATTTAATGATTTTGTAGAAATTACCAGTGACGAACGACCCGAGCGGAAAGATATTAAAATGCACTCTGGTTTATACTACCACAGCTCTAATTTGTGGGAACCTGAAGTATGCAACTGCATTCTAGAGCTCTTTATTGCATTTGAAGCGATAAACTAAATCATTGATCCATTTGTCTATAGGTAGGTGACATACGTATACAATTTTCCTATGCTGGAAAAGCAGGAGATGTATATTCCATAGTTGGCATGTTACAAAAAGGAATTATCGTACCATACGTTACAACCCATGGAGAAGAGATTTTACTACAACAAAAACACAAAATATCTGTAGATCAAATGTTCCATCTGGAACATGTACACAATTACTGGCGTACATGGAGCATTAGGTGATGCTTTTATAATTTAACCCTCAGAATTCCTTGACTCCCTAAAATCTGTCATCATAAGTTTTATATAAATGTGATTTATAATATTCTTAATTATTTCAGAGGGCTTGGATGGTTAGTCTTATTCTTGGCAGCGACGTGTTTGGCGAATATATTGAGGACAGTGATTCTAAATTCAACATTCTTGTGTGGAATAATCGCAGTTGAGTCTCTAACAATGTCTGTATCGATGTCTATCAGTTTACTAGTGATTGGTTTTGCTTGGGTATGGTACCGACCGGTAATAGGCCTCTGCTTAGCATTAGCATCAATTTTACCATTCATCTATTCAACGTTGACATCAGGCTCTCAGTCTCAGCAACGCGATAGCTACAGAAGGCTGTGAACTTTCGTTGAACAATTAAACTTCACTTATGTAAATACATTAACTTATATCATTCTTTTCTACTGTACCTCAATGTGCTTATTTTGACAGACATTATCGTCTCTCGTCTTATTAAATCCCGTCAAATTGTAAATTGCACAATTTATTGTATTGTACCATTGTAAATTGTTGTATTATATTACATTTTGTTATTGTAATAAACTATTTTGTAAACATCAAATACGAATTGGGCTACGTCAATGTGTGATCCTATCTTTAACGAAAAAATATTATACCAGATGTAGCATGAAATTTCGAATGATTTAAAAAAATGAACGTCGCGTATTCATTTTCAATCCCCTAGATGTAAAACGCGCGCGCCTGCATTTAAAAATTCCCTAATAAATGGAAGTCTATTTTTCCCCTATCCAATAACATTTTTGTGACTTAGTGAGACAAGATGGCCGCGAAAACTTTGTAAACGGAAACGTTTATTTTAATAATACGAAGAGAAATTGCATGCCTTGAATATTATATTCGATTAGAGTGCATGGAATTGACACGAAGTAAGCCCGACTTGCCGAGAAATTGAATAAATGTAGATGACAATGACCGAGGAGACACAACAGTCTGAGACAGCCGCACAAAATGAGGCACAAACTAGCTCTCCAGATGTTGGAAAAGTTAAAGACAATAAAAAAGAAAAATGCCGACCTATGACAAAGGTATATACCTGATTAAAGTGATGCTGCAAATTTACCGAGCCTGCACAATATGTTTTCTCACCACGCAACGTGCGCTGCGTTTAATGGAACAAAGATCGAAGTTTAACTTTTCGATTTTTGAAACATTTCTGACATAATTTTGTGAAAAAGGTGCTATTTGTTTGACACGTCGCAATTAAAATACTCTCTAAGATATGAAAAAGCGGATTGTACGTTTCATACGGCAGTAAATATAATGTTGTTGTAGAAAATGATAAGTACAGTTACATGTCATGTGGCATCTTTACTGTCACATTTTTTGAATAAAAAGTAAAAAATATTTGGCTAATATGATGATAATAACTCGTAGAAATTTTTATAATTATTATAAGAAGCATAAAGTATCATAAATTTAAATTCGATTTTAATCAGCATGTATATACCGTATGTGTGTATAATGAAAGAAATGAAATATATTTATAGGTAGTAATACGAAGATTACCTCCAACTATGACTCAAGAACAATTCTTAGAGCAAGTTTCACCATTGCCAGAGCACGATTACCTTTACTTTGTGAAAGCTGATATGTCTATGGGACAGTATGCTTTCTCACGTGCTTATATTAACTTTGTTGAGCAACATGATATCTTTATGTTCAGAGAGAAATTTGACAATTACGTATTTGTTGACTCTAAAGGTACAGAGTATCCAGCAGTAGTAGAATTTGCACCTTTTCAAAGGTTACCAAAGAAAAAGATAGGGAAAAAAAAAGATTTGAAATGTGGTACAATAGAGTCTGATCCATATTACGTAAGTTTCTTAGAAAGTCTGAAAAACCAAGAAGCTGAATCTAATGTATCACAGCCAAAAACAGAGTATTCATATCAACCACCTGATAGTAAGTTATTTTTTAATATGTAAAATATTACTTGCTTACTTATATGTGAAGTATATATTCATGTTTGTTTTATTATATTTGTTAGATACACCAAAAAAAGTTACAACCACACCTCTCTTAGAGTATGTAAAACAACGCAAACAAGAAAAACAACGTCTTAGAGATGAGAAACGTGAAGAAAGACGGCGAAGAGATCTAGAAAGGAGAAGGTCGAAGGAAGATCCTATTATATCCAAGGTGATACTACATGTGTTTACATATAATAATTATTCATTATTATTGATTTATTAAAAGTAAACTAATTCTAAACATAACAAATACAGTATAGAATAAAAAGACCATTAATCAGATACGTAATAAAAATTACTTTTAATAATAAATTGAATTTAAATTCTAAGTATTGGATTCTCTACTGTATTTGCTGATACTAATCTTTTCAATCTACAGTCTGCATGTAATATTGAAGATAGTCAGACCAAGTATTTCTTCCTTTCTACTTCTCCACCTATCAAGTCAGAAGATATATCTTTTGATCGTCCTATTGAAAGTCTTAATATACCTCATAAATGTAAAGGAGAGATTTCCAGCAGTGCTACTGTAAATATGATACAAGCTAACAAAAATTCATTGAATATGCAACAACAATTTTATAGAAACGAAAATACAGAAGTATATTTAAATTGCGTTGGGAATGTTCCTCACGAACGTTGGCATTACAAACAACGAAAATTATTTTATATTTGCGAAAAGAGTTATAAAGAAAAAGATACTAGTTGCAGAAAAAATAATTACAATCATTGGAGTAATATTAGAAACAATTATATTTATAATAATATTAAATGCACATATATTAATAATAAAAACTATTTTTCTGTTTTATCGAAATCTCAATTTACTAATCTACACAAAACTTGGAAAATGCAAATACCAATGGAAGTGTCAAAGTCACGAAGTTGTAGTGCTGTGTTCGACTATCATAAACTTTATCCTTTTAAAAATTGTAAAACAGGATTATCAGGATATCGTAAAGCTCCATGAAATACGAACTGCGAATGATTAGCAGGGAAATTTATGTTACGTATTTATTTACTGCATGTTAAAGAGCCATGAAGATTGAGCCACTTACGCGACGTGATGGAATGCCATATATTGTTTCTGTTTAATATTGTATTCCAAATTTGTATACATTTATTAAGATATAATTAATTTATTCCTGTTTAATTTGTGTATACATTAAATTTTGTAAAAGAAATTGTTTTTTAGAAAAAAAAGTGAAAATTTTGTGTTACTTTATTATAATTTATTATTTTATTTATCGTGTTGAACACTATTAAAATCTGCTAATATTAAAATTGGTAATGACGTTCTACTTAAAAATAAATATTTAACTTTGTTATAGGTATTGAAAAATCCAGATCTTGATAAAGAAATGTGTAGAGATAATAAAGAAAATAGAGAGGAAAAGGATAAACTTTCACCCAAAGATATAAAAAATCGTATTAAGAAAGAGGATAAATTACGTGATAAGATTCCTCGTGATCGAGATTCCAAATCAATAACAAAAGGATATAGGGAAAGAATTGAGGATAGAAATAAAGATAGAGATATAAAACATCAAAGACGACATGAGGATAAAAAGATATACGGAAGACGTGACGAAAGAGATGGTATAAATGATAGAAGATTTGATGGAAAAGATGATAGAAAATATGATTTTAAAGAAGATATTAAGGATTCTAGAGAACGAAAAATTGAGGAAAAACGGGGTAAAAGTTACGAAAAAATGAGGCAAGAAAAAAAAAGGCTTGCAGAAACTAAAAAACAAAATATAGAATTTAGTGTTGACATGGAAAATGGTGCAAAATTAAGAAATGAAGATGAAGAATTCCTAAAGAAAGAATCTGAAGTTGATTTTTATGTGAATATTAAAGAAAATGAAGAAACCATGGGTGATAAAGATGTTAAAATCAATAAAGGAAAAGAGAAACAAGAAACTAATGAAAGAAAAATATTAATAGATTCTTTGCAGGATTTTGTGACAGGAGAACTAAGAAGAACAGGTATGAATTATGATATGGAGAATATCTTGCTCCTAAACTATTAATATGTTATTACTTATAGAAACGGCTATTGAAAACAGTAAAGATATTGAAAAATCAAGATCCATTGAAGATATTAATAAAAAAACTAATGAAGATGATGAATCTGAAGAAAAAAAAGATTCAAAAGTTACAAAAAGACGTAGTTCACTTGAAAGTGGAGGGGAAGGTGGTACAGGAGATGGAAATTGTTTAAGAAGACACAAGTCTTTAGACGGAGGAGATCAAAATAACCTACAAAAGACTGAAAATGAAGATAAAGAGAAAGATAAAAAGGATCCACGACTAGAACGTCGAATCAGGAACAAAGTATATATTTGTTTTAATTAAAATATTAAGAATATTATTTTTCTATTCGACTTTCATAATTTATAAAAAATTTTCTTTGTTAAATAATAGGATCGTCCTACTATGGAAATTTATCGACCCGGAATGGGAAAATTTAGCAAACAAAGATTAGAACGAGAAAAATCTAATACTAACGATGAAAGAGCATCACTTTCACAAAGTCCTACTCCAAACCCGAATTCTAATAACCTTTGTAAATCAGGAAAGCCTGGAACAGAAGTACGTTCTATGACATTTAAACGTAGTATTAGTCGTGATTTGGTATAACGATGGCTAAATGGAAATCTCTTTCTAATATTAGTGACATATATGTCGAATCTTGTTAATATATAAGATTTTTACGCTAGTCTTTCTCACGACGTACAATATCATACAATATATCTATTGTACACAAATGCATAATAAAATACAGCATTTTACTTATTACTGGAAAATCCATGTAGCCACAAATGTATAAAACTTTCGAAACTATCTGCATTAAGTAATTTGATATACATAATCATACTTTTATTTTCAATCCTTTCGTTGTGATATGTATATTATACGTAATATTATTATCAATTATCTAAATATTATATCAAGTGTTCATAATTTTCATTAAAATAAATATTTCTATAATAATATTTTATATTTTGTACAACATTTTTTACAATATTTCCTAAAAAAAAGAAGAGATTAAAATGAAAGAATAAAATAAAGAAGCTAGAGAAGATATAAAATACTAACATTACAAAAATTTTTATGGAGAAAATTAATTTATAAATTTCATTTGATGTTGTCAAGAAATATTTAAAATAAGAAAATAATTAAGGGATGAAATTTTATTTTACTTTTTTTGTTTTATTTTTTACTCTTAATTTACTATACCAAAAAATACAAAAGTAGAAATATATATATAAATTTTATTATTTTCCTTGCAACTGAGATAAACGTAACGAAGATCTCTGTGGAACTGGCGTTGTAATTTGTTTATTTTTTTTCGTCAATGGTGATGGCGTAACGGGAACTGAACTGGTACGTTTCTTTCGATTTGATCTTGTTGCACTTGTAGATATATTTACCGTATCTAATATGAAAAAAATAATTATTATATATAATTAGACTGTAGATATTTATGCACATTCAATTTTTATAAATGTAATTTAAAAAATGGGACTTAATTAAATATTTCATAAATGCATAAAAAAAATTTATAGTATAGATATAATAAAAAAATTATTGATTTTGGAAAATAATACATACGCTGTCTTCTACTAGGAGTTTTCATTAGTACATCAGTATCTGAATCTGACTCAGAACTCGATTTATGTTCAGGAGATTTTGTTTTTTTAGTATTTTTTGCTAAAATAATGATATATCAATAAATGCATAACTAAAAGTAATTATTTTTATATAAAAAGAAATATACTTTTTGCTACAGGTACTGAATCAAAATCATTATCAATATCATCTTCCTCTTCTTCGCTACTACTATGTTTTCTATGTCTGATACGCTTTCTTGATTTTGGTGCTGGCGGCGGTGGCATTATTTCATCATCCTGCTTCGAGTTCTCTGTTTTATTAAGAAGTTCTTTTATCTTTTCTTCCAATTCCATACACGCTGCTTTTGTATTTGGTTTTTTCTTTGTTTGCTCGATAACAGAGTGTAATGCTTTTAAAACTTGCTTGTGATGAATTTTCTCTTTCAGTAAGGGTAAACTTTCGATAAGGCGATGTATACCTAAATAAAATTTTATTAATTTCAAAACGAGAGATATTTCATAGAACTTTGAAAGCAATGTTAACTGTTTAAGGAAAATATGTATTTTATTTATACTTTTTGTGCTAAATTGTAGAAGTGAAAGACAATATGAAAAGTCACGCCATTGCCTTTCTGTCGTAGCCAATTGAAATCTAGCACAAATTTTATCAATAATGGCATCAACTTGTTTTTCTTTTTGTAATAAATTTAAAATATACCTAGAAATATTTTAAATAATAAATAAATTGAATTAAACTATTTTATTTTCGATAATGTACGTACTTCAGAATTTCCTGAAAATCTGATTCGTTTATATCTAAATCAGGATCAGTTAATCGAGACAATATATCAGGCATCACATTGTACAAAGCATTGCCTTTTTGTGAAAGTGCTTTAAAAAATTGCTTTGTATCTTGCTGAATTTGAGGATCTTTGTCAATTATACAAAGAGCTAGTTCTGATATTTGACCTCTCACACGCACCATTTCTCTCATTATAAGATTTGATAAAACTCGAATGCAAGTACTTCTTACATTTATATCTTCGTCGCGAAGTCTGCAAATTAATCATGCTTTAGACTGATAGGCATGAAATTAATTAAATTATGCTTTTAAATACCTGCCATAAACATGTTTCATCCATGGTTCAACTTGATTTGGAAACCTTGTTGTAAGATCACTTATTCCAATAAGAACATTAGCCCGAATATTAGGATATGGTGAACGTTCTAGTATTGTAACTAAAAGCTGTAATGAATTTTCGCAAAAAGTGGAGCTCACTGTCATCATTTTGCTAAGAGCAAGAGCTCCAGCAGCTTGTACATCTTCATTGTTATATTTGTCATGATACTGACATACATCTAGTACTAATGGGCTGAAAAAAATTAAATATAAATATTTATTCATATTTAAAAACAATTTTAAACAAGAAAATATATTAAGCTCATAGACATACACAAATTTTACTAAGAGTCCATCTCCAGTTACAATATGATTTTCTAGAATGTCGTTTATAAACTCTGCATCCGCATCTTCTACTGCTCCTTCCACAGCTTCCTCTCCATTATCTTCGATAATAGTTGTCTAAAAACAAAAATTAATAACTGTACAAATTTTAATTAAACATTAATTTATAATATATTATATACCTCTTTATTGCGAATTATTTGTCTTGCACTATTTGGAGTAGTTAATTTCTGAGAACTATTTAAATTTCTACTTTTTCTATTTGAATTCTTCTCTTTTTTTAATTTTCGTATAACATCTCTTCGTTTTAATTCCTTGTACACTGATGTGTCTAAATGTACCATTTGTTTAATTGCAATATGGCCAATTAAATACAATAATTTAGATAATAAAAAGGATGAAACAGTATGTTCGGATGAATCATTATTCAATTTTCCCCGAATATATACTTGTAATAATAATTGTTTCATTAAATGATCAGGTTGATTTGCTAACTGAAATATAGTTGTAATAATGGAGTTTAAACATAAAATTTAATAAGTTGTGCAATTTACACTGTAAATTTAGATAAATTGCATGTTGCAATACCTACATGATAAATTGCACTAATTGCATCAGTTGCGAATGAAATATAACCATCTTCTTCTACATTTGCAAAATTTTCTATTAATAAAGGAAGAATTTCTTTGAACATTTCATGATCATTAGGATACCTATTAATAATAATTTAATAGTTTTAAATATAATAATTTTTACAATTATTAAATACATTTGAACAATTATCTAATTTTTATAGTTTTGCGTACCTGACAGGTCCTTTTTCTATGTCATCACTCGTATGTTTTATAGTTAACAATGCTCTACATGTATCTCTAGCTAGTAAAAGATCACTTTTTGCTCGTGATCCAAGTCCTACTTTTATTAACACTTCTAAATTACTAATTATAATACCACTTTGAGCTTGAGCTATCATTGTTATTAGCATTAAAGCAGATCTACTATCTAATGAATCTGTATCTGATAATTTCATTGAAAATATCTCCCACAAAACCTATTAAATAATTACATATAACTTTCTTATCACATATAGCATAATTACATATAACTTTCATATCACGTAACAATTTCAAATTAAAAATAATATTGTATTTATATTACCTGTAATACTTCATTGTCTATATCTTTATTATTATACCATGTTAAAATAAGTTGAGTTAAAGCTTGACTTTGACCTGGTTGAAGTCCTTTTACTAAATCAATCAACGATTTGACACATGTAAGAGCCTCTTGTCGTTTTGATTTTTGATTTTCGTGATTATTTAAATAAAGATCTTTATATACTAATGCTATATTGTTGCGTACTGACTGATCACGATGAAACACTTGAAATAAAGCATCGCGAATAGCAGTTGCAGCTCCAGCTACACCAAATTGGTGAGCAACTCCAAGTAAAGTACATGCTTCGATCGCATCGGTTGCTACGGTGGAAAAAAGTAATTTCTCCGCCATAGATATAGCAATCTCTAATTCATTTGCAAATTCCAAACAATTCTGATAAAAATATATTATAATATAATTAATATATATATATATATATATTTAAACAAATAATTTACTATGATCAATATAATATATCTGAAACATACTTTTAAATAATTTACAACTCGTTTTAGTGCTAATATTTCATCGTTTTCCTTATTCTTATCTTCTAAATGTTGTGTATCTGCATTCTTGTTTTCGTCAATTGGATTACTTTCGGATTCCATAAATGTTTTTAATAAAAGTAAAAACAGACATTCTTCTTTTGCTTCAGGAGAAAAATCTTCTATATCCGAATTTTGTTTCAAGTGCAGACAAATTTTCCACATATGTTTTACTGCTTCAAGTATTTTTTCTTTAAGCATTAATTGTCTTACATGTTCAAATGCTGTATCACTATTAATATCTTCTTCTTCTTCTTCTTCTTCTTCTTCTTCTTCATCTTCATCTAATTTATAAAACAAAAATGCACATTTAAATTAGATATATATGTTATGTTAAAAGATTTATATATACCTCGTTTTTTATTATTTTTCTTTCCATCATTAATAACTTCTTTTAATGCCTTTCTTATTTCTGGAAGAAAAGTATTCCATAATTCCAATCTCTGTTTATCACCACGAGTACTTTTATTAACACTTTCAGTTTGTAATTTTCTTAGTTTTATTTCTTCCTTTTCTAATGACTTAGAAATTTCTACTTTGTTTAACTGCAAATATGTTCCACATTATATATACTATAACTATATTGTCGATGCAAAACAATTATATAAACGAATGTAATTTTTTTCACTTACTTTTGCTGCAAATGGATTGCTTTGTAGTAAAGCACGTATTAATTGTAATGCTTGTTTTCGTACATTTGCACTTTTATCTTCTAAACGTAATGCAGAAGCTGCTAGAAGTTTTCCTTGTCTTGCTAATGGAATAGCACCTTCACAACATAAATGTTGCCAAACTTGTAAAACTTTTGACCTGACATAAGCATTATTATCAAGAATATGTTCTTCTAAGTTATTAAGGCATTCATCACGTTGATCCTTTTCTTTTTGTGTGAGATCATCTCCAGTTAATGCTTTTTGTACAACTTCACGTATAATGCAAATAGTACAATTTCTCATAATATAATGCTAAAAATAATAGTAATAAATAATAATAGCTGTAATAATACTTTTATAGATGAATTAAAATAGTAGAATGAGCTACCTCACTAGTTAAATAATCCATCACATCATCAAGAATAGGAATTATGAGATTTGGGCCAGAAGAAGCAATAGTCTCTAAAAATGTCGATATATTACGATTGTCAAGTTCAGATAATTCACTTTGATCAATCTCTTTCATTATTTCTCTTATTAAACCATTACAACCATGATTATTAATCATATAAATAACTCCAATAGCCATATGGGATGCTAATGTATCATGTAATTTTACTAACTAGAATGTTAAAATTAAATTATTAATATATTATATTAGAATTTTTATATTAGAACAAAGCTCATAATTATTGATGTACCTGAATAATTCTTATCACACAGCTTATACCATGGTTGTACTTTTTGACCGCAGTGCCTAAAATCTATTGTTTTTTTTTTTTTTTTTTAGTTTAATATTAAAATAACTAAAATTAAATTTAAGAAAAATAATTCAATGAAATATAAACAAAATTTTACCTGAAAAACAGTTAATCTTGTATGTTTCTGTTTTGAATCTTTACATTGTTCTAAAACTTTATAGCACACTTTGGTGAATAATCTAAAAGGATCATATACGTTTCACATGTTAAAATAATTTTTCAAATTACAGTTAATATATCTAAATACTTAACTATAAACATACATGATAAAGGAATCTTCTACAATAGGAGGCTGCCAAAGTTTTGATAATGGAAGTTGTAACAATCTATAAATGTACTCTAAAGCTTTCTCTCTATTAGATTCCCATTCTTCCTCCATGTCTGACTTTGTAGATTTTTTGCGCTGAATAATACACAGAAATATGTAATATATAAAAAGGCAATATAATTAGTATAATTAAATTATAGATATCATACCTTGCCCAAGAATTTATCATCTTTAAAAACTTCGTCATCTATGTAGCAGATAAACCAAGAAAGTAAATATGCAAGCATTTTATTCATATTTAACAAGGTCAATCTATGTTCTTCTTCCAATTCGTTTCCTTTCTCAAATATACTTTCCATGTTAAGTACCAACATTTCAAAACCTTTACAAAATAATGATTGAAGTTAATGTTGTAAGTTATATACAATTTAATAATTTAAATAATTTTTTTTTAATTAAATGCTTAACATGCACCTTTTTAGATTACTAATTTTTTAGATTATTAGAATCGTGATATGTAAATTTTTTAGATTATTAGAACAGATATGTAAATAATATGTAATATGTAAATTTTACACTTAATAATGAAGTCATTTAGATTCAACCCTTCAATGACGATGCCTAACGTTGATAATTTAAATTTTTTGATCATTTAAATTACATAATTAATCATTAGATAAATTTAATAGTAATTTTAGTGGTAAAATGACAAATTTATTATTATTTATCTATAATTATGAAATTTAGTTCTTTAGTTTCTTCTAAAGATTGCACAAGAATCAATACAATATACAGACATCATCTCTGAAAGATTAAAATTTTTAACCCAATCAAAATATTTGTTACCTTTCTGGATTCTAGTAAAGGCACGTTGAACAATTGTTAATTCAACTTTATTTTCATGAACAACTACAGAGAAAAATGTATCAAAATGTTCAAAAATAAAATTAGCTCCATTTGCTTGCAGTGCCAATCGAGCTTCTGCAAATAAGATTTAATTACTGAAGAAATTACTAATATGGAAAATAATCTATAAAAGTATATGAAATTCATAAAATACCGTCAAGAGCTTGCGGTAATAATCGTATTGGAACGATTTCTTTAACAACATATTGTCCGCTCCGACTTTGCAAAAGTTCATCTTTATTCACAGGAATAACAAAATCTTTGATCATCTTAACTGATTGATAATTCACAACTTCTTCAGAAAGTCAACATTTCATTTATAAGTTTGAAAATTTAATGGTTTACTTGGTATTTTATACAAATACGAATTGCAACAATGTTTGTAATCAAAACCAAAATACACAACAATTTCACAAATGTTTGTAACTGTCATTTTAAAATTCACTCCAACCAACATATTAAACGTAGATACATTTTTTCATATTTATTCGTTCCATGTGTTGGAAAATATTGAGCATTAATAATAAATCATTTAGATCCTTATGATTAATTCATTTCATTTTTTTTTTTTTTTTCATTAAACTGATTTAAATAGATCGATATTGATTTTCTTACGGATTGTATTGCGATTATTCAGGTTGGCAGAACTGGATTTTCAAAACTGAATTTTCCGGTTGAATAGTGGCGCGATGTCGTTGGAGGTAGAAAACGATTTGATACGAGTAAATAACCAATTGTGTGATTTCTCGAGGGATGGAAGATTTTTTGCAACTGCATACCAGACAAATTTAACAATAAGAGATTACAAAAAATTCGATATTATCCATTCGTTCGTATTTCCAGACATAATCGAGGTTAGTTCATGTTTAAACCAAGGCCTAAGTACAGTTATGATATCGATTTCGGTCGATTCTTCGAAACAATTATGAAAATACAATTACTCTCGTCAAAATGCAGCTATTGTCATAAATATTCGAATACTAAATCTTCGAAAATCTTCGATATTCCTAGTAAACGATCCGATCGTGACAAATAGTACATCATTTGATTCGTCTCCTTAAGCACATTAACCTGTCTCTTTGTCATTATATACAGAAACTCTTACAGTTTTTTTTAAATTGACCATAAACTTTCAATATCATACGTTAAAAAGAAGGCTCACGGGCAAAGTAACAAAGGAAAAACAATTACTTCATGTCAGACTATATTACAGTATACTACTGTTACATGATCTTGAATTAGGATTGTATCAAAATAGATTTGAAACTGACAGGTATAAGTATTCTTAAGTAAATTCTGGGTCTCTATCAGGATTAGTACAAGAACCATAAATAAAGTCAACATAGACAGAAATTTTATTTAGAATTCTAGAAACAATTCTTCATAACTGTTTTAGTTGAAACTGATATATGATAGTTATTAACTATTATTTTTGTGATTGTTTCAAATGATAACATATAACAATATAATATATAAACAATTATTATTTGCACTCTTATTATTTATCATATTACAACATGAAATGTCAATTGCAATAAAAGAAATAAAATGTTTATACTAACAAAATTCATTTTTCATTTTATCACAGTATATAGAATGGTCTAGAAATAGTGAATATATACTATGTGCAAACATAAAAAAAACTATTGTTCAAGTATATTCTATTCGTTATCCTGAATGGAAATACAAATTGACAGAAGGCAGTGCTGGTTTAGAAAGTGTTACTTGGTCCCCTGATAGTAAATACATTTTAACATTATCAGATTTTAATGTAAGTAGTAAGTTTGCTCGATATTAAATATACTAGCACTTCAATATTTTTATTAAAATTATTGCAATATTCAGATTCAGATATCTATATGGTCTCTGGAGAATCAAAGTGTAACTCATATACAAAATGTGAAATCTTCTTTCAATAAATTATATTTTACTCCAGATGGTAATAAATTAGCAGTAGTAGTTTCAATTGAAGGTAATAATAATATTGAAATTTATAAAACTGATACCTGGAAATTAAGCAAGGTAAGTAGTTTAATTCAAATAATTTGAATTTTAATATATAAAAATAAATTTTTTTACAAATTATTTCGTTACAAAATGTCTATATCATGAATCTTAATAATATGATCAGATCCGCAACTTGCTAGTTGTAAAATATTAGAATATTTCTCTTGAGGTCTAAATTTAAGCCTTTTAACAGTTAAATGATGTGCTTGAGAAGTGTCATACATTATATACTTTTCCCACTCGAAATTATTAGAAAACATTTTCAATTTCTGTATTTCTATAAATCCAGTCTCAAGTCCTATTGCTAAAACATAAAAACCTTGAGAGATATTCTGTAATGAAAATGCAAGTGCTGTAATTGAAGTTTTCATATCCAAACTTGTAGTTGGATCAATTTTATCATCTGTAAAGTTTGGATTCCAAATTCCAATTTTTCCATCTCTGGAACCAGTTGCAAAGAAAGATGAATCATACGTCCATGAACAGCACCATATTATACGAGTATGAAGATTATCTTTTTTTAAACTAGCTGCAATTAAGGTATACATATTGTCTTTACATTCAAATAATGACCATCTTCTATCTCTAGAGACAGATAGTAGATATTTGTTATTGGGTGAAAATTCCATCTGTGTTACAGTTAATTGATGAGACACGAGTTTCTGAACTTGAGTCCATGTATTTGTACTCCATAATAATATTGCAGAATGTTCTGGCGATGTTGATTTACATGCAGTTGCCAATAATGATCCATCATGTCTGGCAGCCATAGAAAATATTTCATACCCATGACCATAAAGTTTTTGCAATTCTGGCCATAGTGTATTTTGCATTAATTCTTCTTCTGTTGGAGGAATATAATCTTCATTTTTAAAGTCATTAACTTCCACATCTTCAATTGAGATATTGTCATTAAATGTTGCTTTATTTGTTAAACCAAGAGCAGGTACTGACGCACTATCAGCTACCATATTTTTAAAATCGTCAACATTGGCAATTTTCATTAAATAGTTCCTAAATGTTGCTGGTGCTGTAAATATACGAACAACTTTCTCTTCTGCTCCTGAAGCAAACATATAAGGAGTTAGCATAACCAAACAAAACATGTCATATCCATGAACTTGTGGCCGCCCAATTTCATGCCAAAATTCTGTTTTATTTTTCCAAGGTGCATGAATTCTGGTTGTCTGATCTGTACTTGCAGAAAGTAAAAACCTATAATATAACATGTAATTGTATATTTTTTTGTAGATTGTATAAACTATACACATTATGAGCAATTTTAAATATAAACCTTCCATTTGCATCCCAGTGAAGATCAACTACTTCACCAAAGTGACCACTTGGTACAGATCTTGGAGTCCAATTTTTTATAGTAATTGAATATTCCCAAATATGAAATGATCCTTGGTAACCATGTGCTAATATACTTAATCCATTATCGCTAAATTTACAACCATAGAAACCCATTGAATTGCCACCAACTTCACCCACTCTTACTTTCTCAGACCAAATCCCAGTTACTTCGTCTGGTTCCCATATAATCATAGATTTATCTAATGAGCAAGATAATAATCTTAAAATTCTATTTTTATCATCAGGTTGCATTGGATACCAATGTACACCATAAATCCAGCCTTCATGGCCATAAAGAACAGATTCCAAAGTAATATTATACTTTGTGCTATTAGCTATAAAGATTTGTTCTTTCTGATGCAATTCTTCAATTGAGAATTCTGTATTATTTGCAGAAATTTTCCATAATCGTATCATAGCATCTTGAGATCCACTTGCAAGAAAGATATTATTATTTATGTCATAGTTAAAATCCATACATCGTACCCAATCTTCATGCCCAGTTAAAACTTGAGCTTTTACAAAATACGATTCTTCTATAATATTAGAATTTGTTACATATAATTGAATTGTTGAATCTTCTATTGCAACAGCCAGAAGTGGTAAATCTGTGTCTGGTAGAAAAGAAAAACAAGCTTCTATTGGTAATTTCCTACCAAATATAATTGTTTGTAAACATTTTAAATTATCATCCGTATCTCTTAACCATATTTTTAGATCTCCTTCAACAGATCCAGTGCATATAAATAATTTCATGGATTTTTTATCATTTAAAAAATTATAATCAGAAACGTATAATGAGTTGCTAAATATGACGTTATGACCAACTTCTATGATAGAGTTACATTTAAACGATTCATTGATTTTTCTCCAAATAATAGCTGTTCCATCTATCGAACTTGATAAAAGCTCTGATTCGTCTTTCGAGTCTCTTCGTTTAATCCATCGTACAGTATTGATACGATCTTTGTGTCGATGGAGCGTATGCGTTATTTTTCCAATTTTTGAAATATATGGATCATAAATTGCAACTGCGTGACACGCTGCAAAACAAATAAGTCCATTTCTCCCCCAATCAGCTGAATGTGGAACTCTGTTGCAAGCACACGATATATAACTCGTCATATTTTTATTTTAATAAATAAACCAATTGTCAAAACATCAATTTAACCTCGAAAGCTACACACGAGTGCACCATGCACGCGGTCTTCATTCATCTTAAAAGTGATGAAGTTACTAGATATTAATTTCATCTATATTTCTATCGCCAATTTCGGGCTTTTTTAAAAAAACTTTATTTTATCCAACAAGAAATTAATCAAAGAAATTCGGAGAATTAATTGTTCTTTTAAAAAAATATAAAATTTAAAATCCCTTTATTCCTTTATTAAGTAAAATAAATTTCTTTATTTCATTATTTAATACAAAATTTCTTTCTCTAATTTAAAGTAACGAAATTAATTATATCCTTATGGTAAGATTCATAAATGAAATTATAAAAGCTTTTGCAAAATGATATTTGTATGATTTTTTAATTTTAGAAATTGATATGCGGACGTTTGAATAGTATCGATGGATTGTGCTGGTCTCCGAATAGCGAATTGCTATGCATTTGGTCTTCTTTTAGCAACGAAATGAAATTAATTATTTATTCGAGCACGTTCGAAAAGGATATTGCAGTATTTCATCCTGCGCAGACTGTAAATTTATCTGAGATGGAATATACAAACTACAAAGATTTAAAAGGAATTGAAAATGTAACGTGGATGCCCAGTGGACAGTTATTAGCTGTAGCAGGATTTAATGAAATGGTTTAATTTTATATATTTTGATAGGATCAAAGTGCACTTTTATTTTGCTATGAAAAATGTTGTACAGTAATATTTATATTTTAGGTCGTATTATTAAATCACGTAACATGGAAATCGCTTTTACAATTATACCTTGAACCGGTAATTAGTGAAAATTATTTGAACAAAGTATACGAAGAACGCGTAATTCAATCAAAATTTTCCAATAAAAATGCGAGTTATTATGATAAACATATTTGTAAGTAATCTCTTGTAGTTCGCGTAAATGTAGTTAATATTTCAAAAGCATCGACTTTTATAGTGGAAGAGAAATCGGAACGACCAATAAATATAAAAATTGGAAGGAAAAATATTACTGAGAGATTGTCAATTGCGAAATTCGACATTTTAGAATTTAGTTCTTGCGGACAGTATCTAGCTGTGAAACATCAACTTTATCCTACAACATTGTGGATATGGAACGTTATTGACGATTATCTCGATTATCTGCTTCTTGAAAATACTATCGTAGGTAAGTATTTCAATAATATATATTTTTGTCTGTAAAGTGTTAATGAGTTAAATTAAGATGTTAATTAAAAATTTAAGCTGCAAGATGGAATCCTACACGTGCTCATCTTCTGGTATTTTGCGAGTGTATGTATGCATTTGAATGGACACCATATAATGCGAATTGTTTAACAATCCCGCGAAATATCACAGTATTAGACGCACGATGGCATCCTAGGGGAAATCTCTTATTGCTTTGTGGTTATAATAAAGCGATTATTTACCATATTGAAGATAAATGACGAATTATTTGAATATAACAAATATAACAATGTATAATAAAAATAAAATTCTACTAATTTAGTTTCAATGTGTCGTCTAGTTGTTGGCAGTACACATGAAACATAAGTATTGTGCTGGAGTGGAAAGATGAGTGACAGGAATGCGAGCCTGATTGGTTATTTCAGATAGTCTTATTAACTGAAAGTGTCAAGTACATAAGATTGTGTAGCACAACAACGTGTCGATGAGCGACAGTGAGAAAGCTCTATCGAAAATTTTTTCAAGCAACACGCAGTACATGCCGATGTTATCATTAATCAGTATTCCATGTGTTCACTATCTCTTAATCTTCATTTTTCTTAAATATTAAAATATATATTTGACAATTTATTTTAAAATAATTTGTATAAATTATTCATAAATTAACAAAATGAATGCTGCTAGTGTCATTGAATTAATGGACGATATTGTATTGGAAAAGAAACATGTGGAAAAGAATAACACGTAAGTGTAACCTTTCATATATTACAAGAATAATGTATATATATAATTAAAAATATAATTATATTTATAAACCTTAAAATATTAAAAATATCTTGGTTAAATTTTATTTTAAGTAGCTAAAAATTATTTACTTTTTTTTGTAATAGATTACAATAATCTGAAAATTGCAAGTTTTAAGGAATCCAAAAGTTATTTTTGAACTTTGTTTCTGGTTTTAGCTTCAGTAAAAATCTACTAGATTATCAAAAAAAAAATTGAATGATTTTTAATGTTTTAAAGTAAAGTTTAACCAATATTATTTCTTTTTACATATATAATATTTAATTATTTTATAAGATACTAAAATTTAAAATTATCTTGTAAGTTATAAAATTATAATTCTAATATATTTTATATATGTTTGATAGAAATGTATCGATGAGAAATAAAAATAAAAATGATGGTCCACATGTTTCAAGGCAACTGAAAGTAGAACTACAAACCTTAAGAATATCAGAAGAATCTGAACGTCTACTATATGATACTTTAAAAAATATTTATGGTTCTGTATGTATTTATAGATATTTTTATAAATTCATTATTTTATGTGTATATACATATATATATATAAAATATATTATTAGCAAATAACATAGTTTTTTTTAACAGAGTTTTAAGCTTTCTGATGTATCAGAATTTGAAAATAAAAGATCCAATTTAAGCAAAAATTATTGGGTAAAAAGGGCTAATTTAGTTATTAAAGGAATAGTTGATTATTCTTCTAAAGATAATACACCTGAAATTGAAGGACAAGTTATTAGGCAATTTGCAGCATTCACACTTGAAAATTATGGGTAAGTTAATCCAATTTTAAGTAATGTACACTCGTATATAAATATTTATATTATTTCCAGTTTCCATCGACCTCATTGTATTGAGGCACTATTACATACAGGGGGTGATATAGGAAAATCTCTAGAAGTATTATTTTACAAATATTATGGATTAGAAAATGTCACGAAAAATAAAATACCTGATGATATTGATACAACAGATTTATTGGAAAGAAGAAAAGAAGAAAAAGAAGCATTAGAATCTATTTATGAGCATATGTTTAATGAAAAAGTAAAAAATCAAGTTTGGGTTGTACAAGTTAAATTAGACTATTTAGTCAAAAATGATGAAGTAGAGCAAGAAATCCAGAAGATTAAGAAAAAACAAGAAAAACAAAAAGAGAGAGAAATTTGCAAATTATTTATTCACAAAAAATGTAGATTTGGAGATAAATGTAAATTTTTACATCAACAAGCAGAGGTATTAAAAATACCTGAAAGAGATGACCCATTATTTACATTGGAAATAAGGTTTCCTGAAGGTATTATAACTATTTATATAGCTATGTATACTATTTATATAGCAATGTAGACTATGCACTTAATCTTTATAAATGTTCTATTAGGTTGTAAATATCCTTATGAACCACCTTATTTTTATATTTATAAAAATAGTGGTACATATCCAAATATAAATTGTTTAAGAATAGCAAGAAGGTTGTACAATGAAGCATCCCGAATATCTACAGATGGAACACCTTCTATTTTCTCAGTAATATCTCTTTTAGAAAATGAATACGATATAAAAGGATATTTAGAAGAAAATAAAGAACAATTTCCAGATCAAATTGAATTGCTATTTCAAAAAGATGAAAATGAGGATGAAGCAAATGCAGCTACTCATTATGAATTAGGATCTGTATATAGGAAAAGTAGAAATAATGATAATTGGGACGAAATGCTAAAAATAGATGATCTAATTGAAAGGAACTTTAAAGAGCAACAATCGAATCCCAAATATAAAAAGATGAGAGAAGATAGAAAAAAGCTTCCTGCATGGTTAAAAATGAATGAAATTTTAGATTTGATACAGAAGAATCAAGTTGTCATAATTTCGGGTGAAACAGGATGTGGTAAAAGTACACAGGTGCCACAATTTTTATTAGATGATTGGATTCTTAACAGATCCAAGTCTAAAGAACGTATTAATATAATATGTACACAGCCGCGAAGAATAAGCGCAATAGGAGTAGCAGAAAGATGTGCTGCAGAAAGAAATGAACGCATAGGTGATACAATTGGTTATCAAATACGATTAGAAAATAAAATTTCTGATAAAACCAAAGTATTGTTTTGTACAATAGGAATTTTTTTACAAAGATTTTCACATATATCAGATATTACACACATTATAGTAGATGAAGTGCATGAAAGAGGCGCAGAAAGGTAAGTTATCTCTTATATTATTGTTCATTTTATCTTAACTATTATTTATTTTGATTTAATTACTTTTTTAGCGATTTCTTACTGATGCTGTTAAAAGAATTATTGCCCAAAAAACCAAATCTGAAAGTAATACTAATGAGTGCAACGTTTAAGAGTGAAATGTTTTCTACATACTTTAAAGGAGCTCCTATTCTACATATTCCAGGAAAAATGTTTCCTGTAGAACAAATCTTTTTGGAAGATGTATTTGAAAAAACAAATTATGTTTTAGAAGAAAATTCGAAATTTACTCGTAAAATTAAAGGTGATTGGGAGCAATTGCAAATTGATCTAGAAACTGCAGAGATTCAAGGTTTTTCCACTGTTAAACAATCTATCGAAGATGAAAATCTATCACTAACGCAGATTGTCAGTAGATATCAAGGTTATAATAAGCAAACGCATAAAAATTTATACATTATGGATCATAACAAAATTAATTTTGAACTTATAGAAACAGTACTAGAATGGATTAGTTTTGGTGAACATGATTACCCTAAAACAGGTTCCATTTTAGTAAGTATTTTTAATAAATTTTCTTATTATACGAAAAATATAAAATATTTAAATTAATATTGCTAATAAATTTGTAGGTATTTTTACCAGGATTAGCTGAAATTATTGAATTAAGAAAGCGATTGAATAACAATAAATATTTCTGTCCAAAGACTGGAAAATTTACTATTATACTACTACATTCATCTTTATCCAAAGAAGAACAAAACTTAATTTTTAAAAAAACTGATGCTAGGAAAATTATATTAAGCACAAATTTAGCTGAAACGTCCATCACTATAAATGATTGCGTTTTCGTAATTGATAGTGGAAAAATGAAAGAGACTAGATTTAATTCCAGTCAAAATATGGAAAGTTTAGAAACTTGTTGGGTTACACAAGCAAACGCGTTACAAAGAAAAGGTCGTGCTGGGCGTGTAATGCCTGGAATATGTGTTCATTTATATACTTCGTACAAGTACGTGTCATTGTTGTTAAAATAATTTAATTAAAATATTATATCTTATAGTAATATTTTACTAATATTTATACAATTTAAAATATTTTTCAGATTTAAGTATCACTTTTTAGCACAGCCAGTACCTGAAATATTACGAATCCCTTTAGAATCACTACTATTACGTATTCAACTTTTACACACAGGAAAAAAAGTTGATTTATATGAAGTTTTAGGTAATAACAACATTTTTAATTTCTGAATTCAATTAACTTTCTATTTATTATATTTTTTATATTTAGGCAAAATGTTGGAATCACCAACAAAAGAAAGTATCTGTAGTGCAATTAAGCGTCTACAAGATGTTGGGGCATTTGATTCAGAACATATATTAACTCCATTAGGTCATCATCTTGCAGCATTGCCTGTAAATATACGTATTGGTAAATTAATATTGTTCGGCGTGATCTTTTGCTGTCTTGATTCTGCACTTACTATAGCAGCTTGTTTATCTCATAAAAACCCATTTACTATACCTTTTGAAAAAAAAAATGAAATTGATGTAAAACAACAATTTTTTACTGCCAATTCTGATCAACTAACTATTTTGAAAGCCTATAAGGTAAGAATATAAAAATAAATATTATATCATACAATTATAATATTAAAGGATAATTCTTTTTCCATAGAAATGGGTTCAAGCACGTGCGCGCAGCAGTAGTGCAGGTCAAGCTTTTGCAAATGAAAACTATTTGTCTCTGCAGACTTTATATGCCTTGGCAGATATAAAGTATCAATTATTAGAATTATTAGTTTCAATTGGTTTTGTCCCTATTAATTTACCCAAACGACAACCAAATGTTGATAGAATTATGGAAATTACTGGATCTGAACTTAATATTAATAATGACAATTATAAACTTCTTCAAGGTTTACTTTGTGCAGCTTTATATCCTAATATAGCTAAAGTTTTCACACCAGAAAAATCCTTTCAAGTTCAGTCTACTGGAGCAATTCCAGTACAGCCAGACCCCAAACATAGATTGCTCCAAACTAAAAATAATGATTTTGTTAATATCCATCCATCTTCAGCCAATTTTCATGTTAGTAACTTACCTAGTCCATATTTAGTATTTCAAGAAAAAGTTAAAACAAATAAAATATTTATTAAAGAAGTATCAGTGGTACCAATTTTACCATTATTATTATTCTCTAATTATGAATTAAAAATAGAACTGCATGATGGAATATTTATTGCATCACTAGAAGATGGTTGGATTTTATTTAGTATTGAACATCACAGGGTAAGCATACTGATTTTTAAGGAAATTATATTTAAAAAAGGAAAAATATTAATTATATTTTAAATATACTTTTAATGTTATTTAGGTCGCACAACTTTTACAAAGAATGAGAATAGAATTACACAAGTTGTTAGAACAAAAAATGAAGGACCCTCTTTTGAATCTATTAAACTACCAAAATGGAAAAAAGATTATTCAAACAATTGTGAACGTAGTTACAAGAGAATAAATTATGCCTTACCATTAATTTTATACTTTTTTCATTTTTTTAATATTAAAAATCTTATTTAAAAACATAGAAAATTGTTAAATATTTTAATACAATTATTAAATATGTTAGTTAATTAAATATATTAATTTTGACTATATTTACATGTATATAATGTATATAACGTATGTGTATATAGAGCTATTGTTATTTTGAATAAATTCAAATAATTTTAAATACAAAGATGCATCCAAATTATCCAAGATTACCTTCGATTCATAGACCAGCTATTATAGCGATCATTATAATTTATAAATGTCGAACTCGTGGATATTTAACAAATCGCACTGCGGCACCAAATGAAATCATCGTATATAGCAATTATGATAATTTATATTTATATCACAATACTATAAATAAATAATAACTCCGTAATTGATTTTAGTTGTTTATATAAAAATATCACAAAATATACAATTACTAATAATTTAATGAAGATTACATAATGAAAGTTAAATGACGAAATAACGAAATAACGAATGAAGATTTTCTACTATGGCTACAATATATATAAGTGGCAGTAAACATTTCCATGGTGATAATAAAATTAATAGCTGTTTTTAAATATTCTATTGTTTATATTAAATACACATCTCGAGGGAACATAGATGTCGTTGATCTAAATTCTTCGAAGTAGAGGTCGCTACACGTAGTGGCCGTAAAGAGACATCTAGGATTTAAACGAGTTACTTATGTAGTATGCATAAACCCTCATTACGAATAACCAACACGTGGGATGTAGAGTGAAATTTTCTTTCACGAGTTCTCATTAATTGTAACTTGTAATTCAAATTAAAATTATGATGGATACAGAAGAGATTATAGTGATAGAAAAAGTAATGGAAGATAGAAATTTAAATAATGAATTTATAAACTGTACGTCAAATATTGATGAAAGTAACAATGTTCCAAGTACTAATGAAGATAATTTATCAACATACAAAAAAGATATACAAATTGTGGCAAATCAATGCACAGATGATTGTGAAGTAATTATAATTAATAATGTAGAAACTCAACAAAATTCTAATAAAAAAGATAACCTAAATGAACGAGAGAACAAATCAGCTGTGCTATCAAATATTAAACAAAATGAGGTATTCATCAACAATAGTGACAAAAATCAAGACAAAGATATAATATTAAAAAACTTAAAACAGAAGAAAGATGATGACATTTATATTGTACATGAAGTAAATACAATATCGTCAGCTCAAAGTAAGGAAATAAAATATTCATTATAATAAAAAGTATTTGCAATCTTCATTGAAATAACAATTAAAAATTATATTTTTTTCTTAACAGAAAGTGATAAAGTGTCTTCTCTCGATAGTATTGCTATAGAATATGGAGATTCTGATTCAGAAATAGAATTTAATATTGATGAGATTAAATGTGATTACAATCAAAGTCAACCTTTGAAAGAAATACAAATGCAAACTTATAGACAAAATAAAGAAGTATCATCCAGTGAAGAAAGTGATGATGAAGATTCTGCCAGTAGTAGTGATTCTTCAGAAATAGAATCAATTGAATCAGATAGTGATGATATTTTAAGCAAGTATGTTATTTGCCTAAATTTTTATACAGCCAAATTTTATATAAAATATTGAAATAATTTCATGTACTTTCAGGAAGAACAAAGGAAACAATAGAAAAGAACAAAAGAATAATGAAATGAAAAGTGAGTTAGATGATCTACCTCCTATTGAAGATTTAAAAATTAGCATGCCTGAAGTATTATGTGATCCATTAGGAGAGGTATATACAAATTTTAAAATAATTTTAAAATAATTTCGAATTATATGATAGAATGAATTTAAATTTAAGGTTGCGTGGATGGTTGAACAATTAGTTGTTGTAAAACCAAAACCTGGTAAACCAACATTGAATTTAGATACAATTTTATTTATTGACAAAGGACAGAGAACATTAGGAAAAATATTTGATGTTTTTGGACAAGTAAATGAACCTCATTATTGTGTGAGATTCAACAGCTCTAAACACATAACAGAATGTAACATTACAGTAGGAATGAGCGTTTATTATTGTCCAAATACAGAATACACTTCTTTAGTATTCTTGCATGAATTATTGAAGTAAGTTTAAATATTTAAACATAATTATGTTATTTAATTATATAATTAGTATTATAGTATTTAGTATATGTATTAAATAATTTATAATGATTACAGAATCAAGGGTATTGATGCAAATGCAGATGATCCCCCAGAGTTTTCAGATGATGAAGAAGAACGGATTTATTATGAACAACAAAAAGCAAAACAAACAAATAATATTAATCAAACTGATATTCCATCTAAACGAAAGCGTATTTCAAGTATGTTCGAGCATATTTCTTATTTCCAGTGTATTTTTTATTAATATTTATATTTTTAGATGAACCTGCTACTGGTTGGCAGTTAAATCATCCATGGAATAGAAATATGCAGAATCAAAGAAGAGGATTTTATAGACGAGTAGATAAGCGATTTCCTACTATGCAAACAAAAAACCAGTCCCAAAATTTATGGCCACAATTTTATCAAAATAGAAACGAACCATATGAACATGGAATGCATTCATTGCAATATATGCAATATATGAACTATAATAGTGGTGTTAATCAAAATTTTTATGGCTCGCACAATTATTACAATGAAAATGCTTCATATCTAAATCCTAAAATTCCTTTCAATTCATGTCCAAGAGTTCCTCCACCAGGGTATGTAACACCACAGAATCATCCGAATTCATCTACAAACGTAAGATTTCAACCTGCAAACATATCTTGGCTACCACAAATGCCACAAGTGCCACAAGTTCCTATTAGAATGAAATTACCATGGATACCTGTACCACCATCTCCACCTCCTCCACCTCCTCCACCAACTTCGTCATCGTCAAATACTATTTAAACATTGGTAATGTAATTATTTATGTCATATTTTTTAATTTAGTTTTATATATAAATATTATTTTGAAAGTAAAAGAGAAATAGTCATATATATATTAAAATATATATGTATGAAGTAATGACAAAACTATTCTTATTATATATTAATTAGTAAACTATGAGCTATAACAAATTATAAGTTTATATTATTTTTTTATATAGTGAGGAAATATAAAAATATATATGTATAAAAATATATGTATAAAATGTTACCACAACATAATTACCGTTATTTACTTACAGTGTGAATTACTTTACCGTTATTTAATTACAGTATGAATTACATTAATATTTGTATAATTGCATTATTCTTTTAAAAATGGATTATCTTTATAAGCCATCATATCTGATTTTTGCAACTGTTCTTCAGCAACTGCTATATCATTTTTTATTGCTTGAATCAATTCCTCTGAAATAATAATTCATTTGATAAAAATAGAATTTAGTAAATCTTGATAAAAGTTTTAATTACCTTCAGAAGTAAAATCTTTTTCTGGTCGTATATATCCTGTGAAAATGGCTTTAATTTGCTTTCCATAGAAATCATTCTCAAATTTATGTATTAAATGTATTTCCTATAATAGTAATATATTATTAAAAAAAATGGCTTAAAATTTTTATGTTATTAAGATTTCAATTATTCTTACCACTGTCTTTTTCTCATTTTTATAAAATGGATTCCAACCAATACTGGCAACCATTTTATAAGTTTGTTTATTTATAGTAGCCCATCCATAATAAATTCCAGTAGTAAGATCAGGAGGTAAATTATCTACTACCTGGTCTTCAAGATTTGCTATAGAAAAATAATTTTGCAATTACACAACAAAGTATTGATGTAATATTACTTTAAAAAGAATTATTTTTTCTTTCATTCATAATGTATAATTATTTTAATTTCAGTCTCAAGGTTTTTAAACAATATATTTTTAATGAAAATGGAATACAAAATAACGTTTGACACAATATGTAATATTAAATTTTTTAATACATTTCATATGTTCCCGCCAATAAGTAGAATAAGACAATTGCGTTCTTTAATTACATCCAATTCTAATTAACTTCTGCGAGATTGACGTGATTTTAAATTGTTTGCCATTAAGTTCGAAAGTTTTACACTCGCTGAGAGTTTAAAACAAAAAAATAAAATTGTCAAACTTTACCTGTTGGTATTCCTAAAGCTTTGGAACCTCTGCCAAATCCCCTAACCACCAACCCTGATAAAAAATATGGTAAGCTTTTGGTACACATAATGAATTTTGATATCGCGTCAGACTTGTAACTTGTAACTTGTAGCAGTTGTCAGATGTAGGGGAAACATGGCGGTGTGAAGATTTCGTAATATAGGCAATAGTAGAAGGAAGAATAGAACCGTGGTGGTGGACTTCACAGTCCAATCCGCGGCGATATTTTATAATAATAATGATGTAATTGCTATTGCTATCATAATTCATTGCATGGTTATCTGGTTCCTATCGATAAGGGATTTTGTGCTTGTAACTATGCTTCATAATGGATAATTTTGAAGGAAGATAAAACGTCTATTATACAACGTGGCATATTTACATATTTGGAATCATATTGATGAAATAAATTAATTACTTTTAAAACAAATTATCTCGTGTATACTTTTGTAAGATGAAAATTATATGAAATTATAAATGTACTTTGGAAAATTTGTCCTTGTCCAGTTTTAAAATTCCAAACTAATTAATCATTACGTGTTGTGAACTATCTTATGGGCAATTCTTTTATTCATTATCGTATATTATTTTGTAAGCAACAAATTATTAAAGATAGTTTATTTAAGTTTGTAACTGAAATTTCAATGTTTCAGAAAGTACAGAATTTATAAAATAAAATTTTGACTTAAGATAATTAAAATAAAATATTTTGCTATTTTCTTTTTTGTTGCAACTTAGTTTATAATTTGTAACTTATGTTTATAAGTTAGCAAGTATGGAAATAGTATAGATATTAATCTATATAGAGATATTAATGTTAAGAATTACATAATAAAAAATCAAAGTTTAAACTATTTATTGAAGAACATTACCTTTTTTTTAATGTGAAAAACATCTTAAAAACAATACAATGCTTTTATAAACTGATAATATATAAATGTTGAATAGTCTTTGACAAATTACAAAAACATAAAATTCTTATTCTATATATAGAATATAGTTTAACGAGGGCACATAACATGTCTTCCTCCATCAATAGATAATGTTACACCAGTAACGAAACTGGCTTCGTCACTTGCCAAGTATGCAATAGCTTTTGCAACCTCGGAAGCATCTCCTGATCTGCCAAGTGCATGGGTATCTTTGCTCCTAGCAAAAAATGCTTTCAATTCTTCTTCTGACATTCCACTAGTTTTATGAAGTCTTGTTACTATTACACCAGGATTCACAGCATTAACCCTTACCTAGAAATTAATCCATGTGAAAGCTACTATTATAATTGCCAATTTTTACAGTTATACATACTTGTTTTGGTGCAAGTTCGAGAGCCACACATCGTGTGAATTGATCAAGTGCTGATTTACTCATACAGTATGCTAAAACTCCTGGGAAGGACCTTAATCCAGCAACACTTGATACATTCACAATATTACCTTTAGTTTCAACAATATGTGGGACAGCTAGTATTGTTAAATGATATATTGAACGTACATTTGTGTTGAAAACTCTGAAATAATAGTATATGCAATTTTATAAAATTAAGGTCAAATTTTATAAATTTAAGCTATATATATATACCTGTCATATTGTTCTAATGAAGTACTTTCTATGCTTCCATTTTCTAATATACCAGCATTATTAACCAGGACATCCAGTTTACCATAATGTTTAATGGTAGATTTCACAATATTTTCAACATCCTTTTCATTATTTAATTCTCCAGTTATAACTAATGGTTTATTAGACTTACATTGTTCAGCTACTTCATTCAATCTTTGTAAATTACGACCTGTTAATGACAATAATGCACCGAGCTGTGAGAAATGCACAGCAGTTGCTGCACCAATGCCAGAACTAGCTCCCGTTATTAATACAACCTTTCCAGCAAATGTCATCTAGAAAAAATGAGTTACAATAAATTTTATTTAGAAAAAATTAATGTTATTACACTTATCACTAAAGTTCTTTCAATTTATAAACTTCTACAATATAACATATGTACGTAATTTGTGACATGAATTATTTTAGAATAACTAAAATTTCTTTTCTTCAATAATTTTTTCATAAATACTTACCTTTATTGATATAAAATATATTTAATATATTATCATTAAATATTTTTTTTAAAACCTTATGTTCTCGTTACTGAAGTAAGACAAGAAATAGTTGCCACGACACCAGACTTTGATATTAATGTAACGTAGAATTTTTACGAATCGACTATAGAGTGATTGTAACTATGGATACATCATAATATCGTAAAATTAAAATTAACTATTTAAAATTGTGCATTCGTAATGTAAAATTACAATACATTTCACGTCCATAATATGGATGTATTTATATTTATAATCTATTCAAATTATTTAAAAAGTGTAAAACGTGATATGAATAATATGATAGGAATAAATATTTATAATATTAATAATATTATTTATTATAATATTAATAAATATTTTAATTAATTTTTGTAAATCTATAATTTTTTTAAACAATTAAAAACAATTAACAATTTTAAAAACAATTTATTAATTTAGATATATTTTCATAAAATTTAATTAATGCAAATATACAATAGAAATTGTAATTAGTTCTTTCCAAATAAGAATTAATGTATAATAAATATATAATGTACTCTTCAATTTGTCATTTTTATTTGTTCTAGTTCAGCTACTACAGTATTCAAATATTTTTCAACTTTTTCCATTGATACATAAATTTTTTCAGCATTCCACTCTTTATCTTTAACTTTTTTTACAACTCCTTGAAGAGATAATTTTGCGCTTGCCAACAGCGTTCTTTTTTTTTTAAGTTCACAGTTGGAAGCGTATTGCAAGTATGTTTCTGCCAATATATGACATAATTGTAATACTTTCTCAACAGATTCTTCATGTAAAAGCCATTTGGCATCTGATAGAACAATACGATGTGCTTGCTGTAAATATTGTATTGCTTTTTCATTATCAATATCAGTTTTCTTAAGAACTGTAAGTTGCCCATACATTCTCCAAACCTCAGAATTATTAGGTATAAATGAAGTAATTCTCCCAAATAATTCTAAAACTTTTGGAAGTAATTTTTGTGTAAAATTTCCATCTGAATCATTTATATTGTTTAATATGGAATTAGTAAGTATATCAAGAATTTGAACATCTAAATGATGATTTTTCAAATCTAAAATACGATGATAACATCGAATCACCTAGAAAAGTTTATAAAAGACATAAATCGTTAAAAAAATGTATAATGTTAGAGAAGAGTTTAACTTTTATTAATATCATGTATCCATACTTCTGAAAAATGTCCCAAATCAATGCTGACAACCATTAAATTATCCCAAATTTGCCACTGATCATAATTACATTTAATAGCATCTTGAAGAGATTTCCATGCTTTTGCTTTATCGCCTAATTTTATATAAGCTTTTGCTAAATTATTCCATGCCTCGAATGTCTATAAAGTTAAATATTTAAATTGTTTAATGTATATTACTAACAGATTAATCCTAAATATTAATACACACTGTTTGTTCTAGGGCACAATAATGTTTATATGCTGTTACTGCCAATTTCCAATCTTCCACTTGTAAAGCAGCAAATCCAAGTCTTATCCAAACATCTTCTTGTATGTGGTTTAATTCAACTGATAATTTTAAGTGTGGTATAGCTTTTTCATACTTAAAAATAAAAAATAATTACACATTTTGTTAAATTACTAAAAAAAAATCTTTAAACTTATTTTCTGTATTTACATTTTGCTTAGCAAAATAAAAAAATCCCCATTGTCTTTGAGCTCTACTACTTTTTTCACTGGACAGTTCCCATGCTGTTTTATAACAATTAGGATTTTGAGTTGCATCACCTAATAAGCACCATAGTTGGACTGATGGCTTTTTAGATATTTCCTGTTCTATAATTTCTGCTGCCTAATGTTAATAATAAAATATAGATTCATTTATTTTATCCGTATTAAAAAAATTACAAAGACCAAGAAATATACTTTGTGTTTCAGTTCCAGTATATTGTAACAGGCTATAACTTCTTCCCATAGCTTAAGCTTCAAGAAAATATCTAAAGCATCCTTTACCAATCCAAGACTTAACATCAATTGTGCCCACATTTGTTCTAAAGTCCAAACTGGCTTAAAACCACTGGCAAAGAATAGATCCATTCTGTTTGCAACAGAGACATTTGGTTTATTTAATTCATGTATTAAATATTCCATTTGTATCATTGATCGTTCAACAGTTCGTTTATCCCCAGATTCCAAGGAACATCGATAATAAAGAGATGCCACTTTTAAAGACCAATTTCTTGTATTATTTACCACTACCTATTGAAGAATAATCTTTGATGATAAATAAATAAATAAATAAATATATATATATATATAAAAGGCAATGATACTTACAGTTAAATAAGGTGTTACTTCTTCATCTGTCAATTTATCTCTTGGTTGTGATAACTGTAATTGAATACTATTACAAAATTTATGTAATTTTTGCTTTATAGATATGATACAATACAAATATAAGGTATATAGCAAATTCTTACTATTTTGCTAATATAATAGCTTCTTCCATTGCTCCCAATTGTGTATTTTCTATATTTCTTGAAAATTCAATATGCTCTAATCTAATATCGTCATTTAAATCTAGAGACTTTGGTAAATTTTCACAATCTCTAGAAGGAAATTGTTCTTTTTCTAAAGTTATTCTTAAAAATAATTGTGCCTTGTCTTCCTGATATTTTGTACGTTTACCTAACGCACCTTCAAGATTTAAACTCAATTTTGCTCTTTCCTGAGCAAGTTCAATATATTTTTCTGAATTTTGAATTCTCCTATAATAAAAATAAAACTGTGCAACTTCAATATAAAGTAACGTCTCGCAATAAAAGTCTTCTTTTAACAGCTGCAAATTGCTGATTTCTTTAATCAACTTTTCTGTCTCATCAAATATTATACCGGAACTTTCATTTAGTATAAGTTGATGTAAAAGATTTGTTCTAAATAGCCACCATATACAGCTTTCATAGACATTTTGTAGAATTTCATTTGAAAATATTATTTTAGAAAAATAAAGCAGATGAGGCATTTTAACATTTGCATTATATTCATCATGTAAAGATAGATCTTTAAGTACATTTTCTTTATTAATTTGCCATTTAATATTTTCTTTAACTTCTGGACCTGTCCAATTCTGTTGAATGAAATATAATAAAGAAGCTATGCCTGTGCATAACCATGAATCATATAAATTTGTTTTTTCTATATTATCATTTATAAACTTAGAAACGTCGTTACCACCATTTAATTCTTGAATTAGAATTGAAAATAATTCATCATTCATAACATTTTCATAATCTCCATTTAATATATTTTGCACACAAATAGGCAAATTCTGAACTAAAACAAATAATGTAAAATATAAAACAAGATTTTATTATATTAAAATATGTTAATGACATTGAATATAACCTAATATGATATATAAGCGTAGTATTATTTTTAAATCGTTTACCTTCATTATTATTGGAATTTGTTAATATTAAAATTTCAATTTCTTTATTTATCGGTTTTCTCACGTCCGAAAGATTCATCATTGTAATGTATCACTCAAGAACACGTGGGACTGTCCACAAAGTATTATGTCACTTGTTACTTGTCACTTTAGGATGTCACTCTAGGTTAGAAATAATGGTGGCGCCATCTATTGACAACTCGACGGTACTAAAAACAGAATTTTCTACTTTTAGTACCACCGAGTTATCAATAGATGGCGCCACCATTGCCTCTAAACATTGACAGGTGACATTTTTTCCACAAATTACGAGAAGAAATTAATTACGAGAAATCATTTGTGAACTGTTATGGTTGCGGCTTCGATTTTAGGAACCCTAAGCTTGCGTTTTATGTTTTGTTTAAGTATAGTTTGCGTATATAAAGTATATTTCAATTTTGTTTACGTTAGTAATAGTGCCCGTAGTGAGTGCATAATATCGCGCAAACTATAGTAAATATTAGATTCAAATTTATTTACAAACGTAACTGATAGCTTTGTCTTTGAAATACGTGCTCGTGGAGTGCAAATTAGTGTGAAAAATTAAAATTAATTATTTCTTTATATTGTTATAGAGCGTTTAGTTCCACTGGTCTGCCACAACGCGGCGCTAATGCTTCTTAACCCGTAAAACAGAGAAATTTTCATTTGCGAAAAAACCTAATTTAGCGGAATGAATTGTGAACTTTCATGATTGTATTACCCTAATTAAACCCTTAGCTTTCTTTTCATACCCTATTTGACCCGTAAAATGCAGAAATAAATATTTTTATAAATAATTAGTACTATTGAACTACCGCTAGATGGCGCCACCATGCCCATATTGTGACAGTTCGCTAATTACGAAAAAAACCTAATTAAGAGGAATAATTTGCGAACTTTTTTATATGCATCCGTAAAATTAGGCTCCCGGCTTTCTTTCTATGCGCGTTTTGTCTTAGAAAAATGTGTGTATAAAAAGTTGAATTTTTTTTTTCAATAAATCGAAGGTTGTCCTTGTCGCACACTATTGCTTTCCTTGTCTAGCGTCATTAGACAAGAAGAGCACTAGCGTGCGACAAGGACAGACACACCTGTGCGGTAGACAAGGAAAGCAACAGCGTGCGACAAGGACAGAGATATCTGTGCGGTAGACAAGGAGAGCAACAGTGTGCGACAAGGACAAACACAAATGCTCGTTAGACAAGGAGGGTGGGACAAGGACAATAATATAAATTAATTCCTATCCCAGGGGTGATCCACAGGGTGCATGCTTAACTACATAACTTCACAAACTATTTTTCTTATTATTACTAGCAGCATTATACTATCACATATGTAAGTAAATCGAATATAATTGTTTTTTACATAATGTTTTACAATTGCATAATACGTTTTTATTTGTATGATTCATAATAACTATTATATAGCACATGTTAAAGGAAATCATCGGAATTGGGAATTCCCAATTATTTCCATGTGTCTATATAATGTGATAATAGCTATATTACAATTAACAAACAGATATATTAAATATAAGCTTGTAATATTTAACAATATTTTTTGATCCGTACAAAGGAAAAGATGATTTCTTTCCATTGTAGCTAACTTTCTAATACTGAAAGCATTAAAAAAAAAAAAGATTAAATATAATATACGTTTAATCAGGTAAATCTTCCACTTTTATATAAATATTTATCGTTTAACATTAAATAAATTAGTTTGAAAAAATTAATAAAACCAGCAATATGCATTAGTATGAAATGTGCTTCATAAAGATTGTTGTAACACATTTTGAAGTTCACTTCATTCATTTAAATCACTTGAATATTTAAAAGGAATAATGTAAAGACGAGGATAAACATTGATTTTTTACAGAACTGTTTTTAAAAACTTAGGTCGTTCTCGTTGTTAGTGTCATTAGATTCTTTTTTCGCAGCTATCAAATTTTCCCATTGCGCGATAAGAGTGCTTCTACGTCGTGGATTTGGCTGCACAAAATTAAATACACATTACTAATTCATTATCATTTAAAAATACAAATGCGTGTACTTATTCTAATACTTGACAAACAAAAATAATTGTTCACTGTCAAATATATCCATAAAAAATTTACTATACACATTTGAACTTTAAAAAACTAGTATTAATACCTTGTGTTTTCCTTTAATTTCTTTTTCTATTTCATCCTCATTTAAGGTATTCGTCGAGGTACCGCTTCTTAATGAACTTGAACCATCATAAATATCGGAATCGTTGTCATTTCCAATATCCAAAAGATTTGGTTGAGACTTGGCCAACATTTGAGATCGCATTAATCTAAAAATGTATATAATTGTTCGTTACATCATTAAATGGGGGACATACACATTACTGCTATTATAAAATTTTACCTCGATGATACTATCCGATAACAATGCAAGATTGTAAATGACATTGATTACAGATCACGTTAGAATAAAGTAATACTAAAAAAGTTGAGATTCTCGAGAAAGGTTTGTAAAAGGTTTGTAACTTATATCATTCAAATAATAGAATTATAATACAGTTATACATTCATCACTACAAAGAAAAGCAAAATAATGAGTACAAACAAGCACGTTACCTAAGCTCGTTCTCCCGCTCTTTCATTTCATGTAATTCTTTCTGAATTTTTTCTTCTACAGGAACGTATCCCTTCCTGACAGGAGGTTTCTTGGGTTCGTCGTCTGGTTCGAATTGAATTTCCAAACTCTTATTGAAAGCTTTGATGCTCAACGGATTGAGCGTGATGCTGGGTGTCGTGTGCGGTGTTACCGTGTCGTTCGCCGCAGATTTTGGTTTATAAATCTTCCCCCGGGTAGCCAGAAACCTGTGCATCAGACCTTTTTGACTAGGTGCTGTTGCGAAACGCAGAGGTGTAGGTGTGGTGCGACTGGATATGACTCCATTCGTCATCTTTGGTGTTAAGGACGGTGTAGATGGTGTAAAGGTGACTGCTTCCAAAATCTGTGGCGTAGATGTTGTCCTCTTTAACTTTCCCGAGGCCAGAGCTTGCGGCATGCGTCGCACCTGTTGTATAAAATTGTTGCAATTATACACAATCGAGATACAATCGAGTTAAATGTATAAGAAAGCGGCAACGTTGTGAAAATGTAGTCGAAAGACAATCTAATTCTAAGTAGAAACGAGCACGTTTAAAATAAGTTCACCTTATCTTCGGGGACAAAAGTATAGCGTGCAAAAGAATCGAAATGACCTTTACAACACACGCTGTACATTATTTAGCAAGCGCAAATTATACTTAAAAGCTACATTTTCAATCATTATTATCAGCCCGACGTCACAAGCGACAAAAAGCGGGTTTCGCGGAAAACAGCATTACATTTACTTTAACGTATATATGTATATACATTAGCTGATAAGATATTTTCATCGAAATCGTGCTGTTACGAAAACCGTAATGCAACCGGCTGTTTGCGAAACAAATGTTCACGCTCTCGCATCCTACAAGCAATTATTTCGCACGCCTGTTGCTAATTAATTAGCGTAAAATATATAAAATCGGGCGATCTCGGGGATTATCGATCCAGACGATCGTGCACGTTTGTGTCTATTGTCGAAAAGTGTGCTGCGATTTTGGCAATTACTGTAACTTACGTTGACCCACGATCATCATCAGTTCCGTTCTGCTTTTTAAAATGTACCGCAATTTTGAAAGTAGGCTGTTATAGCTAATCGACTCTGTTTCGTGCATATTTTGCATATACCACTAGATATCACCTTAAGAACTCGTTATATTCAACCTTGGATCACTTAGTGTGATTTATGATGAAAGCAGAATTCATTCGTTCTATAAAAGTCAATGGCCTTTTACTAATTTTGACGTGGTTTATTTTTTATCTTCTAGAGGTAAAAGGCAAAAACGATCAACTCGTTTCGTACTATGCAAATCATTAAACAAACACGTTTCTACTTCTATGTGGAATGTACTTTCAAGCTATTACTTAAAAATTTTATGAAAACTTATCTCCTTCTACAACATAAAACTTAAATGTAAAATACACATTTGCAATGCAGATGTTTCAAATTTTAGCAGTACAATCGTGATATTTTATTGCAGTACAGTAATGTAATTCCAAAATGATCTAGTTTATATGATACACACAATGCACGTGATTTAAAAGTTCCTTGTGGCAAGTGGTCAAATACTTTCGTACGCTGTAATTACTGCATAAGTTTTACTTACTAATTTAATTACTACATAATTTTATTGCAGCGTAGAAAGTAAAACGTCAGTTTGTAATTTTTCATCGATGAATTCTCGTCACGTTCGTAACAAGACTGAAACAGTGCGCTACGTGGTGAATCATTAAGCCAGTAAATGCGTGTATAATCGTCCTCGTTGCTCATGGACATCCGAGCAACTGTCCGATGCGTTTCATCCCTATAAGGACTACATCAGGTATTTACTCTTTCTTTCTTTCGTTCAACGACCTTGAGCATGGTCAACGAATATATATATATATATATATATATATCTACACATAACTCATACTGTATACATACATACACCGAGTTTTAAGCATACCTTGGAATCCACCGTCTCGTGGGACGTGGTTTTAATGCTGCCCACGTTTCTCAACTCGTGCTCCCTCTCCGTGACCTCTTCGATCTCCTTCTGTATTCTGTCCGTCGCCTTCTTCAGCTGCTCCAACCTATGCTCCGCCTGCAACGAAATGGTATCACGTTAAATTCCATCTTTTACAAATGAAACGACGGCTGAAACACAAGGGTAAATTCACAGGAAGACAATTTTTTTTTTCAGCTAAAAAGAAGAAAGAAAAGAGATTCTTCGGAGAAGAAATAAAAGAAACGAAAGGAAGAGGCCGAGGTTCTAAAAAGACCGAGTGATCTAACACGAGAATTTTTCTTCTCTTCCGCTCAGTTTGATTAGATGCACATATGTTTCTGTAGATGTGAAGCGCAGATGAACGACCCGTAGATTCCTCTGCGTTTCTCCAACCGAAGGCTCTCTTTATTTTTAATTCTACCTCACGACGAATGTTGGTACATTCACGCAGACTCGCGTAATTGCAATAATCGGTGTTTCAGATTGTTGAATTAATGACGGTGCAACCTGACCCATGAACCTCGATTCCAATTTCAACATGAACCGTGCGACCAGTCTAAACACCGGTTTTTGTACGCCTCCGCGGTCTACGAGCCTTCCTGTTGCGCGAGCCAGCAATGCCTCCTTCATGCGGATGAGCAAGGGCACGAGAAAACAAAAAGCAGCGAGAAGAAAAAGAAGAGAAAAAAATATAAACCACGAAGAGACGAATCAAATTCCAGTGCTACTTCGTGCTCGATCCTCCCCGCTAACGGGAAGCGAATTCCAGAAAACTAGCTGAACACGAATGCCATACGATTAACCCGTTCGGCTCTCCCTCGCTTCACAGCCACGATCCATCAAAACTTTTAGTTAGCTCTCAGGAAAGTTAATTGGACTTTCTGCACGAGAACGAACCGAGTGCGTTATTAACGTGGCCTGTTTGCACAAACTGCGTCGAACGAAATGGTTCGATCTTCTTTTACGAACGTAATTTGACCGAACTGTTGTTACTTCCGTATTGTTCGTGTTTTCGCAATTCTTTGGATGCAAACACACTTGTGTTGCGCAAGTATCCGGGCATTTTCGTCAGATTTGTAAATAACAGTACGTAAATTTTAGCGAAGCGTGCCATTTAATGGCAAATTACTTGGCCGCCTCCTTGGTGGCCATAATTTTCAACAACCGTGCCACTTGTACGTGATATTGCATTAGTAGAGTGCAGATCTTTGCACAATTATAATGAAAATGAAAGTATAGAAATACACTTGCAACATGTGCCGGATAAAACAAATCTCTATAAAATATAAAATTGTATAAATATCTAATTTCATAAAGAACAAATTCAGAACGTAATCAGACTTACTGCCAATTCTACAGGCAAGTGTTCCAGATACTTTTTTTAACGATACTGTGTATGTTTCAGGCACGTTTTACACTCTCATTAAGGAGGAAAATCAAACGATCGTTTCTTCTGATTCACTTCACTTGGTTAAAGAAGAAAAAATGGAAGATACGTTTCTCTTTAGTAATCAATTGCACGCGACATTACCTACTTGTTTCCCATGTTATTCAACGCGTTATAAACTCAGAATTGATTTTTTCAGTCTACTAGCTCTCGCGATGTTCGACGATACAATAGTGAATAGTTTGATGAATCTGTAGCAGTTCACGTGTGCGAAATTCAATACTTTATCTAGGCATTCTTAGTAAAATTTTATCAATTGTTTATCGCGATCGATAGAGGGCCTTTGATTTGACAGTGCGTCACCGCGAGGTAAAAGCGTCGCCTGCGCGTCTCCAATGGATTTTAATGGATGGACATGGATTTAATTGAATACATTGTAACATTTTAAATACGTGGATCGAAGCCAAGGTTGATTTTGCTGTTGATCGTCGATGACACAAACGAGATGTCTCTTTGATGACCATTTTTTGTGACTCAGGCATCTCGAGCTGACATCAAAGCGGTGATAACAGTATCTTTGTATCTAAAGATCTTTTATTTGATAAGAGATATTTATATGTGTGTGTGCGTGTGTGTGTGTGTGTGTGCAATTTACATTGTGTCGATTTCTATTTACGACATATCGGAATTTCGCTTAATAATACAAATAATTACCCCGAGAGAAACAGAGATTTAATAACGATTAGAAATAATTACGATCTGTCGTGTAAAATGAGAGGCTTATGACGAAAATGAAAGTTAAAGAATATTCTAATAGTATTCTAATAGTATTCTTCAGTTACAGACCACAGTATTTTATAATAAGATGTACTTGCAATTAATCAGATTATTTGATTATGAATTGCCTCACAGCTGTAGTTACTTATAGAATAGCTTGTAGTTCAATTTTCATTGACAAGTAATCGAATGTGTTTTAATATTAATTTGCTTATGATATCTGCAACTGCTGTTTCTATCTATTTAGAATTTATTGTGTCGAGAATGCATTATCTAAAATTGATAAAAAATGTTTTTGTTATGAATATGAGCGTCAATCACACATCAAAAATGTTATTGACTCTTGTACATTGTTCAAACCGACCAAAAGTGAAAAATTTTTTTTTTTTTTTTATTATTTCTCATCGTTACTATTTCAATGTGAATTTTAAAGAATGAAATTTGTAATGCCGTCATTTCTCTTACTTGTTAACTTGAAGTGAAATTGCGAGCACGTCTCCAATTTTACACTGACAAAGGACTAAATCTGAAAGACAGATTTGCTACAATTTGATGCCCCACTTTAACAATTTAAACAGTACATAAGAGTCAAACGCAGCGTTTATTTCCTTATTCAGCGAATTCTGTGAGTTCTCCTACACGGTGGTTTTTGTCATTTCGGCGGTTCCCACGCGTGCAGAGGAGCAATTTCTTTGAATGCAGATCGCGAGGGAAAACACGCGTTCGCAATTAGAAACGAAAGAAACGATCGTCGATTTGCAACGTACGATTTCACGAGTTTTATCTCGAGATGCCAATGGGGCAATGGAACACATTCAGCCGATCAATCATTGAGATCGTCAGAGATCGAACGATCGATGAGATTCTTCGAATAATTCACCTCTCGCTGCAGGACTACACGCCACTTATTCCCACGTTCTCGCGCCAAAGAGGAAGGATAGAGAGGGCCGTGACTCTTTCGTACGTAGCTGACAGAAGGAAGCAAGCTCGCTCAGGTGTTTCGCCCGCACTTCCGCGTAGGAACCGAATATTACTGAAACGAGTTCTTGAAGGGTTTCCAGGTGAGCAGCCGTAGCTTGACCAGCGGTCTGGAATGCTGCTCATTGAAAACTGAACGGTGGCTAACAACGCTGCTTAACTGTAACCGGTGCTTGTTGCTCCTTTCTAAAAAAAATGGGCCACCGATCATCTTCCTGCCTCTTCTGTCTTTTCGTCCCGACGCACACAGTGGTCTGGAAACTTGCTTTTTGTGACTAAAAGTGAATTTTCCTTTGCACCTTGAAAATCCAAAATTCTTATTTTAGATGATTCTGTCAGATCAGATATAGAGTTTTGAAATATCAAAATTTAAAGTGGAATTATGCCTACGTTCTAGATATTCATTATGAAACAGTGTCAGAGCACAAATTTAAATGACGGTTTTATATATGACAGTATTTAATCCTGTTGTAAACACGTGTATAAACAATGCAGAATTTATGACAATTTGAGCTTCGAGCAGATTTTTAAAAAGATGATCAAAAGTGGCGGACATGGTAGTCTTTTCTGAAAGTTTAAACAATTATGAAGCAACCTACAGATAATTGTATTTTTTCTAGTTATATTTTAGTTGTATTTATGACAATTTGAGCAGATTTTTAAAAAGATGATCAAAAGTGGCAGACATGGTAGTCTTTTCTGAAAGTTTAAACAATTATGAAGCAACCTACAGATAATTGCATTATTTCTAGTTATATTTCAGTTGTATTTTTGTTGAAAAAATGTTTTTAATCTTGATCACAAAAATCGTTCTCCAGATAACTGTGCAACCTGTGTAACACATCTTTTCGATAGCCTACTTAAAACTCACTACTGATACACGTTCAATTTCAACGATCAAAGGATGATAAATTTTCGAGGTCGTTACAGGATCGAGGATACTCGTTGATAAATAAAGTCACGGATCTTATTTCGCTGGTGAAAACTTCTTGCTGCTGACCTCGGTTGGCCGCGTGGTTCCATTCGGAATACCTAATTAAGTTAAATTGTCTGCGGGTGCATCGGATTGCTTTTATAATTTATCGCTGTAGGATTTGTAGTTGCGTGCAATGTAAATTTAATTCCAATAAAATTTAAAAGTTAGAATAGATTTTGAGAAGCGACGTGCAGCAGAATACGAACGCATAATAGGCTCTTGTTTCTCGAGAACGGTATTATCAGGATCGCAGAAAGCGCAACAGCTGTTTCAATTTTTCATATACCTGATGTTGAAACATCTGTCGAACTGTTTTAGAAGAGAGACTATAACCATATTATGTCCTATGGCGACCCACATACCTCATGTGTAATTAAATTGAGTAGCCAGAGCACCGTACGATCCTTTTCATGCGCGACAATTACGTTTCGCGGAAATTAATAAACATTCGAAGCACGACCAATTTACGAAAATCACGAACTTATTTTTAAAAAAACCTCAACTAATCGCTTATTTTTAAAAGACCTACAACTTTGAATCTAACAGGTTCTCTTCATCAGTGATTTTCTATGGTGAATGTAAAAAATATTTTCACTGAGCCACTCTAGATGCACGTCGAAAGATGTAAGTACGATACCGGTTCCTCCACGAACACGCGCAAGTGCAATCTCGACTTGCCAACTATCTCTTCTCAGTTTGCATTTGAATTATATTTGGCTATGATCTTATTACCGGCGTTTATAATATCCAATAATGCGTTAGAAACATTTGAAATATCTCTACAATTCGTTTCAACAAAACGTCCTATTTCTATCTTAAAAGTCAAAAACAGATTTAACTAGAATTAAGCTTATTTTAAACGAATCTTTTTCTTCAAAATCTTGCTTAATATTCATAATAAAAATGTTACGATAGATTCATAATAAAAATGTGTTTAAGAACATATTTACGAAATAAAAGATAATGAAAAAAACTGAATTCTGTTTTAATGGTTATGCGAGGAACACTGTGTAATTACTATTGTTACATCCACATCTATTATTAATTCTATTATTTAATACAACATATTCATTAATAGCTAAATAATACTGAAAAATGGGAGATGAAGATAAGCGAGATTGAACTAATTTTTTAATTTTCTATGAATAAATGAAGATATTTCAGTCTAAACGAACCTGAACGAGAATAACGGCTGTGAATTTAATTACAGCCTCGAGAAAGGTTTTACAGAATTACGAACACTCAATATTATCAGCAGGATATACATAAGTTTTACACTTATCCGAATGAAGAAAATCAAGAGCTTTCAGCGAGAAAGCGTGAATCGTGTACTCACGCTCGAAAATCGCGTACGAGCTGATTTGAATAGTCGTCCGACCAGTCTTTCGAGAGCGACGAGCTAGCACGTGTGAATTCACGCATTTTTCATTTGAACGAACCGCTTTCGAATAACATGGAAGATGAAATATTTTCTCGAACGATCAATTCGTTCAATCGATTCATTTGGAATAAGCGACATCTCGCGATCCGTAATGACTTGTACACATCGATGTTCACGCGAGAAATCGGAAATTCCATTTCTTTGCTCGATTATCAAAATGTACTTGAAAATTACCGTCGTGTTGATCAGTTCGAATGATAATTTCTATTACATATCATAGAAATTATCGACGCAACACCATCTATGCGTCAGATGTTAACGTATTCTGGCACAACAGAAAAGAAAGAAAGAACAATGTTACAAGATTTTGCAAAATACAATGCTACAAGAAAACTTACCTCCATTTTCATCGTTGCCACCGACAAGATATACCGCACGTGGAAATGGAGCAACGCCGAATCGTTCGTTGAACAGGTTTTTCGTCGAACTCAAATTCGATCGATTTATCTCGTGGAGACAGGCGGCTCGTATCAATTATCATGCCGCGCAGTTACGTCATATCGTTGGATCTCTATTTCTTTTCCTTCGCCGCGTGTGAATCTGCCGGCTGAAGTGTGCAAACTTTCCAAAATTGGGATCCGCGTCCCCTTTGATCTCGAAAAACCGATGATCTTCCTCGTTGACGACCGAGACTCGACCCGGCTTCAACTACGAACAGCAGCACTGAACAGAATTCCCTTTGATCCGTGGCGTGGAAAGTAACTTGAGGATCTCGTCGTGGCTCGATCGATTCTCTTGAGACGGTTTCTGAAACGGTGCCCGGTACCAGAGAGGATTTCGCGTGATCCACACGGGATGAACGCGAATCGCGTCCACCGCGATCCGACTCTCAACCACAGCTATAACCAGATTGGTTGAGAGAAAATGCGAGGAGGAGACGTTCGTGTGTTGCGAGACACGGCGGCGACGACACTCGCTGGACTTCGGTTTCGAAATTAATCTCTCGAGCACGTTTCGTCTTCTCTCTTTCAGCCAGTTCGCCCCCTGTAATTTCCGAGAGTGCGAGCTTATAATCGAAACACGGCCGAACACCGTCCGACGACTGCCATTTTACCTGCGTGACCTTGTTCCCCGAGCCCCGTTCTCCGAACAAAAGCAACAGAGCCGAACCGCCGCTACAATCTGATACAAATCCCTTTTCGGCTTATCATACGTGTAAACACTCTTTCGTAATTTCATTGCGCTCGCTACACGGTCGCTTTTATTTTCTTCCTTGTTTTTTTTTTTTTTTTTTTTTTTTTTTTTTCTCTCTGAGAGGGTTGGCTTCTTCTTTTTTTTTTTTATCGCGATACTGTACGAGAAATGGTAATTTCTATAGATTCTCTTCACATGGTGGAATCTTCCTTCTTTTTTTTTTTTTTTATCACCCTTCATGTTCTTTCTTCTTTGTTGTTACATCGAGACGATTATTTTTATGCTCGGTGTGATATGTTTCAACGCTCGAAGAGACGAAGAGCCAGAGGGATGGAAAAGGTTGTACCGTGAAGGTAAAAGGATACACGAAACCCTTTAAACCGTTGCCCGTTATCAGAGTTCGGTAGCCGAGATGCGAAAGAGAGAGAGAAAGGGGGACCGGTTCTCGAAAACACCCCGTAGACAAGTGTCGTGGCACTTGCACGGGGCAGACAGTGCCGTATCGCGGCGGCCAACGTCTAAACGACTTGTAAAACAAGCGCTTAACGATTGCTCGTACCTGGGGATATAGAGAGTGTCGTAGAGAAGCGGAGTGACGAAGAGAGGCAACACAGGAACGTCCAAGCGAGAGGGAGATTTTGTGAAGCGCGGGGCCCCAAGAACCTCTTCCACGTGCTTCGTGTGCTTCGAGGCGGTCCAGCCTGCTAAATTGAGTTTACGAGACGTACAGGCCCGAGTTTCACTCTTCTCTTCCCGCTTTATGTCCTTTCTATTCTTCTTTCGGTTTTACTCGTTCCTTCCTGGCTGTTTCCTCCGCCCTTATTTCACGCTGGTACACGCAGAGAGAGAGAGAGAGAGAGAGAGAGAGGAGCGGCATCCTCCTCGCGGATAGTTTACGAATCAACGACGGCGTTATCTTAGCAGAGATTATACCAGCGCGCAGCCCTTATCTTCTTCCGCTTCTCCGGACAGGAGGTCTCATTTGGTTTTGTCTGTAATTATGTTAGAATCGTTCCTGGTTGTGAGAACGAGGGTTTACTATGGGTCCGTGTTGCTCTCACGGATGAACACCGCCCAAAGGAAACGCACGGAGGGGAAGATTCGCTTGGCATCGACTTGGAATATCAATCGGATATGTAAATGGTGGTTTCGTTGCTGGCTGTGCGTGTGTATCGTTCGCATTAACTGGAAGAAATTCTTTGGTTAGGCAAGTCGTGGAATCTACAGAGAGAGTACGTTGTTTCTGGTATTTGTTAATCTGTCACGATTCAAGTTCAAGTTGGATTGTATTTGACATCTTGGACGAATTTAAAAGTGAGAAAGGTGGTTGCTCTGTGATTTGTTCCATAAAAATAGTCGTCGTTGCTTCCCGTAAATACTCACCAACCAAATTGGCCATTTCGTTTGTTTCAGTGGCCAACGAGAGGACAAAACCCACGGCGGGGGCTTGGGCGATTCGAGCAGCGAGAGTGGGGACGAAACGAAGAGGCAAGCAGTGAGCCAGCAACAGCAACAACAGCCATCCTCGTGCGCTGTTCAGCAACAGCAACAGCAGCAGCAAATGGTGGAGCATCAACAGACGTCGAGCATGTATCAGCTTCCTCCTCCCGTCTCCGTTTCCAGTCCTCATTCGTACCACCAAGGCCACGGCTCGACCTTGAGCCATCCTCACACGCCGACGCACCACATACAGCACCACGACACCGGAAGCGAGAGCGGTGACGACAAACGGAACCTTCATCATCAGCTGCAACATCATCTCCAGGTCGGTGCTCACGGTACTCATGGCTTGGTACATCCCACGGCGACCTTGCCACCGCCGCCACCCAGCTGCGCCCAGCAGAAGACCCAGCTGGACTATATGCAGTACTATAGTCCACAGGTATAGTAAACTGTTTTGTGTGGTTTTCTCATTTTCTCATCCTTATTATTATTATTTTTTTTATTTTTTGGTTGGAGGAAAGAGGAGTTGATTTTTTTAACATCGTTTTGTCGTGATATACCTTTTGAATTTTTATTGGAAAACTGTGTCGTGCACGAGATTTGGAGATTTGAAAGTACCATCTATAACATTTTGGTTAACAATTTTTACACTATTACTTGTGCTACGTTCGTTACATTTTTTATTAGCGTCGAAGGATTGGTAACGTTATTTCTTTGTGAAACGATTGGAATATTATTGGGGATTTGAAAATTTTCATTTTTGGCCGGTGTAGCCAAAATAGGAATGTACCCCAGAGGTAAGGCGCGAAGAAGATTTGCCTGAAGGATCTTTACTAAATTTGTGTGTCACGTAACCGACTAAATGCAATGGTTTATAAGCAACTGCGTTAGAATTTTAATTTCGCTTGACTAAGTTCGTGTCTAACTAACTAAGAAGAGAATTATATAATAATTCTTAACTCTGGCGATTGGCAATCCGTCCTAAGGCTGTAAATCAACAGGTAACTATCATACTGTAAAATAAACTTAAAAAGATCAAGATCTCTTTAAGCTTACTCATTAATCAACTCCTTTTAGACATGTGTTAAATATTTCATTTTATTCTTTTATTGATTGGAGATTCTCATCAATGATTTTCAGGGCTCTCTTGCGCAGACTGAAACTCATAGTTGCCACGATAATATTTTGTATAATATATATATACATTGTATATTTTATATATCCTACCTATATTATATATAATATTAAATTTTTATATATTTTATATAATATATATAATTATATATTATATATTTTATACATCCTACCTATATTATATATATAATATTAAATTTTTATATATTTAATTATATATATATAATTATATATTATATATTATATTTTATATATCCTACCTATATTATATATATATATAATTGTATATTATATATTTTATATATCCTACCTATATTATATATATATATATATAATTGTATATTATATATTTTATATATCCTACCTATATTATATGTATATAATATTAAATTTTTATATATTTTATATAATATATATATATATATAAATAAATAAATTTAATTAATTTTATATAATTTATATAAAATTTTAATTTATTATTTTGAAAAACAAACAAAAAACAAAAACATGTATAAAATATAAAATATAATTATAGTTCACCAATTCGTAGAATCGCCAATGAACGATGCCTGGTTTCCTCTCTGTTTCAGGATTACCTAATAACGCCGACCTCGGCGGATCTGCAGAAGTCGCTCCCTCACACCGCCACGTCGATGCAGATGGGTGCTATAGCTCCTTCCATGGGTGGACTGAGCCCGATGGGTCCGTCGACGATGCTGCCGAACACGATGCAGAGTGTGAACACGATGAACACTATGTCGATGAACGGCATGGGAATGGGGGCGTATCAGAGCATGGGCTCCATGGGGATGTCCACGTCGCATAGTAGTTATCACAGCGGTCTGGTATTGGGCGACTATCATTCGTTGTGACCCTGGGCCCCGAGCAGTCAGGGCAAGCGAAACCAAGAGAAAACTTAAAGAGAGAAAAGGCGTGGGCAAATGACGCGAGACGAAGAAAGAAAAACTGTTCGTTCTTCTTTTTCTTTTTTCTTTTTTTTTTTTTTTTTTTTTTTTTTTTTTTTTTTTTTTTTTCTTTTTCTGAAACAACTAGAATATGTGGTAACCACGTATATTAATTTATTTTCAATCACATCTTTCTTCTGGGAATATAACAATATGAACGATTGCTTCTTTGGTATAAACGATCACTTGCTTGTTCATTTAAAGAGTATTGTATTATTATTCATGTACTTACTTTTCACGTATAATCTTTAATTTTTTTCAAATACAGTTTTAACCTCTTTAACCTGTGTGCCGAGGCTGAACTTATTTACGATTCTTGAATTTCCTCCTTCCTTCCTTCCTTTAGTTTCCTTTAGTTTTTCGACAGTAATCAGACATTACACATTGTACAGAATATTAGAAATTAAATCTGACGGAAATTCAAAAATTTCGTTCCTTGCACGGCAATACAGTAGCGTTCTTTCAACGGTAGAACATTGCAAACAACCAGTTTTAAATTTGATTTTACCGCACAAGCGAGCGTATGCTACATCACGCGCGCCACCTGTACTCTTTGATTTTACATTTTTAAAATTCGAGGCAAATTATCTCTAATTTTTATGGGAAATTGAACATGATTAAAAAGTCCGTTATTTTATGAAATTACGAAAATTGAATTGTATTTTAAAACGCAATTGAAAAAGTTCACTTTCCATTTTTGTCATGTATATTTTTTTTTAAATAGTCAATTAGGAAACGGAAACGTTACATATTATTAGGCATTTCCCTTTTAAAGTATTTCATTTCGCAATAATTAACTACTGAATTCGAAATTCAAATAAATTTAACATTGCCAATAAATAGTATGATATTCATATTTTGCGTTCGACGAGTATACAACTTGAGAAATAATCATATGTATATGTGTGTACACACATTCTCTGTTATTGCATGAGGTTTTATATATGTTAAAAAAATTACGTACTTTCGATTAATCAATGAATAAATAAGTTTATGATTATATTGTAATTTTTAACTACATACAAATACGTATAAATGCATTCTTCATTTTGATATATTGTCACTCAGTATACTATTTATCTATTTTATTACTGTACACGTATGTATTTGCATAAAAATCCAATTATGATGGACTGTGTCAAGAAAGAGCATCAGACACAGGTGATGAGTAAAGAACAATTTTCTCCAATCAGTAGTAAGTAATTCAATATTTTTAGTGCCTTACTTTTTTTTAACAGTGCTAAGTGATACATATAGAAGACAAGACATATGTTTTATTAAATATACATTGCAGAACTTTCACAGACAAAATCAATCCAAGGAAGAAATTTAACAGGTTCTGCTCGCCATATACGAGATTTAGTTGCAGATATTCATAAGAATATACAAATATGGAATTCACTTCATTTAAAAGGAATAACATTATTGAATAACATAACTCAAGCGAAACAGGACGAGTCATATTCTGAAATGTTGCAAGAACAGTGCGATAAATTAGAAATTGTTTGCAAAGAATTGGTAAGACATCTTCTGTACAATTATCTTTTATCTAATATTCTTATTTTAATATGTTTTTATTATAATATATTTTATAGGACAATATTGTGATAAATCTGGCTCAAATTGCACAACAGATGAAAATAACAGCTGGTTTTGAAACGGACAAGGAAAAATTGTTTGCAACATGGCCAAATTCAAAATTTGGTAAAAATACATAGTTATAGTTTCTCTATGAATAGTGACATAGTTTCTTTGTGAATAACGACAGAGTTTTATAATTTATTTATTTTATAAACTTCATAATTAATTTTAGGACAAGTTGCAGAATCAATATACAGTGCATATTCTAATGAAGCAAAAGCAAAATGTAAAATTTTGGAAGATGTAGCACATTATTATACAGAATCTTGGAAAATGTTGTTCCTTGCTAGCTGGGTGCATCAACCGTTTTTACCAGAAAATCTAACAACAGTTTTGGAATCAATGTTAATAGAGAGTGGACATAGGTAATTAATTATTATTGATGTAAATTTTGGTAAGTATTTTTCTATTTCAAAACTGATTCAATGTTTACAATTAATTTTTGTATTATATCATAAGTTACAACTATTGAAATAAAACAAAAGTTAACAAAATGATCATTTATTTATAGTTTTTCAAATACCATTTGTATAATTTCACAAAATGGAAAATAGGAAATTAAAATATATAGTCATACTTTAAAGTGAAATTTATGAAATTTTGTTTACAATTGGTATCTGAGATTAATATGAATATAAACAAATGTATATATTTATAAATATAAACATATATATTTTTTGAAAATGCAGATTACGCAGATACAGAATATGTATCTCAAAAATACAAACCTGCAAAATTAATATAATTAATGATTAATTATATTCTGATTAGTATTGTAATGTTACTAGAACCATTAACGTTTAATTATATCAATAACTTCCTATATATGTATAATATATACATATTTACAGATAAATAGAAAATTAATAATTTCCACTGTACATACATACTATAACAATATTGGATGGAATTTTTTTTTATGTTTAAAATATTTTCAATGATTTAATGTTTCATACAAAAGTTATAAACAATTTATTTTAATTTATTATTATTGATAATCTCTGAAGTCATTATATCGCATTTGAATATTTTGTTATAGTTATTATGAAATTATTGATATAATAAATATGATTTTTATTTTATTAACCGATTAATTAAACATTTAATAATATACGTAGGAAGTTAAAATTGAATCACAAAATAATTTGTGCTAAACCATTTTTATAATGTTGTAACTAAAAAAGTTATAGTATCTCACTACATGACCAATAACTATTAAAAATTATATTTACATAAAATTTTTATATTTATATTTTGTTTTTTTGATAAGTTTAATTTTTTATTATCTGTTTTATTACGAGTTACCCTTCTTCAGGAAACTAAACTTAAATTGAATATATAGTATAGAATATAGTACATTATGTGTATGATTATAAAGACCGTTTACTAAAAATAAAGAATATATTTTAGTAAAAATTTTTTGAAGACAATACAACAAAGTAAAGCTTCTTTGTGTAATATCCTAACAATGTCAATAAAGCATAACACTATATCTTTCTATATGAAATATACATTATACATAATAAATATGACAGAAACAGTCTTATTTACATACACATATCAGAATACAAGACATCATATTATTTTATCATTGATATAGATATAGATCACTCAAATATAGAAGTTATAATATATTGATTATGATACTGTCATAAAGTCTATAAAAAAATATCTACACCATGAAATGTAATCATATATACATATATACACTATACGTGATTACACTTCATAATATGTATATGTATAAACACTATACATATTTTAATTTCTTTAGGAACGTTTTTTATGTAATAATCCAAAAATCAACTTCTAGTATTTCTATTAAATTCTTCACTTAATGCTTCAAAATCAAGATCAGTATCTAAATTTGAATTACTTGATATCAAATTGTTCTCTAAAATATTATCTGGCATGATATTTTTCAATCGCTCAGATACAAGTTCATCAACTAAATTCGACTGATCTACTAGATGCAGTTCAACTAATTTTTCATCAATTAATAAATTTTTATCTATTACTCCACTTGTATTTAGAATGTCTAAATGTGCTATATGATCATACTGAGCTATTTTTGTCATATCTAAATTTTCTGAACTGCCAAATATATTAGTATCACAATTATTGGAAATTATTGGTTCACTATCTTGAAGTATAGGTAGGTTTTCTGAAATCTTACAACCAGAAGTACTAGGCATCAGTTTACAAGAATTTGTGTCCAATGATGTAGACTGTGTTTTAACACAATTTATTTCTGAAGTCATAGGAATTATTTTGGAAACTAATTTTTGGAATCCTTTAACAAAGTTTTGAGATCCATTCTCCATGCTGTCCAAACCATTTTGCATTTTCTCAAAATTTGGAGAATCTTGTTTCTGATAAGTTTCCATAGAACTATTTCCTAATTTTACGAAACCCTGTTCTGTTGGTTCTAATTTTATGAAAGCTTGTTCCATATGCTCTATTTTAGATTGCTCATAATTATCATCGACTTTACAAACATTTGACGATTCTAAACCGGTTCCTAATTTTGTGAGGTTCTCTTTATGATATTCCGTTTTTTGAAAATTAGAAACTTTCGGTAAAGTAATATCAATTTTTTGGAATCCAGGATTGTCTGAAATCTGATTCTGAATCTCTGGATTTGAAATTAATAATTTCGAGACATTATTAGAGTTATTACTCTCTGAATTATTCACTGGACTAGGATTTCTTCTCATTAATGTTAAAGCTGATAACACCTCTGGACAAGTAGGATTTGTTACAGAATCATTTCTTCTATCACTTAAAAAATCAGAAACACTAAGGTCCGAGCTTTCGGAAAAACCACTTGACATTCGTTCTTCTATGTTTTCCTTGGCATCTTCAGAATTATCTATTTTCTGAATTTTAAGAGGTGGTTCTTCATTCTCATAACTAGTGCAAATAGAAGTATCAACCTTTTTCAAAGCTTCGTTATTAATTCCATATAAACCTGGATTAAGACCCAAAGCATCACAAAGGGATTCTTCATTGATATCAATCAAGTCTTTGCTTGATTCCTCGTCATTGTTTACAAGTGTTAACATTGTTCCAGCCTTTTCTCGTATCTTATCCATTAATTGTTTTAATTCGTCCAAAAAGTTTTTTACATTATTCTCAGACTTTAGTACTAATAAATCAAATAATGATTGTGCGTTCAATACAGGTTTTGCAGCTATTTTTGTTATTTCAAAATCTTCACATACAGAAATTGCTTCGCGCAATTTTATTTGACGTCTTTCTGACTTAGCTTCTGGCGTAACATAAGCCCAAGGACCTCGCTTTTTTCCTTTGCGTTTTAAAGGATCTTGACCTCCACTTTGTTTTAATTCAGGTTCAGGCGTAGAGGGAGGTAGTTGTTCAGGACTTCCATGGTCAGGATGCATTTCAAAATGTCTTGCCATGCGAGTACGTCCTAAGTATATTTTATTACATGTAGGACACCTAAAATGATCTGATATTTTTCTTTTTGGTACTTCTAGACCTGTTAATAATTCTTTAGGTGATTCTTCTTCCTCAAGTTTATCATTGTTAGTATTGTAATCGCTATAACCACCATCTGAATCATCCAGATCAGGTTGCAAAAAATCTGAATGGTGCAAATGTTTATAATCTCGCACCATATGTCTAGGAGGTCGAGAAAGTCTACCAGATCGTGTTCTGGCTACAACCTTCTTTCTTTCATCCTAGAAAAAGAAAAATAATAATATTAATATAAATACTAACCATAAAACAACCTCGAAATACAGAAAAATAAATAAAATCTACCTTCAATTCTTCCTGTTCTTCATCAGGAATTGGTGCTGGTTTAGATGGAAGTAAGGAAGGTCTCACAGCACTTTTCTTTGGCCTTCCCCGACCCCGCCCACGACTTTTTAATAAATTCCCTGGATTTCTAATTTGTAAATCCAGTTCTTCAGGAAATACAACTCTAAACAAACATTTAATTCATATAAGATTTTATTATGTCTAATAAATAATAATAAATAAATAAGTTTATATACTAACCTATATACTACTTTTTCATTTGATGTAGCTGCTTCTTGACTACGTTGTTGTAAAACATGTGCAATTTGTTTCAGTTGTGTTGGTGTTAAGCGTTGCGTACTAGAATAAATATAGTCATTATAGATAAATATGATAAATTATTAAGATATTATTAAGATTTTTCATGTACCTAGGAAATGATTGACCTTGCTTAACTATTTGTATGGGATTTTCACTGGAACCTAATGGTTTAGATGTATCTGTAGATTCATTTGCCATTATTGTAGATTTAACAGGAGCATTTTTAACTTTTTTATTTACTTTAAGATTTGTGCCATTTATCACAAGATTAAGTTTTTTTCTAGGAGTTTCACTTTGAACTAATTTAACAGATTCAAATGTATTATTCTGTTGTGTTGGATATGTCTTTTGTGAATTATTTTGCGAACTATTTGCATTTTGGGTTGCAATAGTTATATTTTGTTTAGTCGTGTTGTTAAATGCGTTTTTTGCTTGAGGTTTTAATATAGATATAGGCGTTGAACAGATTTGAGTTGGTTTCAAAATAGAATTTGTTGTTGTTGTTTTCAAATCTTGAGTTTTAACAATTGATGCGGTTCGGAATACAACTGGTGTATCAGAATTAGTTGTAGTTTTTGGTGTTCCAGTTGTTTTTTTACCAATTGTGCTTCTTGTTTTAAGTAATTGGGAAGGGATTTGTACTGATTTCAAGAATTGTGCTGGAATAGCTGTAGCCACATTGGTATTGTTAAGAATATGATTTGTTTTTGGAAGCACAGTTGATGTACTTTTTAGGACTGGAGTTAAAAATTGTTGAACATTTCCTCTTTGGAGAGGCTGGGATGTCTTTACAATTGGAGACAAACGTATTTGTGAAGTAACAATATTCTGTGTTGTTCCAGATGTAGTATTTACAACAGTATTTGACACATGTGGTGTACCAATAGATTGGTTCTGTATTTCACAAGCACTAGTCAACAGCTGAGATGTATTTAATAATTGTGCAGATATACCACTTGTATTTAACAACTGAGCCGTTATAGGTGTAGCTTTTATTATCTGTGGTGACAAATTATTCAATATTGTAGCTTTTGAAAGTAATACGGAATTGGAATTTGAGTTTGTATTCAGTGACTGTACACTGTTAATGGAATTAACAGTTGCGTTGGTCAACTTGTTCGAACTCTGAAATAATCTAATGTTTTTAGCTGGTTTCAATATAGTTTGTGCAGGCTTTATAATAAATTGCGAGGATGGTAAGATCATTGGTAACTTTTGCAAGATTTGCGCCTGAGTATTAGGTATTGTATTAAGCTGGTTTTGTGCTATATTATCTTCAATGGTATATTGTAAATCATTTTCATGGATGCTTTTTACATCTGTTTTTATTGTGTGTACTTTGGGTTGTTCCAAAACCATTGTCTCCATGCTTGAATTCTGTTGAATTATATTAGTCTGATGTTCAATTATTTGTTGAGATTCATGGTTCTGATTATTCAAGTCAATTTCTTCCATTGTTATGTCATTCTCTACCATTTGTTCTTGAAGTTGTTCTGTTTCAGAAACCTTTTGCATATGCCATTCTTGAAAATTAATACACTCTGTTTTAATCAATCTAGTATTATTGGACTTTTGTACTTCTTCGGGTTGATAATTTAACTGGCCGATTGTTATAGGTTCCTGAGGAGGTAATGAGTTTTGGTCCTGTACGTTGACGTCTTTTGCGGGAATATCTTCTGGTATGTCTATAGTTGTGTTATCTTGTTCCTGTTGATAAATAACCTCTTCGTTCGAGTTTACCTCGAAGGTTAGCCCCAAGGCTGCCGCTTGTTCCGGAGTCAAATGAATTGTTTGGGAATCGTTATCATCATTTTGCAAAAATGCAACAAATTCGTTATCGTGGTCGTCATCGTCAACAACTTGTTGGAACGCTTGTTGGAGAAGATCGGAAGTCCCAGTAGAGGATGCATCGTTTGTAAACACAGTAGAATTCGAAATTTTCGCCATATCCCAAATTTTCTAATCGTTCAATTTATAAAAGATAATCATATGACAGTGGCGATCACTTTCATGTTTTAGAATAATATTTTATATGATTTTTTTCTCTAGAAAATATCTGTATGATTCGCGCTTATCGCATTTCGCTGTACACGTTTTTCGCGCAAACAGAAACACATGAGATCCCTGAAGACTGTCACAGACGTAATGAAGAAAATGGCGGCAGCATCGTTAAGATATACATAGTTGTACAGTTGGTAATTCGTAATTATGTCTGTTCTCATTGAATCGTGCATTCGATATTGTACGAGTGTCAAATAGTGTCAAATATAGTTATTTAGTGTTCTGTATATAATAAAATTATAAATCTCGTTGCAGTATATTTTTTTTTCCTGCATTTTGTTGCAAAAGTATAAGTTTAATACGAAGAAAAAATTGTAATGAAGTTGAAAGAGATAGTACATAGAAATATATACGAATGTTATTCTGACTTGTGTGGACTTTATGCATAATCCTTTGTTTCGAAGATTTAAATAATTGAAAATGAATATTTATTTTTGTGTATCAACTTGGTCGTATATTAGTCGTATCGTCACTTGTGTTGATATTTTATCAAACTACTGTGTATGATTTATTACGGTTTTACGTAGTTATACACATGAATATATACAATTTGTATTGATATTAAATTAATTTCATAAATGTGCAATCATACGATAACATTGTAAATTTTGTGAATCCAAAGTTTAATCGTAAAAGAAGCATTAAATAAATAAAAGATACAAAGCACGAATATGGTAAGTATCACTAATAATTTAACTTGCTGTGTTGATAATTTATATTATCTCAGTTGCAGATAAATTATTCAGAACAAAGTAATACTGTATTTTATATACATATTGATACTTATTTAATAACGATATTGTTAATTAATAATGAAATGATTAAATTTAGATTTGTGATAATTAATCCAATTACCATTTCCATTTCTTATTAAACATTTTTATTTTAAATTTTCATATTTTATCTTTTATTTTGTTCCTAAATTTTATCATTGTCAAGTATTTAGAAACTCAGTGACCTTCTAAATGATTTTAAATACGTATTGTTTGCAATGATATTTATTTTACTAAAAGCAATAATATCATAGGATGACGATGATCAGTATCAAGCTGGTTATGATGTAGGTTCTTTTCCTAAAGATTTTGGGTATGCCCCATTTGATGGAGAAACAGAGGGATCTATGGATCCTTTAGCAGGAGAACAAAAACCTAGAATATTATTAATGGGCCTTCGTAGGTAGCTATCAATTTTAGTATATTTTTATTTTGATAATATCAACCGTTTCATTGCTAATATTGTTATTGATTGTATGAAATGAACATTAACTTTAGGAGTGGAAAGTCATCAATACAAAAAGTAGTTTTTCATAAAATGTCACCAAACGAAACGTTGTTTTTGGAAAGCACAAACAAAATTATCAAAGATGATATAAGCAATTCTAGTTTTGTTCAATTCCAAATTTGGGACTTTCCTGGACAAATTGATTTCTTCGATCCTACTTTTGATAGTGATATGATATTTGGTGGTTGTGGAGCACTAGTTTTTGTTATCGATGCTCAAGATGATTACATGGAAGCGCTTAATAAACTTCATTTGACAGTTACAAAAGCATACAAAGTTAATCAAGCAATAAAATTTGAGGTGTTCATACATAAGGTTGATGGCTTATCTGATGATTGTAAAATGGAAACACAAAGAGATATACATACTAGAGCGAATGATGATCTTGCAGATTCTGGTAAATAAATAACAAGTAATTAAGAATCGTTCTTTATTCATATAATCTATAAATAATTGTAAAATATGTATATATTTCAGGATGTGACCAAATACATCTGAGTTTTCATTTAACATCCATATATGATCATAGTATATTTGAAGCATTTAGTAAAGTTGTACAAAAATTGATACCACAATTACCAACTCTAGAAAATTTATTAAATATACTCATATCAGTAAGAAAAAAATATGAATATACAAACTTTCATATAATATTTACAATTTATCAACAAGATAAATTATAATTTGTTTTTCAGAATTCTGCAATTGAAAAGGCATTTTTATTTGATGTAGTGTCTAAAATTTATATTGCAACTGATAGTTCTCCTGTAGACATGCAAAGTTATGAACTGTGTTGTGATATGATTGATGTTGTTATAGATGTATCTTGCATATATGGGTATGTCTTACAAAAATTTCTACGTAAAAGCTTTTACCTACATAGTAAAAATAACTACTATATTTATTTTAGTTTGAGAGAGGATTTAGAGGCTGCAGCATTTGATAATCAAAGTTCTAGTTTAATCAAATTAAATAATGGAACAATTTTATATTTGCGAGAAGTTAATAAATTCTTGGCTTTAGTCTGTATTTTGCGTGAAGATAATTTTGACAGACAAGGTAACATAAAACATTTCAATAAATTTAGTTAAAAAATTGGTAATAACACTGCACAACAACTATCTTCATAATTTTTGTTTTCAAATTACAGGTGTAATTGATTATAACTTTCTTTGCTTTCGTAAAGCTATACAACAAGTCTTTGAATTGCGTAATAAAGCTTTAACTACTACAAATGTTAATAATCATTCAACACCACCTATTAATTTGAATGAAACTACAAATGCACCTACAGTATCACAAAGTGGAACAATGGGACAAAATGGTACCGTTGTAATTGCACAGAGTTTTGGCCAGAATAGAATTTTTCTTTAAATTAAATAGAAAAAATTATTCACTTTTACTTTAAATACTATTACGATAATATATTTCAATCATGTTATTCATAACTTAATTTTATAAATATTTACTTAATATGCAAAATGTATTTATTTTATTACTTCTCAGAAATTTTTTTAATGGAAATAAATTACATATGCAAGTTACATATATATACACAACTGTATATTAAAATAAATTATTATCATCTATTAAGATAGTAATTCACATATTCATGAACGAATTATTATTATAAAAACTAACATTATTTTTCAATTCGTTACCATGAAGTAACAAAAATATTAACTTTTAATTGATATCTATCTTAAATCTTATACTTAACATTATATTTTTTATAGCTTATACTTAACTAAATTTTGTTATAATTTATATTAATTAATAATTTGTTTCTAATTTATCATCGTTAATAAAATCTTGCATTTCACGACGTAAGGCATATGGAGATAAATTAACTGTAATAATACTTTCTTCTAACTGATACCAACGTATGTATGAAAATGTTTGTTCATATTCATTTAGAATAATATCACTTGGTAAAGAATTTTCAGAATTCAAACTAAAAAACACAAATTTTAAACAATTTTAAACTTTTTATGTTCAAACTTTAATGTTTTATTATAACAATCAGTATTTAAAGACTAGTTTTAATAATATATTTTTTACCTGCTGTTATACCAATCCATTTTATGTATAATCTTTGGAATTGGAATAGGCAAGCCTGATGGTGGTAAATATTGATAAGCGATTTCAATTAGCAAACTGTGACTGAGATTATTAAACGGACATATAGTGATATTGTTTTCTATATAAATATCTTTTGTATTAATTTGATGTTGTAGCATTAATTCATCTGAAAGGAATTTAGGAATTTAGGGATTTGGCTAGGGTATTAGAAGGGAAGAAATTGATTTTTAAAACAAATAAAAATAATAAAATAAATTTTTTATTCTACAATATAAATTAATATATTTACAAATTATTTAACAAAATATACAATATTATAGTTCTCATAAATATTTCAATTGTAATATACATTTTGAAATGTTTGAAATATGGAAGATATATGCACACACTTTATTAAAAAAAAAAAAAATTATAGTATAATTAGTTACAAAGCATTAGTAGGACCAACATATTGGTAGTATTCTTGTTAATGAAAGGTTTGTATTTTTGATAAGCCATAAAACTTAGTTACTAATAAAAATAAAAAAATAATTCATAATAATTTTTTTTTTATAGAATCATTATTGGATATGTATAAAAAATTCAAAAATATTTTATTGTTGGACATATGACATACTGCAATTAAATGCAGAACTTAAGCCAGTCACTGCAAACAAAGCAATTAAAAAAAAAAGATACATTAAATGATGATATAAATTAATATGCTACTGTATTCTTTTAAAGTTATTAGTTGTAATTATTAAAAACCTTCATATTTACTTAATACTAAAATTATTGTATTAATTTACCAGTTTGAAGTAAACTCTATAACTGTGTTAATAAAATTTCAGACTTACAGTAATTTGCATCCTTATTCTGAACTGCATTATGTAAGGCTAAAGCAAGGTACGTGTGATATTTATTATAACTGTTTTCTAGCACATCTAATTCTTCACTAGCAAATGTTAATTTTTTATAATTCCATCGAGCACGGATATGATTACACATCTCAATTAGCTAAACGAAAGTTAGATATATTATGTATTTGTATAAGATATATATTATGTATAATAAAATATGATATATACATACATTATTTATTGTTGCCATTAAATCTTCATACTCTGAAGTTAATAAACAATGTTCATGAACTTTTTTTAAATACTCATTATGAACTGTAATTAAAAAATAAAATGATTATGTATTGTACAATTTTATTAGTATATAAATTTATTACTACGACTGTACCTGATATAATTGTGTCCAAACTCTCAGCTTGTGTCAAAGATTTTTCTAACATAAGACTTAAATTTTGTAATACTTGTCCTGATAAGTAAGTATGTACTGAAGTAATTGCATGCAACAAACAAAATCTTAAGCTTTCAATACGTCTGATATGAAACTGTTCTAATTTATTCCTTTTACATACTAATTTTGAACCTTCTAAATCTATAAAAAATATCTTTGTTTATAATATTCTATTAAAAATGAAAAGAAGAGCCTTATAATATGTTTTTTTTACCATTGAATCTTAAATTATTTAATGTCCATAAAGCCCATTTTAATTTCAACTGAAATCTAAATATTTCATTATATTTTACGAAAGTCTTTTCATTTAATACAATATTTATAGGCCAACCTATCGTATAATGCAATGTTATATTATCAACAGCTATTAATACTTGATTTGTGTGAGTATTAGAAACTGTAATAGACCAACGTGAACTTGAATCTGTCCACCATTGAGAAAGAATTTCTTCAAGTATACATGATAAAAAATATGAATTGTTCCACATTTGATTAGTTTCAATCTAAACAAAATGTATATAATAAAAATTTGATAATTAAAATAATTACTAATATTGTAAAGTGTACCTCATAAAATAATCTTTGGTAAAATTTATTCATAATATGACCTGCTTCCATCATATAAACAGATCTCATTAATGTTAAATGTGATTCTAATTTATATTCTTCACACATAATATTCTTGACTAATTTGCTAGCACCATTATATCGTGAAATTAAAATTTCTGTTAAGATATTTTCTAATATTTTCCTGAGTGGTAATATATAATTTGATACTTTTTCAAGCCTAAAATTCATTATATACTTAAAAAATGCTTTGCTAGAAAATATGTTTGAAGTATATAATAAAAATACCTTTTAAAAATATTAGTTTCTATCTGAATATTTCGAATCTCAGAAACCCCAACATCATCTACATTATCTCTCTTTAATAATTCAGGAGGAAGATAATCTTCTAGAGCTTTTAATAAAAATGGATTATTGAATTCAGATAACTGTTTTATAATATTTTTTTCCATATCCTCATCATATCCATTTTTAATAACTTCTTCTTCCTTTTGAAATGAAGATACAGTTTCTTCTTCTTTTTGTTTATCTATACTATATTTAGAAACTTCTACTTCTAATTTGGTATAAAATTCATCAACTAAAGATTTTTTCAATTCTGAAAAAATTATATAAAATTATATTCAAAATATTCAATATATATATAATAAAATATTCAAAATAATATTATAACAGTAGAAAAATCATTACATACCATTTCTTCCAATATTAATCTTCCATATATCTGTAATTCGATCTAAAGATACTAATAATTCAATACTTTGTCCTATATGTTGTATCTTTTTTATCAGGAATTGCAAGACTGGATCAGCTAAACATATACTATCCAAAGGTCTCAAAAAAAATGTTTCATACTGTATACTACTTTCTGAAACTGCACTACCTGATAACCTAATATAAATAAATTATTTATTATTTGTAATCATTTTACCATATGTTCAAATACTTTTACCTCGCAATTATAAATTCTTCTCTCCAATCTTCAAATCGACCCTCGCTTAACCATGTATCAATTATATTTAAATAAACAGTAAGACTAGATAAGTATAAACTGGTACAAATATTTGTTCTTTCTCTATTGTGTGAGTTTTGTATTTCAAAATATAAAGACGATAATAATTTAGATGCACACTTCCAATTTGGATGAAGCTTCCAATTGCATATTGACTTTTTATGAATTTCATGTAAAATTTGTATACTATACAAATTCTTTTTCAAAATTGATGATAAAGATAGAAATGTTAAACTGCTATCTAAAATCCAATATAAATATAAAATAAAAAATGAAAATATTTATAAATTTATTAATTGTAAAAAAGTTTTTACCTTGTTTTACAAGAATTTTTTCTATATCAATTATTTTCTCTTTAAATTTCATCAAATGTTGTCTTAGAATTGCATTATAAGTTTCATATGTTAAAGGTGCTTTTTTACAAAAATTATCTTGCTCTGAATATAATCTAATTCCAAATTGTTCTATATCACGTATCATTGAAAAATATTTACAAAAAGGTGAAAGAATACTATTAAATGCAACCTAAAATACATTATTATTAATACTCTTAAATAATTAAAACTCATATGCATATTAAATGTTAATGTCGCATATGCGAAAGTATCTATTATATACTTACAGTAGTTAAACTAGGTATTGATATATCAGAACGAATAAAAAATTCTGTTTTTTCATTTTGTTGAAAAACTACCATTTGCATCGGAGCGTGAAACATCCATAACAATTCTCTACATACAAGATATTCGCTAAGAGTTCCAAGTGTGTAAAAATCCCCTCCATTTGCTTTATGCCTATTTAATATTAACATATTGAAAATATTTGGATAAAATAGAAAGAGTACAATTTTTATAAGAATAATTACCAAATTTCACAAAGATGAGCATCACAAAATCTGCTCTTAACTGGATACTTTCTCCATCTTAACTCATTCCACCAAGTATTTTGAACATTTGATAATAACCAATTTTTAGATTTGAGTTCTTCGTTTAAAGCTAAAGATAAATCATTTAATTCTTTTTCAACAAAAGGTATGCATACTGCTTTATTTGATACATGATTTGTACATGCTTCAAAATTTGAATTTAGAGCCACATCATCTTCTATATCATTTGACCATTCCTATTAAAAATTTAACATTTGCATAAATTAAATAAAAACATATCTTTAAACATTTCTTACAAAATAATTAAAATATAACAAATATAAATAGGCAATTATAAAAGTATTTACACTCTCTGAATCACTTTTATAATCATTGAAAAAGTTTTCTTGGCCTTCTTTTAAATATTCAGCCCAATCAATTTCCTCTGTAACTTCATTTTCATCTTCACCTGATACATTGAAAGTATATTCTCCACGTGTCAGTTTTAAAGATTCTAAATCAGATTTACAAGTTTCTTTAGCTAATTCGAATAACAGTGTTAGCAGATACCATTGCAAATCATATTGTGGATGCTGTTCAAAATTAAAACTTAATAGAAATGCATCTACAAGTTCTTCGAATTTTTTTGCTACATCATATTTCCCATGAATTGAAAATTTTGTAATTAGAGCTTTAATAGCTTGTTTTGTGCTGTTACTATCAACAGATAAATACCGATGATGTTTGATGTTTGTCATACAAAATCGTTCACAAATTCGAAATCCTTCTTCATTTTCCTAAAAATTATACAAAGGGTACATACATATTTATTAAATGCATATTTATTCTAATGTAAAATATATCAATTGATAAATATACAACGCATATTACCTCAAAAGATGTAATTGCTGTTATTAACTGTTTTATGTCATTGTGAATATCATTTAATATTTTTGTACCCATTCTTATTTAAGGCATAAATAATAGAAAAATAGGAAGAGATCAATTTTGTACTGATAATTTAAAAGATATGCAGGTAAAAATAAAATGCAGATGAACAGGTATTTCCAAAAGAAAATAACTAAGAATCTAACCCTTTAAATTACACTTTTATTTTATTTCATTTCTCACATAAACAAAAAAATTATGCGATTTTAAAACTTTTTTATGTATGATTTAAATTCCATAGCTATTATGTTGGAATATTCGTTTCATTAAAGTAACATCAATCTTTAGTTTCTTTTGAAGCAAAATAAACTACGATTAAACAATATGCGCGAGACCCAAACTCCATTTTTAAATGCCACCGAAGTTACCTCATTTATAATTTGTAACGCAAAATATAAGTGATACAAAGATACAAAGTCATTTCTTGTATTCATTATTTTTTATTATTGTTAAAATAATCTGAAAATAAGCTTTTCATACTTTTTTATTATTTACGAAAAGAAGTAAAAATACTATGCCAAATAATTTTCGTAATTGTCTAATCTCTGTAACACACGATTTGAAATTTTACTCCAAATCATTGTGATATAACAAGCAAAAAATACGGCATGGAATAGGTTTTATATATCTGAATAATTCTCGAAAATAAAAACTTTCAAATGAGAAATTTAAAATAGTTAAATAATTGTAGGCAAATAAACAATACATGATATACATAATTTTATAGAGCAATTTATTTAATAAAAATGTAAACTAAGATTACAGTCAGTTAAATGTAGATGAGATGAAATTTTACATTCACATATACATATAAACATATTTTATATCATATTTCACATAATCGTATAAAATTCATTTCTGTAATCATGATGGAAGACCTGATACAAATCAGTCAAACAGTGAGATCTTAATAAACATAAGGATTGTGATACATTTTGTAAATGTAAATTTATGATTGCATGTTTTGGTCCCAAATTAGGGAAAACCAAAGATGTTATGGAATGTATATTAATATGTTATGCATGATCAGTAATTATTTTAAGTTCACAACATTTCCATAAAAAAGTTTTTGTTTGCATACAATCGAGTATATATTTTATTTTTACTATGATGTTTATCTGACTATTAGTTTAAAAATTTACACATAAATTCATAAATTTACACATGATTCTGATTGAAATTAAATAATTAAATTTCGTAAACTTAGCCTCAGTGGAAGAGTTGTTTTTTATGCACTTGTAATTTAACATATTATTAATTATTAAACTTCCTACGAAGTTTATTTCAGTTAAAAAAGAAAGAACATTCCTGACACTATAATAGTAATGCTATATTATCAATGTATGTTAAAATGTAGTGATATCAACCGAAAATAACGTTATATAAAAATAAGTATCAAATTGTTTTACTAACATGAAGATGAATATGAAGGTGCATATGTTCCTGAGAAACACTAAGTTTTATAATTACAATTCATCTTTCTCGTCGAGATCTATATCACTAAGATCGATTTCTTCCTCTTGCGGAAGTTCAGCATCTTTGCCGTCCCATGGTTTCGTGTCGAGAATAACAGGTAGCTGAGCTCCTTTCAAAGGAGCTGTACCTCCTCGCCCGTAACTCAAGTCTCGTAAAAATTCATTTATACCGTCATACGAAAAACTACCTTTTAATAAAGAATATTTCATTTTCTTTATATTTACAGCGGCTAGTGCTGGATATCCAAATCCTCCAATTTCTAATGCCTCTTCAATATGAGGTTGAGCACCAGCTTCAGCCCAAACCCAGCTGTTTATAAAAAAGATTTATAATTTATATATATATTTATAATTTAAGATATGAATTTATTGACTTTTGTATTAAATAGTGTATAAAACTCACCCCCATATTTTTTGTTTATATTTTTCTCCGAGCTCGTTTAAAGTTTTTAAATATCCATTTCTACAATCAGATTGACAATCTAAAATGTGCGGTAAAACGGACACAACGCATAATGGTTTGTCCTCGCAAACTTCCCTTAAGCTCTTTTCATTTATAATTTGAACTACTTCTGGTGCTGGAACATTCTCTGCCAATTTTTCCAATGCCCAATTCACGATATCGCTACTTGTGCGACCACCATCATATTCTTGCACAGAGTCAAAAGATTTTTTTCCAGGTGCAAAATATTTGATAGTTGGGTATCCTTTTATTTCATATTGGACAGCCTAACAACATTATTGTAGTTATTAATTTGATTATGAAGTTATATAATTTATAATTTGATTTTGAAGTTATATTAACTTGTAGATCATATTATTAAATACATTATAAAACATCATTTAAAAAAATATTAATTACCTTAACTCTATTTACAGTAGCATCAATAGCTCCTAACTTCACCTTGCCTTTAAGCTCTGTTGCTGCAGATGCCCAAATGGGGGCTAAATTTTTACAATGACCACACCATGGTGCATAAAACTCAACTAACCACATATCCTCCGAGTTCATTACTATTTTATCAAAATTATCATCTGTTAATTCAATAACATCTTTGGAATCTTTGGACTGTAATAGCAATAGAAAATTAATTACTTTTTCTTTATTTTTATTGTATTATATTTCATTATATTATATTTACCTTAGAATCTCCACCGCTCTTTCTATCCCCTAAAGCTCTACGTGCTTTTTGACTAGCTGCATTTAATGCAGCATCAACAATTCCTACTGCAGTTCTTGGTCCATTATAATCTTCTGGTTTACTATCAAGACCAAAGATCTTAATTGTTGGAAAACCTTGAATTCCATATCTTGATCCAAGGGATTTATGTTCGTCTGCATTCACTGCACCAACTTTTATAATACCCTGTAAAAATTTACATTAAACACTGTATTTAGAGCATATTGAAATAAATGATATTTGAAATATATAATTTTAAAAAATTACTTTCAAGGCAGTTGCAGCTTTGTCATATTCAGGTGTTAACTGTTGACAATGTCCACACCATGGTGCAAAGAATTCTACAACCCATATATTATCGCTATTTAACACCAAACTATCAAAATTATTTGGTTTCAGTTCAATAACATCCGAATTAGAGTACAAACAGCAAACTCCAGTAATTAGCAGCAAAATACCTAAATAAGACAAATATGAAACGATATTAAATCGCGCATAAATAATGTAAAAACGGATCTTAAAACATTCATAAAATTAGAATGAGAAAAGCCAATGTTCAGTGAAGAAATGAAAATACATTATAGATACATCTGCCGGTAAGATTTAATAGTAAATAAATCGTGAGGTATATAATATATACATTAGTTTGTAAAGCTTACCTAGAAATTCTTGCATTTTGCTTAGCAAACTAACAGACTTGTTTGTAACTATTTTTAGAAAATCATTCACCGAGGGGATCTTTCAAATATAAGATTGAAACGTATACAATCTTTTCTTCTAATATTCAATCGTTCACTCCGTTTCCCCTCTCTTTATAACCAGATATAACTTTTCGTGGATCGTGCTGATTGGTTGAACAACAAGCACAATGGAAATGCACAAAATGTAAGAAAATTCATTTTGAAACAATCCGTTTCATGTAGAACAATAAGAAACTGATTATATTTCATTTTAAAAATATTTCTATATAAATTTGTATAAATTTCATTTGAAAGTATTTCAGCAAATTACATTTGAATGTACGATGATACGTACGTATTATGAATGTACGTGGGCGGCATAAACAAATGTCTATAATATGTGTGTAATTTGAATTACCAAAATTGGATTTATTTGACTTTAAGCTTGAAACTTACAGTGTATATTATGTATTATATATATTAATGTAAAAATAATGTCTATTAATAATCACATATGATCGATATGTGTAATTATTTTATGAAATAATAATAAAATTAATCAGTACAAATTAAATTTTTACATTCAGTGCGCAATAATGTTGAAATTAAATTTTTCGATCTTGATTTTTATTCTTCGAATTTTTGTTGATAATTTTTATATAATGTATAATATCCCATTATAAGAAGTTGCTGGCAAAACAGATAATTTTATGTTTCAAATAAGGATAATTTAAAATTGTAGTTTTAATTTAATATTCTACTGATTCTAAATCTGTTTTACTGACTCATTAAAAATTAATTAAACACTATCTTATTTTGAAAATTTTATACTATTAAAGTATAATTATTGTGCATTGGCTGCTTAATTTTAAGTTCTAAAAGATTTCATGGTATTTCGCGCTGTTTCATAGAAAAGTGAATGTAATACATGTGATATAAAAATAAATATGAAAACCAATTAAATGATTGATTTATTTTTATACAGATATCTTACGTAATTGGCGCCATAATGTCGTAATGGTAGTGGTGTTAATTCTTAGCACTATCAGTCAAGGGCACACAAGTTCCATACGTAAAATATTCTTTAAAAAGAAAATGAATTAATATATAGAGTTAAAAATTCAATAGTTCAATTACACAAGGTGCTATTTATTACAAGAGTTTTAGATATTCATTGAAAAATGTTGCGAAATCAATATAAAAATGTTACACATTGTATTTTTGATATGGATGGGTTATTGCTAAGTAAGTGATTTGCATTGTCATTACATTACACATCTATGAAGTTATACAGTATTTCTATGTTATGAATTAATTATAGAGATTCGATTAAAAAGTATCTCTACTTAACATGATAATTAGATGTTTAACATTGGATGTTTATTTACTTCATGACTTCAAGCTCTATATTAAACTGTAAATAAGTGAATATTTATTTATATGAATACAGTAATTTTGTTTTGTCTATGCACGTGTAGTAATGAATAAAATCTCAGTGGCAATTATTAAGAAATATGAGGGATATAAATTAAAATACACCATGCATCTGTATGAGCGGATTTTACTGTCAAAGAAAGGGTTAAAATAGCACTTATCATGCGTGAGTTTGTATGTGCTTTACTTCTAATTCTTAAGAAGCTGTGTTAGAATCTTGTACATACATACTTGCGGGCATGTACATAAATTTCTGTTAAAAGTCTTTCATTTGTCATTAATTGAGGAACTATTTTCTCAACACAGTTTCTACAACATTAACATTTAAATTATGAATCATAGCTCAAATCAGTAAGTTAAATAAGTACTTACATAATACATCAATTATATAAGTAATCCTGTATTAAAATTTCAATAGATACAGAACTAATTTACACCAAAGCCATTAATCATATTACAAATCGTTATGGAAAAGAATTCACGTGGGACCATAAAGCAAAAACTATGGGTTTTAAAACAAAGGACGTTGCACAAGCTGCAGTTGAGATGTTATCTTTACCAATAACAGCAGATGAATTTGAAAATGAGGTAGTTAAACTATATCAAGAATTATTTCCTTCTGCAAATCTTATGCCAGGTAATTTATAAGGATTTTAAAAAATCAGAAAAGATTAATGAAAATGTTCAAAATATTTTTGATGTTGTTTTATTTTCAATTGTTGAAATACATTATTTTTAAATATATAAATTTTAGATATGTAAATAAAGAAAATTTTGTTAAATAAATACATTAGTCTTATTTGAAAACAGGTGTTGAACAATTGTTGAGACATCTGAAACAAAATAATATTCCAATAGCATTAGCTACAAGTTCTAATAAAGAAAATTTTGAATTAAAAACCCAAAAATGGAAACATATATTTGACTTGTTCAACCACAAAGTTCTTGGTGGTTCTGATCCTGAAGTTACAAATGGTAAACCAGCACCTGATATTTTTTTGATTGCTGCAAAGCGTTTTACTGATAATCCTGATCCCTCAAAGGTTTGTTAGTATTTGTAGTTTCGACTTTTTAGATTTGCTTTATAATTGTTAAAAAATTGAATATTACATTTTTAGTGCCTTGTATTTGAGGATGCTCCAAATGGTGTAAAAGCTGCAGTTACTGCTGGAATGCAAGTTATTATGGTTCCAGATCCAATGTTACCAAAAAATTATATTGAAAATCCAACATTGATAGTAAACAGTCTTGAAGAATTTCAACCTGAGTTATTTGGTTTGCCACCATATAGCACATAATATGTGTAAAATATATTCATGCATATAACTTGAATATATAGTGGCAAACATATACTTACAAAACACACTCCATAGATCAATTTTTATTATTTGTAATAATGTACAGAAAAAATAAATTAATTTTCATTTTGATTTTTTTAAGTTATAGCTTTAATTTCTTTTTTTACAGATGTTTACAAATAATATAGTTTTTATATTATTAGTCTTAGTTTAAAAACGAGTTTTAAATTAAATTATTTCAGTTATTATTTTATTGACCTATAACTGTAATAAAAATTTAAAGAAAAAAATAATGACTTAATATTCTAATAGTTAAGTCAATGTCATAATAGTAATGAATGTAAAAGAAAACAAAAAATAATAAATTATATATTCGTTTAAAACATTATCTATTGTTGATTTATCCTGACAATGTATTTTTAATATATACAAGAATAAGTTATTGTTAAGTACATATTTTAGTTTTATGCACAAAAATGTTTCAAATTATAAATTGTAAATATTATATAATTTTAGTTATCTTAAAATAAAATATTTAAAAAATATTCTTAAGACACTTTTTAATGCTTCTAATATTTACGTTATAATTTTTGAATAACAAATAAAATTAAAGTATAAAAAATATTAAATTTAATACATACTTACATAAAAACATTTATTCTATTATTTATACCCTATAGTTATTTGTAGTATGGTAGTTTTTGTTTGATCATCACATATTTACTAAAACAGAAAAATTAAAATTACAGAGATATAATTGTAAAAAATTATATAATATTTTTTAAATATAAATTATTTACCACTTCTTCATCATCCAGCCCATCTGATATTTCTAAAGTACCTGTATATAAACTTGATTTTTCTTCTTGTTCATCATTATTTGAAAAGATCGTATCCAAACACACAACAGAAAATGCATTTCGCCTTAAAATTTTTTCTATTGCTTCTTTTAATGAATCATATGCTTCTCTCATACCTTGCGGACATTGAGATAACAAATCTAACAATAAATTATTATAGTCAGTTGGTTATCTTTCTAGAAAAAAGAAGAAAGATATAGATACTTACTTTTATACTTTGACTGAGTTACATCAAAAAGATGAAGATAAAAACACATTTGATTATAAAGTTTTGTATCTGTAAACTTTAAACAATATTTTAATCTTTAATATATTCAAAATATTCAGAAACAGTGATAAACTTTTTAACTTACAACTCTATGTAGTTCACCATCATTACATTTTCTGCAAGTTGGATATATTGGCTCAAAATCTAATGGTATTTCTTGTGTTTGCTCACCACATGTTGGATTTTCACATTCTAACCATCCATTGTAATATTCGTTAACTAATTCTCGTATAGCAAGTGTCACCGCATTTTGTATTGTATTAATATATGTCCATGGTTGTACCTTGCAGTCTGGATTTGAACAGGAAGCAAGTGACAATTGATTTCCAAACTATAAAATATTTCGATATATAGTAAACAAATAGATAAATAAATAAATATAAAAAATATAAATAGATGAATATATAATTGTATATATATATTATAAAAAAAAGTTATTGTTTCATCATGAATTTCTCTTACCTCTTCGTTTACAATATCTTTAATTATAATTTCTGACTGACATTTTTCGTTTCTACAATTAAATTTCAAAGGAAGGCAATACCTAAATCTATCCTCTTCCATTAATAATGGTATATCACCATGTTCTTGATGTATTATTCTTCTAGATTTATAAATATTTTCCAAACCTATCAAAATAAATTTTATTTATAATACATATTTATTTATTTTACATTTTATACATATTATAAAATTCTATAATAAAATTTATGTTGATTAAAATTTTACCTAAGCATTTAGCTAACAAAACATCATCAATTCCTTCAATTGGTTCACAAATTCGCAAAACAATAGGAAAAATTTGACTTAGTAAATAGTAATTAATATCTATTTTTAAAGAGTCACTCTTTTTATATTCATCAATATGATATGCTCTTTCAGTTGCAGATTTTTCTGTTCCATCCTATATAGAAAAATAACTATACAATTGATAATGTTTATAAAAACAGTACATAAATATTAAATAATAGTGAAATCGGCAAATACAAACATCGCATATAATATAAGGGATAGTGTCTCCAGCTTTCCACATTCTACCACCTTCTTTATTTAATCTCAAAGCTACTTGGACATGAGCTTGCTTAGTATCTGGATATTCATTTGGATTTTTTGATAATTGTTTTGTAATAATTAAAGAAGATAAAGGAACTTGATTTTCACGAACATTTTGTGCAACATCATGTAACATACTGAAAATTTGTTCTATTCTATCATCACACAATTTATCAGAAAGAAGATGGTCCAAAATTTTTCTAAAAATAACCACTATTGTAAATATTATTTAAAATTTAAAATTCTGCTTAAAATCTAATCTGTTTATATTTTACTTACTTTCCAACATCACAAGCTAATTGACACCAATCTCTTCGCACAATATCTAAACCTTTATGTTCTTGTGTCAATTCTATTTGCCCATTAGGTAATTTTGTCATTGTAACTGCAGCATACTTCTTTTTTTGTAAAAGCAACAAATAACGGAATACACCATCAATATCTAATTCTACTCGTTTATATAATTTATTAACTTCTTGTTTTATCTATACACAAATTTTATCAAGTATTATTTTCACATTTACTACTATTTACAATTTTATAAGTATTATTTTCAAAATATAAAATAAATAAAAATATAGTATTGATTTGAACATAGTTATGCATTTACCTTTTTTCCAACAGAAAAAACTTCATCGTAATCTAATAAACTTGTATTTATCATTATGGAATCAGTGTCTCCATATATAACTTCATAATTCAATTTTTCAACGAGGCTTTTTGTATGTTGCAAAATTTCTCGACCTTTTGCTATAGTAGTATTCAATATTTTATAAATATATTTACAAATAAATTTATATTTCATTTCCTTCTATTTCTATATTTTACCTGTAACTAAGGCAGCAAGTCCTTTAGCATAAAATCTACAATGAGTTGCACCCAAACAACCATACATAGAATTTGCTGTAAGTTTTAAAGCTAGCTGTCGAATATTATATTGCATCTTCAATTCAGGTGAAATATTTGGTGTTTTCATTAGTTTTTTCACTTCTACTCTACTTTCAACTAATTTGCAAATTTCGGTTGGAATTATTCCAAATTCTAAATTTGATTCAGGAATTGATAAATCCTACATATTTATACATAAAATATAGTTAAAAATGTGGTTATACATAAAATTAAAAAATTCTACATACATATTTATAAATAAAGTTGTTTAATCCAAAATAATAAATAAATTTACCTCATACTCAGCATATGCAGCTCCAGGTACAGTAGTAAAACATAAATTGTATTCTTGAATTATACTAGGATATAAAGAATTAAAGTCCATTAATAAAATGAGTTTATCATAAAATCCCTTTTTTGGGTCAAGAACTAAGCCACCAGCATAGGCCGCTTTCTTTTTACTAGTGTTTTCTATAGATGAAATAATATCAATGACAAATGTATTATGAAGTAATAATCATTCATTTAAAATATATGCCATTACCTTCATTATCTTTTCCCCTTTTTGTAATACGTTTATCAGGTGTTATATAATTTTTCAAATGAAATGCATGCAATAATAAATATTCGTTTCTTTCTGCGCGTCCTGCTGTTAATGTTCTTGATATAACATTTCCTGTACAAATAAGATAAATGCATATTAACTGAAAGGTCTATATTATTCAAAAAACCAATATATACTTACCAGCAATACATGTAATTTGTAATGCAAGTGGAAGAACATTAAGTTCAAAAACAATAGACAAAATATATAATGCTTCTGTCAATGTTATTTTAATTAAGTTATCTATTTTATTCAGAGTACTATAAAATAATATACATTTATTAGATTTTATTTCCTTACATTCATTTTCTTTTTTCTTTAATACCTGTTAAAACAACTAGAATTTAATTTTTTTTTAATTATAAATATCGTAGAAATAAATATTTTAAATATTTACCGCGATGCAAAGAGATTGTAAATCATAACTTCTAACTTTGAGATTTAATTCTTTAGCTGAAACTTGTATGTCACAGATAGGTCGACCAGCTGCTGCTTGATTTAAGTTTACCTTACCCTAAAACACATATTTTTTTGTATTTCTATATCTTTAATATTGTACTCTTTATAAATATATATACCCTTATTAAAGGTGGTACAGAACGTCTTAATTTTCCAAATCTGCTCCAATTTGAAACCTTCAATGTAATCATTCTTTGCATTAAAATATCAAATTGAAAGCCACAATCATATCCAATCAACAAATCTGGATCTGCAGTATTTATTATTTTTAATAGTTCTTCAAGTAAGTCCGTTTCTGTTTCAAATTTCATTAATGTAGTATATGAAATGTTTGAGAGCATTTCTCGTGCTTGTCTTGGCCAAGGCATATCGCGTGGATGTGTAATTACTATGTAAAATAATGTTAAAATATAATGCTCAAATATTGAAAATACTACAAATATTTCAAATAATGATTCAATAAGTTAACATACGACAAAAATGTTGTTGAAATGGTGGTTTTGGTGGTTCTTTGTCAATATGGTATTTATGATGTATAAGAACTGCAATCATAACTACTTCATTTTGTTGTAATTTTGTATTGAAAGAGGTTCGTATATTTAATGTTATCAGTACTAACGGTGGCAATGTTTGAGAGTCAGAGAAAACAGATATATTCTCCATCTTCATACAATTTACCTATTCAATTATACTATAAATGATTAATTACATAATACATTTATTTATAATAATAAATATAACTGCTATACCTTTATTTTGCACCAACTAGTTTGTACACCAGTAGGTAATGGACACTTAACATCTAACCAACATGGTCCCTTAATATTTCTTTCAATTAGAAGTAACTCTAAAGAATTTATTGTTGTTCCAAAAACACGTTCTATTGACGGTCCAGAATAATTAGAAGGTACAGGTGGATAACTTGTAGAATATCTTACTTCCAAATAATCCGATTTTGCTGGAGTACCTTCTTGTTCAAAAGCATAGTTTTTGGAAACTTTGCTGCTACGGAATTCCTTTATTCCTAACTTGTTTGCAAATTGATTAAATTCTTTATATACATCTTCTATCGTATTTAGTCGTTCTTTCTCATCATTTTCTGCCGACGATGACTTTATCTAAAATTTACATTAATTATATAATTATTTTATTAATGTCAGAGAAGAAAAATTAATAGATGATAGACGATATGTAAAAATTTCTAATAATATTAAAATTAAAATAAATCCTAATAGACATACATATACTCTAGGAAGAAGATAAATTCTCCGTGGAATATTTTTTACTGTTAAACAGCAAGAACAATATTCTTTTATAGAGGGTACAAAAACTTTTCCAAATAAATATACAACTCCAGGTTGTTTATATGGATCTTCATATGCATCCCACCAATAAAATCTGAATACTTCTTCGTTATTTGCATTAGTTACAAGTGGTAAAGGCACTTCTGTAGTATCAGCAGATACTTCAATATTTGACATTTGTGTTTCAAATCCAATGTCCAATGTTGCATTGAAATTTTCCAAATCAAAGTTTTTTTTTTCAACATCTTTCATTTTCATTTGAGTGCTTGATTTGTTTTCCTTATTTTCTTTATTGATAGGCAACATTGGCTTTTCATTCTGATCAATATTGTCATCTTCAAAATCTACAGAGAACTGTAATAAATATAATATAATAGTCTAAATACCCTTTCAAAATATTATTGAGTAATAGAACTTACATCTCCAACAAATTGACTAAGATCTTCAGTTTCTGTTTCAATTATTTGACTGCTGCTTGTTTCTTTAACATGCTCTTCTGACTGTAGACTCAATGTTGTAATTTCTGAATTACTAGTATCATCTATAATTATTTGACTACTATTTTCATTTGAAGTAATGTTCTCTACTTGGGATATTGATTCTGTTTGTTTGTGCATGTTTACCTTTTCTGGTTTATCAAACATTATCAAAGTATCATCATCATCATCATCATATCGTATTTTTTCACATTCAGAAATTGATTCCATCTTTTTTTCTACAGTTCTGAAAATTATAATTATAAAAATTATTAATGTAAAAATGATTATATAAAAACTATATTAGATATATCAAAACACGAATATCTAAATATATAGAAAAATTAGTTACTTTTCACTTAATTTTGGCGTAGTACAAAATTTATTTTTAATAGATCTTGATTTTGACTGCTTTGGTGTATCATCTTTTTTTAATTCAGACATTAAATCTCCCAAAATACTATCATCATTCAATTTAGTATCAGTTTTCTTTTTGGAAGACATATTTATCAACATATTTTGAATGTTTCCTTTCTTCTTAGCATCATCTTTTTTATTTTTTCTAGGGCCTGCAATTTTATGTTTTCTTGCTTCTTGTATACTTTTATCATCCAAGTCGTCGTCAAAAATTTCTCTACCATCTTCAATATAACCACTCTCTCCTTTTGCAACAAAGAATTGTATTGTAATAATTATTCAAAGAAAACAAAAAATTAATTTGCTATTTACGTTTGTTACTACAATAAGAGTTTTAAAGTTATTACCATCATCAACAATCCAATCATCATTTTGCCTTTCTATCACAGTTTTGGAATACTCTTTCTCATCAACTTCTTCATAAACATTTTCCAATTCATCTATTTCATACTTATGTTTACTACCTTTTAATTGCTTCAATTTTTCTAAAGCTGACAACCTTCCAGTTTTATCGATCTTCTGGCGTTTAGCTCTACCTGCTAAATTTATGATTAATACAATTTAATAAACCTTTACAATTTAATAAATCCAACTTTACATTGAAATTTTGTTCGTGATTTTTTATAAAAATATTTTTGAGCAACGAAGTCATATTTAATATATTTAATAGACATTTGAAAACAGAACAAATTTAACTAATAGTTAAACGATAGATGTAATCAAATACAAGTCCAATTTTAAAATCGTAGAAATAAAGTTAAAATATAATTGGAAACGCTTACATTGTGTGTCACTCATATTTTTTAAAAATAAATTCTTGATGTGAAATGTCAAAAAGAACCGTAATACAGTTCAGTTTAGATTCTAGATAACAAAATCAAAGAACATTCGCACATGGAAGAAAATGAAAACGCCTGAACGTGAATTTAATGGCAGATACACTGTCACTTTTGGCGGGAGTTTCGTTAAAATCGATAAATTCCTAGTTATCGATTACTTTCGATTGGCACAATTGCAGCCTTTGTACAGAACATTTATTGCCAACTTCGCGTGACGAGTTTGTGTTCAACGATCGAACAGTTGCAAGAAGGTAATTATTCGAGCATTGGGAGAGGTGTTTTTTTCTTTTTGCACGCAAAACAGTTCATTGCAATAGTTACTGCTAATAAACATAGCTTATGGTGTATAATTACTTTTAATTTGTTATTATTACACGACGTTTAAGTCGTGCGACTTTTGTGTCGTCATTGTACAGTACTTTAAAATTATCAAACACATGCAGTTTATTGCTACAATCACCAGGCTATTCATCATTAATTGATAAAGATAAGAAGTTCTCAAACTTTCGTTCTTTACGGTGAAATGTAAATTCCCATTTTCTTCTTTTTTCCATTTATTACGTTTTATTTTTAATTTTCTGCAGTAAGAATACAAAATAAGTCATACAAATTATTTATATTATATTTTGTAAGTTAACAAATTTAGTAAAGAAAAGGGAGAAAATATAGGTCTGAATTTTGTTTTTAATTATTTTAGTTATAATGTCAAAAGCACATAGTCCTACTGTTTTTAATGGAGAGGCTGACAATTTTTATGACCCAAATTTTACTTTGGACATTAACAAAAGGATGCGTGTACCAAAAAGCATTCGTGTAAGTGGCGACTACACAGACGAAGAAATAGATACAAATGGTTCCAGCTGGAATCAGGTGGTTGGAGCAGAGAAATTTGAAATGCATGTTCCAGACAGAATTTTGGTTGTTGGTAAATATATAATTTTTTGCCACATGTTAATTATACATTCATTGTTACATAACTAAGTTGGTTTCTTCATTAAAAATATATTTTGTAAAGTTATTGCTTGTATATAAAAATAAAAGTGATGTTATATGTGATTAAATTTAGGACAAGAACAACATGTTGGAACTAAAGCACCACCAAGAGAAATTACATTAGAAAATGCTGTTTTGCCACCTGAGCCAGGCATGGTTAGGGTGCAGGTAAATATTTGAAAGTTTTGAATGAACTTAAATGTGTGTATATTTCAAAAAATCATTCTTGGATTTGATTTTATTCTGAAACGATATGTATGAAATATTTTGCAATTTTTTTTATTATATCGGTAGACTCCACCAAGGATTTTGACATTGGATAACCATTATTTTCCGGCAGCTGATGAAGAACTAAATTCATATTCAACAGAAACTAAGGAATCAGTAGTATCTAAACCACAATATTCTACAGAAACACAAATAGTTAGGCATGCTAGGTAATAACTAGTAATAATAACTAATACTTTTCAATCCATATATATNATATATATATATATATATATATATATATATATATATATATATATATATATATATATATATATATATATAATTATATACACCAAGTGGACCAATAACTAGTTTTTATTATTTCTGTTATTTTTAGAAATATGAAAAGACTTATTTAATATGAGGAAAGTCATAATGTGTACTTTTTTTCATGTAATGTTTTCAAATATTTCAAGGATATCCTTATGTATTATACCTTTCTATCTTTTAAAATAACAAATGTTTCAATAATTTCACCTGTTTAATTAATAATTTAGTATTAAGAAAAGACTAAAATACATCATAATAGATATTACAAATACATTTGTATCAATGTAATGTTATAATCACTAATTTGCTAAAACCTGAAAACTTGTTATTTTATAAGACGTGAAATAATGAAAGCTATTGGTCCTTTCTGCATATCTTACCTTCTTTTTGAGAATATAATTTTTTTCTAGAGAACAAACACCTTCATATAGCGCACTTAATGTTTCTCTACCACCTAGTGAAGAGATACAACATTTACGTCGACAAGTAGGGAAATTAAATCGTCGAGTAATGGCTATCGAACTCGAAATGCTGCAACGTCAACAAAGAGAAAAAATTATATATGCGTTAACATTGACGTATTTAATTCTTAAAGCTTTTTCATGGCTAACAAGAAACTGAATTTGTGTTAAGAAAATACAAAAGATTTGCATCTTGTGTGACAAATGGTGCTGTTCGTCTATACAAATACAAGATATTCTGCAAGAGTCTCCCTTATTGCAAGAGAAAGTTTATAACCAAAGACTTTATCTTGAATGTGAAACATATTCAAAGTAAATGTCTGTATCGTATATATTCAAAACTAAATTACTTCTGACATTTGCATAAAAGTATTATAATAAATTTTTAAATATCTAACTGATAAAATTTAACATTTATTATATTTATATCTTTTTTATTATTTACAATGAATTGAAACTCTTCCTTAATACATACAAGAAAATTGAATATATATGATACTGTTTTCCTTAAAATAGTTAAATTTGAATGTTTAATAAGTATGTTTGTAAAAAGTAATTTGCATGATCAAATAAGCAGAGATTAAGTTAATGATCTATTAAAGAATCCATTTTACAAGATTATAATTGTTTAATGATAATAAACTGAAAACAGATGTATTAGATATAATTACAGTATATAATAGATAATTGTATATTTGTAAAAGTAAAGAAAATGATGTTGTAAGATTCTATATATTGAAATTGAAATTAATTTTAATTTCTATTTTTTCCTTTACTTTTTTTAATTATGTATGATTAAGAATATTACATTGTAGTAATATACTGATAAAATTGTTCAAATCAACTATTATAAATATGTATTTAGAGTAATTCTATGTTTGACATATTTTTTGTGGCCATAATATTGTATATTTATATGTTATAAGTATACTGAAATAAAATAAATAAATAATAAATACATTCTTTTTTCTTTGTGCAATAAATGTCTTGAAACTATCACAGTTTATATATTTAAAGATTTTTATAAAGTTTGTACTTTGAAGATTTAAGGACTAAAAAATATAGAAATATATTGAAGTTGGATATATCAACTTCTATTTATTTGATGACTAAAAGAATATTTCCAGCAAGTATCTATTAATACGTTATATAATATATATATATTATAATACATGAATAAAATGACAATATATTATTTCTTATATATTACTTACTAGAAATACTTATTATTACTAAGATATTAATTAGTGAAAATATTGCATTATTATATTACAAATTATAATTACAAAACAAATTACTGTTTTAATTAATTGAAATATTATTATAATTATTATTTATCATAAAGCAAACTGATATCTTACGTAAAATATTTTATTTTATATGTTTAAATATGTGTGAAGTGAATATAATTTACATGAAATTTAAATCGAAAGATTTTAAAAATTAATCAATATTTTAATAACTATATTAAAATATTTCTTTATGTATATATATATATATAAAATTATATAAATATATATATTTATATAATTAAAAGCATTATAGTTACAGTATTAGTTTAACAAATCATTTTTTATTTTTTATTAGATATTAAAAAATAAAACTTATGGTATTAATATCATTTATTATTAACAATGGTCAATAAAATATTTTCAATTCTATATTAATGAGTCAAATATAATTATTAAGAAAAAAATAACTAAATATTACCCTAGTTTGTATTATAATGGTAGAAATATTAAATGAAATTTCTGTCAAAATAGTAGTATCGTGTTACATGTAAAGTTTTTTCTATATAATTCATATAAATACAAACATTATATTATATTTTATTGTGTATTGCGGGAATTAATTCCTCATTCGTATGAACTAGATTTATCAGACACGACCATACTCAACATTGATTCTCTAGGTCTAATCATCATAGCAGAAGCTAGTAAATATCGAGATGAAAGACCATCGTTTATACCTTGCAGCAGAAAAGAATATCAATGTTAGTAAGTCTATAAGACACGGATAAGAAATAATAATAGAAAAGGAATATTTCTTTTTAATATTAAATCTAATCTGATCGTACGAGACTGTAGAAAAAACACGTCCACCGAAATAATCGTATAGGGATCTTATTGTCGCGAATGTTAGACAATCTGTTAATACATACGAGAGGTCAGTGCACGTCACGTAGTTATTATTCGGAGTTGAGAATTTTGTGGAAATTTATCTGTCTAGAAGTGCAACGGGAAAGGATTTCTGATCCCTGAGACTCTCTCGCGGCAAGACATTACGGAAAGATACGCGGAGGTCTCAGGTTTAGCGAATATTAAAGTTGAAGGACTCCTTTCCAGAGAAGTGTACGCGTACTTCGAATGGTATAACGGTGGTCGTATGTAATTGTGGTATTGCGTTTAAAAACTTTATTTTATTAAGGCACAGCCGTCTGTTCGGCGTCTGTGAAGAGCAGACCGAGTGTGTGACAGGTTATGTCAACTGGATTGGCAGGTGCTGTTTCAAATCAGGTCAGTGTGTTGACTTGCTACCACACCGCTATACTGCAGATACCTTTCACTGAAGACAGCCATTCTAAATTTTGTATATTTTTCCATGCAACGGAATGCAGCGGATGAAAGGACAAACCAATAATCAAGGTGAGACTTTTGTATCCTCTTGCGATTTTTCAAATGTTCCCTAATTGCTAAATGCGTCTTCTAAGAGAGCACGAGCCGTCCCTTGTAATAAAAATTACTCGAGCACATAGGTTTTTTTTTTATCCGTTAAAGTACACCTACTCCGGGATTTATGTCTGTTGTGTATAAATTTATCGACGCTTGTTGGTGCCTCGGCAAGTTAATGTGCGTGCATAGTTTTTTAAACTAATACCAAATGTTGTTATCTATATTTTTAGCCGATCTCTATATATGTATATATACATAGTGCGTTAACCTATTTGTATGTTTCGATATATTCCAAGTATGTTAGGTTATCAATAAAATTATTTCATGCTATTTTTTTTCTCATTAAATTTAGAATTACGGTTTCTTCTTTTTTTTCATTTTTTTTTTCTTATGTAGTATTTTTTTCTATCGAAGTATTTGTAGAAATCTTAAGAAGTAATACATTTTTTCGTATTATTTCGGCAACGTCAGTTGGACAAGTGAAATTATTAAAAATATTACATAATTTAGCTGAAAATTACTATCAATTTATAGTAATTTGTCCAAATATCGTGTACTAGTTATAATTATTGTATCGAAATAACTTACTATTGTAATTAATATTTCCCTATAATATTAAAAATCTTGAAATCACTTTCAATTGATTAATTTAATTTTCCTATTGGAAGATGAAAGAATTTTTTTTTATGTACTTTGTATGTAATTCTAATTAATTTCCATGTATTAAAATTTTTAATGCATAATTGTTTTTAATTGTTTGAAAAGAATTTCTATTAATCATGAGATTTTGAAAATTTTGTATAAAAAAGAATTTCTTAATTTTTTAATAGGAATGTGTAATTATACCACATGATCATATGATTTTAAATTCTGAGTCATGAGAGTGTTTTGTTTTATAACTTATGTCTTCTTTATGACATTTAATTGTTAAATGCAAATAATTCTAACAATATACTGGGATATTTAATTTCAATGAAAGATATTTGTTTAAACTAAATTAGAGAATTAGTTGTAAATTGTACTATTGAGAAAGTTTATTATATATATATTAATGAAGTAAAATTTCATCTTGGTAGTGAGCAATGGTCCTAAAGAACACCAGCAGCAACCACAGACAGAACATGCTGGTGGAGAAGATACTGGATTTGACTCATGGAGAGGAGGCAATAGTACCCATCATTCTAGTTATCCAATTGGAACTGGTGATCCATATAGCCCTTATTATGCAGGTACTTCATTCCCTTATCAAACATTTGGTGCTGGGGATGGTACTTGGTCAAATGGAACAGATCCCGTTGCATTTCTTTCTGGCTATGGAGGTCAAATAGGTCACGATGCATACGGAATGGATGGAATGTTTTCTGCTAGTGCAGGAGGTGGTTTTAGTACATTTGGTCAGCCTGCTTTTAATTATTTTCATGGAAATGGTGATTTTAGTGCTTGGGGCACTCCAAGAAAAACGCGCTATGAAGATTATTACCAGGCACCACGTGGAAATGAAAATTATCCAACACCTAGCAATGCAGAAATTAAGACTATTGAACAAAGTGTACAAGGCTTGTCATTAGGAAGTGGAGAAGTACCACGACAGGATCAACAAACATCATCTAATCAATCAATAAAACCAGAAACGAAGGAACCCAGAAAGATAACATGGGCCAGTGTTGCAAGTCAACCTGCAAAGCCAGTCCCACCACTTTCATCTTCCCAAGGAATGAAGAAAAAGGCTGGAATGCCACCACCACCTATTGTGCCAGGAAAGCATAATATGGACATTGGAACATGGGGTGAAGGTAAATCTTCTGCACCGCCTCCAACAGCACCACCGCCACCACAGGTACAACCTCCTGTTCCACCTCCTCCACCATTGGCTCAGAGACAGAGACCTCCTCCTCCGCCACCATGTTGGAATAGACAACCTACAACACCTCCATCGCCTCCGCAATCACAGATTCACATGCCCCCACAACCTCAGCATCAACACCAACAGCAGCAGCAGCAACAACAGCAACAGCAGCAACAACAGCAGCAGCAGCAGCAGCAGCAACCACAGCAACTGCAGCTACAACAACAGCAAATTACACAATCACAATCACATCCTGTTTTAGACGAGTTGAAAGTGAAAAATGATTATAATCCTGTAGAATTTGATGAAACTGCTCCTGGAGCTAGGTTTTTCGTAATCAAGTCTTATTCTGAGGATGACATTCATAGATCCATTAAATATGAAATTTGGTGCAGTACTGAACATGGTAATAAAAGATTGGATCAAGCATATAAAGAAGCCAGCCGTGAAGGAGCACCTTTATATTTGTTCTTTTCTGTCAATGGATCTGGTCACTTTTGTGGTATGGCACAAATGGTGTCACCTGTTGATTATAAGAGCAATAGCTCTGTATGGTCGCAAGATAAATGGAAAGGTCAATTTCGCGTACGTTGGATTTATGTTAAAGATGTTCCTAATGTGCAACTTCGTCACATTAGATTAGAAAACAATGAAAATAAACCAGTGACTAATTCAAGGGATGCACAGGAAGTCCCTCATGCAAAAGGCGTAACAGTGCTACGTATATTACATACTTATCGGCATTCAACTAGTATTTTTGATGACTTTGGACATTATGAACGTAAACAGGCAGAAGAAGATCAACGCAAGGCTCCATCAAATGCTATACAACATCATCATTCTTCCAATCATAGAAATAGAGGACATTCGGACTTGTCAAGGGATCATCATCCTCATCAATCGCATTTACATCATCAACGCAAAGTAAATAATAACATTACAATATTATAATTGCTATATAAATATTATAAGAGAAATTTAAAATTATGTGAGATAACATTTTTTAAATAGTAATATATTTGTTTGTATAGGATCGAGATGGTGGTCGTGGTAGAGGCAGAGGAGGTTCACGCCAGTAGCGATGGATACAACAAGAATATAATACTGTTCATAATAGTAATCATCGTAAAGAAAGCACGCTACGACTAATTATCGTCTTACTACTTATCTTTGCTTTCTTGGATACACAAGGCTTCTAATTCCTGTGACAAAACTTGTCATCATTGAGACTATTTCCTTCTGTTAAATAATCGACATTGTATGATAATTAGCGTTGCGTCGGCATCACAAATATTATCTAATCATAACTACTATGAAGAGGAACGTAATACAATTTCAAGGGATATTGGGTAACCTTGCTGACAGTTGTAAGCATATAGTGTGGTGTTGCGTGCTATTCATCGAAAGGTGTTTCTTAAACGTACAAATTAAAAATGAAATAAAAAATAAAATATGGAACAGAAGAAAAAACTGTAATATATGGACGAACCCTTGTAAAATGCTTAAACTTTTGTTGATAATGAAAAAATCTATGCGAGAACAATATTGTAAGCAAGTGTCATTTAAATCAATTACTATTTTAAATTTTGATGGACATATAACCTGGTGCCTGTGGCTGAAAGGACTCACCTTTCTTTGTTATAAAGGTGCAAGGGCTTATTACAACGTTTTAAGTTTACGTGTAACAATTATGCTTGATCATTGGATAATAATAGAAATTATTATCAACTGATTATTTTATGCATATTCTATATCTATTGCAAATTATATATATTATATATATATGTATATATATAATTCTAATATATATATTATATATACTATGTATGATTACTATATATAATATATATGATATAATCTATATATATATATATATGTATGTGTGTATATATATATTATCTATTATTATATTATTATATTATTCATGGACTGCAAAAATGTTCTAAAATATTATATGGCAAAAGAATAATATTATAGTTGCTCTATAGTAACATATATGATAATGATTATTGTACTATTTTATGAAAATTTCATAAGATACGAGTCTTATTGTTAAAATTGACTGCTACTTTATTTTATTTTAGTGTTTGATACATTTTTTGTCATGATTTCATTATTTTATAAATTCCAGTTGTTTTTATTGAAATAGAAATTTTGTGTTTTTGTATAGTTAAAAAAAGGAATATGTATAGTTTTTCATGCCCATTAAGAAAAAAGATCCTTTAGCAGTAATATCAGTAAATTTAAACAATTTTTCACAAATTATATGTAGAAAATTGAACATTAATATAACAAAAATTGCTTAACTAATGTGGATTTAGTAAACTAAAATATATAAGTAATAGATTTTATCTTAGATTTGATTACTTTGCTGGTAGTTATATATACACACATTTACATACATATAGTTACATGTAGAAATTACTTTGTAGAAAATTGTAAAAGAAGCAGTAAAATGATAAAATCTTGTTCTTTAATTTTTATAGAAACAAAATTACTATTTTATTGCAAATTAATATCATTTTACTACATGATCAAATTTCATATAATTCAATCATGGAATAATGATATGAAATTTTTAGTTTATTAAAAAATTTTGTACAAAATTAATCATTGCAAATTTTTTTATCTAATGCAGAATTATCATAATTACTTTTGAATACACAATTAAAAATGAAAGGGAATGTAAGTCATATAAATATAAATCTCTTTTCTTGTTTCAATATTGTAAATGTTTAAAAAAAACTCATTTTATTAAAGTACTATATATCATAACTCATTTTATTAAAGTATTAAAAATTTGTAGCCAATATTTCTGAATTACTTCAGTTTATTTATGATTTAAAATAGAATAAGTTGCTCAGAAAATGAACATCGTAATAATGTCCAAATAACTAAGAACAACTGAATAAAAATTAAATTCTATTAAATTTCAATAGGATAGTACTAAACTATTTACTATTATTAGTAAATTTATCATTGAAAAAATAGTTGCTTTTTTAAACGTGCTTAGGAATGTTTGAATTCCAAAATTTGAATTCTAAAGTTTTATTTTATAATTAATATAGCACATGCTAATGTATACACTGTATATCTGTATATTATATTATAATGTGCAGACATACAAATAGTATACTTGTAATGTACTACATTGTTTAGTAATTACATTGTATCATCATACTTGATTAAATGTTGAATTGAACCATGAATTTAACATGCAAATTGAACTATTACAAAATATGTATGCAGGCAATGATTTTTCTATGGATACGGATTCGATTTAATTTTGATAGTAATTTTTATAACTTAAAAGAAAGATTGGTAATTGCGTTCAACGTAATATGCCGATATTTTATAATTATGTATTGATAAATATTATTAAACTATATAAAGAAATTATTGAAATTTTAAATTGTGATAAATTAATATATATTTGTAAATTTGTTGAAAATATTGTGTTGAACGTAATTATTCGATCAAAAATAATGTTCCTTTATCATCATTCTATCCAATTATCCCATTTTATTTGCTTCCTTCTACTTTATTTTCAGTAAATATCTTTGGAGCTTGGTATTAATGAGACAATTGTGTAGGATCTTTTATTAAATCTGGACAAAGCTCTTCTGGTGGTGGTGTACGTGGTCGTAATTCACCGTGTTCTCCTTCATATCTACATTTGGTTTGAGCTTCAAAATTTCTTACACATTGTTTCATATCAATATTTTTTTCAACAGTTGCTTCATCAGGTTCTAATGACTGTAATTTTGTCTCTTCTTTATCTTGTATTTTTTTGGTTTCTATCATTATATCATCGAAAAGCAAATTCTGTTTAACTAGATAATTGCGAATATTATTCCGCACTTCTTGTGGAAACTTTTTAGGATTTGCTTGAATGTAACGATATACAAAGAGGTCAGCGCCAGTTATGATGAAATAATGATTAAAAATATTAATTTTTGCGCCGATATAGAAATCTTGAGGAGTATAATATTCTGGATTATCTCTTCCAGTTTTTGGTTTCGCAACTAGTGTTGCCTTTAAAAAGCAACCTTCGCGACGTCCTGAATTACGTTTTTCAAGTTCTTGTACGACTATCGTACCATCGCTTAAATTATATTCTAAAATGAAATCGCGGTTTTCATCCTCTGGATGTATCACATCCATTTTCATAGAATAACGTAATTTTTTAGGAAAATTAAGAAGTTGTCGGACGACATCTTTCTTAGGTCGTTTCGGCATAAATGACAGACAGGAAACGTAAGTATCTTCAGGTGTACCGAAAATTATATGCGGTGGTGGTTTATATTCCGGTGCCGATACAATATCTTTTGTTGGAAGAGGAATTCTTTCCGGTTGCGTTATTCCTAACATCTCTGAATAATATTTTCGCGTGAAAGAATCACTATCGTGTAAAAAAAATTGTCGACCGAATATAAATATTGTACCACCTATCTGCAATTAAAAATGAAAACAAAAATACATGAATAGAAGTAGTTGTAACATATAGATATATAATGTATACTTATAAATTATTTATAAACTAACTAAAAAATCTTTTGGCGTATAGTATTCAACAATCTCTGGATCACCATATTCCATATATGCAGCAGGATAAGTTGATGGTAAATTTTTCCAGTCCTTTGGCACTTTCATTCTTTTTAGTAGCATTGGTACTGGATCCTTCCCGCTATTAGGTTTTTGTACTTCACAAATGGCTATCGTATCGTCCGTCAAGAAATACATAATCCGATAAATGTCATTGTTCCAAGTTGCAGTGAACAATAATACCATTTTATCATATTCTAGAAACCGTCGTCTAACATCGTCTGGAATTTTTGTAACACAAGTTGGTGTTTTTTGCTTGTTTATTCTTAATTCTGTATAAGGATCTATAGGAGGTTCTTTTTTATCTCCAACATCTATACCCTGGCTATTTAAATATTCTCTGGTAAATAAATCACAATCAATAATATGATAAACTACACCGTAAATACCTGCAAATTCATAATAAAGTAATATGTTAATGTATTTTCAATAAAAATTAAAGCCATTTTTTATTAATAAATATTTGCAAATACTACAATCATAGTAAAGATATTTATTAAACTTACATATGTCAATTCCAATATTAAAATCTTTCCAATGAAATGTATCGCCATTTATATTTTTTACAATTTTATTACGCCTAACGAGCTTTCCTTGCTGAAAGCCAGCATTATCAATTGTAGGTTCAATTACGCATACAGTATCATCTTCCAAATAATACATTATATTAACGTAACGTATACGAAAATGTTCATCCGGAGAGTTAAAAACTCCTTGACGAAAAAATGCTTTAAAACAGAGACATTTTTGCGCAAATAGCACATAATGTGGAATAAATTGTCGATATGCATACTCCTTTACACGTCCATATGTTAATGATGGATCATAACTAAATATTAATTAATATAATTGACATATTTCCAAAAAAATTGAATACTAAACTGATATAAAAAAAAAACAAAAAATCAAATTGAATTAGAAGAATCAAATCAATTTATGTATATGTTGCGTTGATTTCTCACTTACTGTACAGAATCCTCTTCTTTTACATATGCTCTAGATGCTAGATCTACTGGTCGTCCTCCAATACCACTGTGACTATCACGTAATACACGATAACCATTTAAAAAATGAAATTTTTGTAATAACTTGTAATCGTTGACCTTTAAAAAAAAACGTTCTTCCTTAATTTTATTTAATATAATAGTTATAACAATTAAATTGAACAGTTTTTCTGACTTACATTTGGATCTTGAAATGTATAGCCCGGTATAAGCGGTAGTTTTTCCATATCGAATTTTAAATCATTTAATAAAAAATATACTTTCAAAAGACATTTCTGTAGAGTATTAATTACCTGTGATTGCTAAATTGTTTGAATTGTTTCTATAACAACGCTGTCTTGTATTGATATAACAATACTTCAATAACAATATGTAATATTATCTAATTAATTACGTAATGTATTTATGAATAAAAAATAACTAAGTCAATTTATATTTGATCATTTATTTTCGCATAAATTATTGACAACAGTAGCATTGGATGGTTTTCACTAAAATGGATTAGTTGCCCCGACAGTTAAGTCACAAACTAATTATTTCCTTAAAGATAGCCATACATCCTGCAGATAAGCAGCCAGCCACTGGTACAGTAATTAACCATGCAAATGCAATATTACGAAATAATTTCCATGAAACTCCCTCACCACCACGCGAAGCCCATCCCACACAAACAACAGATCCCACTTTGCAATGAGTTGTTGACACAGGTAAACCAGCCTTACTTGCCAACAAAACAGTTACCGCCGCTCCTACCTATAATTTATATATTAAAATAAATATTATCCCTTTCGAAGCATTATAATTTTTTATTTATAAAATGTGTACCTCTATAGTAAATCCTGTAGTTGGTGTAATACGTGCTAAATCTTGTCCTAGAGTTTGTATTACTTTACGTCCCCATACCCAAAGACCAGTTGATATTCCTAAACCACCATAAAGTAATATAAGCAATGGAGTGTCTGCCTCTTGCCTAGCTGATCCTTCTGCATACACAGCCCAAAGTGCAATAAGTGGACCAATTGCATTACTGACATCATTGCCACCATGAGCGAAACTGCCAAATGCTGCAGTTAGTACTTGCAAAAAAGCAAAGAGTCTAGATATTTCTGGTGGTTCTTCATTTTTCCTTTCAATTTCAGTTTGAACACCCTCAACATCTGATCCTGCTACCATTAAAAGAGGGCTTGCACTGCTATTACCGCGTAATTTTGGTGCTGCTTCTTTTGCATTACCATTACTATTACTACTACATGGGGCTTCAGAAATAACAGATAGTGCTGTTGTTTCTTTTTTATCACAGGTACCAAAATTAGTTGTTGTTTTTTCATTGCTACTCAATGAAAGTAATATCCTTTTTCTTTGCCATGGCACAACAAATAAATAAACAATGACAGCTGAAAATAAACCAAAACCTAATGCAGTTAAAATACTACCCCACCATGGCACTTGATCTAACATTAAAACTGAAACAAACATGAATAGAACATTAATAATATAACATATATACAACATTAGTATAACATATATACAATAATATAACATTAATTTTGACTTAATTAAAACATATCAAATTCAATTACGTTTAGGTCCATCATGTGCAACTGATATAACATTAATAGCAACAGTGAGTCCATATGCTACTGGGAGAATATGAAGACCTTGTTCTAAAGGCTTGCTAGATTGAAGTACTGATTTTCTTAGAACCCAAAATATAGCACCTGATACAATTCCGCTAAGTATAGGACTTGCAAACCAAGACGCTGCTATGTTTGCAAGAGCTATCCACTTGACCTATAAATATGCTTATTTTATATTGAAATTATATATTTATTTTCAAATTGATATAATGATTTTACTAACCCCTGCAGCACCTTTACAGACAAGTGAAAAACCAACTGTAGCACCAACAATGGAATGTGTTCCAGAAATAGGTAATCGTAATGCTGTTGCTAGTAATAGCCAGATACCAGATCCAGCTAAACTAGACAATGCTCCAACCATTAATTCTTTTTCATGACCTTCGTATAATGTTACATCTAATATACCCTTTCTCATAGTATCAGAAACCTAAAATATCATCGGTTAATATAATTCAAACAACATAGTATGAAGTACATCAATTTTCAAGGTACCTTATAGCCAATGAGTACAGCTCCTGCAATTTCAAAAACAGTTGCCAAAATACAAGCCTGAAATATTGTAAGTACTCCTGCACCAACACTTGTTCCAAAACTATTTGCAACATCATTCGCTCCGATTCCAAATGCCAAAATAAAGGCCACTACAAATCCAACCACTACTATCCATACCAAGTTTTCATCATATGGTATGCTCATTTTTATTTACTCATTAACTATTTCTTTTGAGCTATTAATATATAGATATTTTTACTTTTATACATTTGTCAGTAGATCATTGTGTTAAAATGTCCTCTTGTCATATTATTTGTTGATAATACATTGTTAAGCAAGAGAACATGGATTAAGGAAGAGCTTCCAGTTTTCTCTTATGCATTTACATATAAATATTTATAATTCAGAATATATTTCTCCATTTATATTTATATTCCTATATGTGTGTAGTGTGTATATATATATATATTTAATAATTTTATTTTACTTCTAAAACAATCAATTTTATAACTTTGTACACATAGCAGAGGTAGTATTTTGGCGCAGCACCTGATATATGTAGCATTGTTTTTTTTTCTCATACATGTATTAGAATGCTTTTAACAGCATTAAATGAGTTATTGTGTAAACTTCCTAAATTTTTTACTTTGTATTAGGTATAAAATGTTGTGTAAACAATTTTGTAAGGATTCATCATCAGCGTTTTTCTTCTTTGAAAAATACGCTGATTGCTGTTTTTTCAGCATCTGCAATGAATCGAAATGTACATTTGATATAATATACATATATACCTCAAATTTTCTGTATTAAAATATAAAGGTTCTTAAAACTAATGCTATTATTTTGTTCAATTACCTTCGTCCACACATTATAATCGTCCTAAAACGAATTTTGAATAACAAGATATTTCACATCCACGAAAGGAATGTAATTATAATGAAACGTTTTGTCAATTTCCTCACGCTCGACTTTGAAGGGGTGGTATTATCGTTTCACTTTTCACGTAGCATCACTTGATATTTCGATAAAGTTTACAATCCTAATAAAACTGACTTAAATAGATATTATTTTTTTTTTCTTGCGTATATAATAGAAAATGCATAAATTCAACCCGTTACAAAAGAAACGTGTACGAAATGCAATGAAAATTTGAAGACTACGCACTACTTTTACGAATACTAGTACGAATACTATTAAGTTCGTAAAAGAAAAAGAGGATAAATAATTAGAATAAGCAAAGCTTTCGGCCGTCTATTATTAAATTTTTATATAACAATTTTTTAATTTGTGATTTCCAATTACCATTTTTTATATGATCTGTAATTTTCACATTAAAGCTTTCCTTTTAAGAATCACGTACAGGATATGTATTGTATGCTATAAAAACATAAAATAATGCTCGGAAATTCGTTAAGAAAAAAAAAGAAAAAACGAAAATAGGTTTTTTTACTCACGAAACTCAAATTACTTCGTATAAATCTTTGGTAATTGGGGAATGCCGCTCAGATTCGCGTGGGGGTGAAATATTGATCCGCCATTTGCCCGCGAAACTCTTACAAGTATAATGCAAAAATTTCTTGCTGCATCACAAATCACGTTTTATATTTATGAAACAATTGATCCTGTCTTCACATTCTAAGATTTCTCTTTAATATCATCGCGCTTATTAACAATGTATTACGTATTAACTACGCGGCAGGTCTTCGTGGGGGAATGATGAATAAGTCATTGCATAAAGGGTGTTAAATGAGTTCCAATTGATGCGATTTACAATGCAATTTACAATTATTTCCTTTAAAATATTGCTGAACAAAAAATTCATCCATTAAAATTTTAAGCTTTAATTGCAACGTATTAATTTCTTTTAGCTGATAATTTTTTGATCTAAAAAATGCATTATGATTTAAATGACTGATTTTGTGTAACATAGTAATATAGATAAAAGAAATGTAAATCAAAAATATAGAATAATTTATTGAAACTGAACAATTAGCAATGTAGCATGCATAATCTATGAAAAATCACTATATTTGAAACAATAGAATGACTAAAGATATTTTATTTAATGTATATACAATCCAATATCTGGAAATTACAATTTATGTATAAGATGAATATATTCTTTACTACATTGTTATACTTTACTCTGCATTCCATTCTTCTCTTTCTTCCCGCTCCCTTCTCACTTCGTCCACATAAGGCGTCAGATATTCAATATCCTATTCAGTAATAAAAATTTTATTTGTATTATTTCAAATACTAAATGACTATATAAGTACATAAAGTATAAATATGTAAGAATCATTAATATCAAATTACATCTTCATATTTAATCCATTGTTCTTTTGGCAAAACTTTTTTTTGGCAATCTAATTGTGCAGCTCTAATAATTCGGAAATTACGTTCTTCTATTAAATGTGGAGGTAATCGTCTTAATGCTTCTATTACATCATCATTATCCTCGGCTATAAGATCATCCTTATATAAACCTAATTATATGAAATGAAATATTTTATATAAAAATTATATATTTTATTAGATTGTTTGAAATGACTTTTTTCCTACACACTATCAAATATAATTTTGCATTTAGAAAAATATATTCGTATAATAACTATTATGAATATAATATATGTAATATATAAATACTTCATACCGTACTGGTTCCATTCAGCAGCAGTAAATATCCACTTCCGAAGTGATGCTATAAAATACGATATGTACATATGTAGATATATAATTACATAAGGATTTCATTTAGAAATATTTTAATGTGCAAAATTTTGTAAATTTACTTACGAAATACACGGTTTAAATATTTAGCTAAACCTTCCATTACTATATTAAATACTTTAGATATTTAAAGCTAAATCGCAGATACTTGCTGCTTCCAACTACTATCGTTTGGACTTATTTTACTACTAAAACAATCAGTATCAACAATATCAATATGCACTCAGTATCAATACGTTGAATCAACGAATCCCTAGCTTGTTATATGCGATATAATGGTACCTACTTTCAGTACACTGTACGAATTAGTCTATGCTTATGACAATTAGGTAAATTATCATATTTTGGAGAAATTACACAAAAATACATAACTGTGGGGTATCAAAAACATCAAGTTTATTTATCATTGTTTGAAAACAATATATTTCAAATAAAATGTTCAGTACATCTGGACGTTTTTAAGGTTTCAAAAGACCTCTCAAAGAATATTAAAAAAATTGATATTTTCATATTAGAAATATCACATGGACTGTAATAATTATTTATTTTTATTATAAAAGTAAGAATATATATTTTATCGTAGGGATATTTGGAAATACCCTAAATTTGAATGTAGATGGCGGTACAATTGCCTAGAAAAGGGACTACTTCTTCGGCGTATTGTAATCACTGTATAAGCACAGTCGGAACTACTTTCAGCGCCTCTTTCCCAGAAAGAGTAGAGTTGTGTTCACGTGTGGTTGTGTCTCCTTTTTCTACAAAATAGGTCACACAACCCACTTCTACAGTGAAATAACTCTTCTATAAAAAAAAAACCCAAAAAAAATATAAAAATTATAAAAATACAAACAAAAAAATCGAAAAACCGTAGCTGAAAACCGCGAAACGTAAGTAAAGTGTGGAAAAAAATAGTAATCATTGTGTTACAAAGAGCAACGTGGTCGGAAGAGCGCAAGCCATATTGAAGGAACGAGATAAACCAAAAACCAGAGAATTTTTTCAACTTAAGCAGCTGCAAGACGAGGGAATACTACGAATATGAACCCAGGGGCTCCTAATTATCCTATGGCGTCACTCTACGTCGGCGATTTGCACGGTGATATCACCGAGGCGATGCTTTTCGAGAAGTTTTCATCGGCTGGGCCTGTACTCTCGATACGCGTCTGTCGCGATATGATTACCCGACGCTCGCTTGGATATGCTTATGTTAATTTCCAGCAACCTGCTGACGGTGAGTACAATCATATTTTTCGCTGCAATGTATTTCCTTTTTGCTAGAATACTCTACGTCCATTGTCCGTGGTAGTCGTTCTTAGTTACATCATTTGTCCGTGCTTGACACGTGTTTCGGATCATACGATGCCACCATATTGAAACCTACTTCGGACAAAGTGAATAGCGGTTGATGATTGTATTGAGTCATGCTTTGTATTTTTCGATGCTTTTCCTATTTTCGAGAAATATATCGAATATCTTGATAGAAACGTGTTAGTCCTAAGAAGATAACAAGTTTTAATATGCGACGTATTTACGTACACACATGCATATATATATATGTACATATACAAGAACACAATTGAAACAAAGATTAAAAGAATTATATATTTTGGTTTTATATGTTTCCGTTAATATTTCCGTTAATACGTACTTCTTAAATTATTGGTATAAGTAACATGTGGTTTAATTTGAATTTTTTTTTTCTTTTTTTTTTTTAATAACGTATATTGTATATGAATTTAGAGATTTGATGTAGATGTTTGATAAAAATAATGAGAAACTAAATAAATTGTTTTTGCATATTTCAGCGGAACGAGCACTTGATACAATGAATTTTGATATGATAAAAGGACGGCCAATTCGTATCATGTGGTCTCAACGTGATCCATCTCTTCGGAAATCTGGTGTTGGAAATGTATTTATAAAAAATTTAGATAAAAATATAGACAATAAAGCAATGTACGATACGTTCTCTGCTTTCGGTAACATACTTAGTTGCAAAGTAGCGCAAGATGAATCCGGCGTTTCTAAAGGTTATGGTTTTGTCCATTTTGAAACTGAAGAAGCAGCAAACAAATCTATTGATAGAGTTAATGGCATGTTGCTAAATGGAAAAAAGGTAATATTTTCCTTATTTTCCTTTACTCATTTAATTCTTTCTTATGGTAATCTTAATTTTTTTTTAATACACAGGTATATGTTGGTAAATTTATACCCCGCAAAGAACGTGAAAAGGAATTAGGAGAAAAAGCTAAACTGTTCACCAATGTTTATGTAAAGAATTTTGGGGAAGAGATGACGGATGATAAACTTAAAGAAATGTTCGAAAAGTATGGGACCATCACCAGTCACAAAGTTATGATCAAAGATGACGGGAAATCTCGAGGATTTGGTTTTGTTGCGTTTGAAGATCCTGACGCTGCTGAACAAGCAGTACTGGAATTAAATGGAAAAGAAGTTGCTGAAGGAAAGTGTATGTATGTTGGACGGGCGCAAAAGAAGGCAGAGCGTCAGCAAGAACTGAAACGAAAGTTTGAACAATTAAAATTAGAACGTTTAAATCGTTATCAAGGAGTAAATCTATATGTAAAGAATTTGGACGATAGTATAGATGACGAGCGGTTACGCAAAGAATTTGCACCTTTTGGAACAATTACGTCTGCTAAAGTTATGATGGAAGAAGGACGCAGTAAAGGCTTTGGATTTGTCTGTTTTTCTGCTCCTGAAGAAGCTACCAAAGCTGTAACGGAAATGAATGGTCGTATAATAGTAACGAAACCTTTATATGTTGCTCTGGCTCAGCGTAAAGAAGATCGTAAAGCGCATCTTGCTTCTCAATATATGCAGCGTTTGGCAAACATGCGAATGCAGCAAATGGGTCAAATTTTTCAGCCTGGTGGTGCCGGAAATTATTTCGTTCCCACTATTCCACAGCCACAAAGATTCTATGGACCTGCACAGATGGCCCAAATTCGTACAACACCACGTTGGCCAGCGCAACCAAATCAGGTGCGACCCAATACACAAACTGGAAGTTCAGGTTTTGCTACAATGCAAGGTCCATTTAGAGCTGCACCACGAGCTCCCACTGCGCAAACTGGTACGATGCGAAGTACTTTGTCTGCTCGACCTATCACAGGTATATATTGAATTTTTATACAATTTATTTTGAACATTTTGTTTGTAAAAACTTTGATTAATTTTATTCGTTCTTTAAGGTCAACAAGCAGTTGGCGGTGCAAATATGCAAAATCGTTCAATGGCTGGTCCAGCAGTGGGAGTGTCAACTCAAAACCGTCCATCAAATTACAAATACACTTCAAACATGCGTAATCCACCACAAGCAATGGCACTCCCTGCCCCAACTCCTGTACAGCAAGCTGTTCATATTCAAGGCCAAGAACCACTAACTGCCTCAATGCTGGCAGCTGCTCCACCTCAAGAACAAAAACAAATGTTGGGAGAACGTCTCTTCCCACTGATTCAATGTATGTATCCGCAACTTACTGGAAAGATTACAGGAATGTTGCTGGAGATTGACAACTCGGAGCTCCTGCACATGTTGGAGCATAATGAATCGCTGAAAGCCAAGGTTGAAGAGGCCGTAGCTGTATTGCAAGCTCATCAGGCCAAACAGGCTGTGGCTTCTAAAAAAGAGTAAACATCTTAATTAAGGTATTATTTTATTCTTCCTTAATTGTTCGTAATGATGTTCAGTTTTTTCTTCCTCAAGTTTTATGATAAATAAATTTTCCTTTAAAAGTATCAAATGAGTTCATTCTTTCCCTGATCCTTCCTTTGTTTTAAGTATTTTTTTTTCTTTTTTTTTTTTTAATTATTAAGATATTTGTATTATTACTTTCATGTAATACACATGTAATGAAAGTATAGAGAATAAATTATTTGAAATGTTTGAACTGCAATTTGACTTTTATTTATTAGACTAGAACTGTATATTAATATTTGTTTCCCTATTTTTTCATAATAAATTTATATCACCTGATACATTTCTATTAATCTATATATAAGCAAATTGTATAAATTAAAATATGAAAATAAAATATATAAATAAGAATGAGTAAAATATATAAGTATGAAAACTAGTTTTATATCTTGATGATTATATTTTGATATTAATCAAATAACAGACATGTATTTTTCAAATTATATATTTGTAAATCTCAATTATTGTTATAAAAACGATTTTGCTGATGAAATGTAATAGAAAAGTAAGAATAATGTAAATTACAGAAACTCGCAAACAAGACAAACTTGTATTTGTAATAAAAAAAATCGTATTAATTACTAAAATGTAAATAAAAATAATAAACGAAAATAGCAATACAAGACTATATAGTTGCCTTGCATCTTTCTTGTTTCTTATAAGTTTTACAAAATTAAAATTAGACATGTATTAAACTAACTGATTTTCGATCTAATTGTAAGTGCCTTAATATTTTTTTTTCCGAAATAAAAAATTTATCAATTGATATATAAAAAAATTTATGATTCAATTTGAAAAAATAATTTTGAAATATTCAAAATAGAGAATATATAGATATCTACAGTATATATTAATAAATAATCAAATAAATTGTTTCTACTGTTTTATTATTTTTATTTCAGAATTAATATGAGGAAAATAATTTTGTTTTATGTTGAGATTAAATAAATCATTTTCTAATAATTTTCTATTTGATTCTTTCAAATAAAATGAAATAAAATAGTTCGGATTTTAATTACATTAATTTAAATATTATATTTTATATTTAACTTATACATAATGTAGTGGAATTATTTTATTTATATTTAACTTATACATAATGTAGTGGAATTATTTTATGACATAGCAACATTTGCTTTTAATACTTTAATATATATAATGTTAATTTCAATATTTCATTATTTTTAAATGATATTTGATGTTACGAAGATATCAATATTTTTAATGCAAAACATTGTTTTAGTAAAATAAAAGATTATTTGAGATGTTACTTCAGGAGAAAATTAAACAAAAATAAAATATATAAAAAATAGTTATAGTATAATAAAGTAACAAAGTAGCAAGTATAAACTAGAAAAAGATCATTTGCAATCAACATTTAAATAAATTAATGGATAATTAATATAAAATAACAAGTTTAAGTTAAATGAGATAACATTTAAATAATTATTTTTCAAATATTTCATTTAAATCAACGATTATTGTAAACCACCGTAATATATATTTGTTGTAATTATAATTACCATTTTTTACGATATAAGCTACAGTAATACTTATCTATTATAAAAATTTACATAAATGTTTAAAACATGTGCACGTAT